AAGTAAAGAAAGACCCAGATGTTTTAGCACCAGCACGCATAATCCGTTGGAAATCAGAAGCAGGGTAGAAGCTGTGGCTTTTCATACTATCGACAGCAGCTTTAAAATCGGCAAGGGGGTGGTATGCATCGATCCTTATCTCACGTATCTTTTCGAAGATTTCAATTGTAGATTTTCTAGTTCTGAAGCAAATAGTTCAATCACTTTCTTGGTATTGAACTTTAGTCTTTCACACAGTACGCTCAATGAGATCTTGATCTACGATATTGAGGATAATCGCCGCAGATTGTTGAGTACCACTTTTTGTGAACTGAACGGAGCACACTTAGTTTCCAAGCGTCGGCTATGCTTTCGTCCGACCATATTCCGCAAAGAATGTAGTAATCCACCAGCCGCTGGCTGGCAATTGCTATTCGAATTCATCATCAATTAGTCAGGGTTGCTTTCAAAAAGAGCTTGCTATCAGTTAATAGGTGCTCTCCAGGTGGGTAAATTGACATTTTCCCCTTATTTACTTGACGAGGAGCCGCTTTATTCAAGGCCGACGTCCACTCGTAGCCGAACAGACGCAACCGAAACCGGATAAGTGTGTATTTGGTTCTCACTCGTATATTCTCGGTAAAACTAAACTTATTCACCGGCAAAAGGTTTCTACCGGGTTTTCGTGTGCAAAACCGGTTACCAAATACTCTCTTACTATCTCCATTCCTTCGCTACTCAGCACTCAACTTCATAAAACATTTACAAACTGACAGTAATTAAAATGTATTGCGTTATATAAACAAGAGCACGACAGTTGTCATAAATCTCGAGTACAACAAAACGCAAGTGTTATTAAAAAGACATGCAACAACACCAAAAAAAAAAGGATTAAACAAAAATTAGTTGCAAATAACATTGTATAATTGTAGGGTGAAACAAGCAAAGTAATTTACCGTCAAATGCACACGCGTGTTAAGAGATTGCGTGTTTACGGTGCTCGTCAACCGAACCAACTCTGCGCTGCTCTGCTCTACTCAAATGTGCCAATTTGTTATTTCCTCTCTAACATTACCGTTAAAACGGAAATTTGCCATATCCGCCGTTGGCTAAATATTGATTGTAATTGAGCGTGAGTGAGTGAGAAGTGAGTGTGAGTGAGAAGAGAGTGGGATTGAAGAGCATATGAGGAGCGTGCCGCTGAATGAGTGAATGAAATCGAGTGTGAGTGCACAAACAGCTGGACGAACAAAGGTGTGAGTTAAAGAGTAAATATGTATGCATGTGAAATTGTACAAAATAGTGGGTGGTCTTAGTTGTGTTGGCATGCATACTACATACATACATACGCAGTTCACTGCCTCATTACGACAGTTTGTTATTAATGATGGCTTCTACGCCCAGTTGCCGGTCTTTTGTGGACTATAATAATGCCGAATTTTTTTTTTCACTTTTTTCGCAATCTGTCAGACAGTTCATAATGCGGGCGCTATTTTTCCACCCCTTTTTTCTTTTACTGTTATTTATTTTTCCCAAGCGTGCACGTAAAGTTTAGCGCCATACATCAAGCGGCTTTTCGTGGCTCCGTCGCCGCATGCTCTTCCACAATTACGCTCTGTGCGCCGCTGTGGGTTATTCGTGAAAGTTGAGAGGAAAAAAAAAATAAAATAAAAAAATTCTTTTGAAAAATTTTATTTTAACGCTTTTGGGTAATTTCTGGTTCAATTTAGCTTTGCATTGTCGGTTGAAGTCCATTGAAATTTGAGGCGCACTCGCGTTGAATTTAATTGGCTGCTTCATTATTTGATGCTTTTCGATCGTTTTGTTGTTCTTTAAGTGATATTGGGCGGCGGCAATAGCCGAGTGATTATTGGCATTCAGAAGAACAGAGTTCATGCTCTGGTTCGTGTCCTGGTTCGACCAACGTCCGTAGTTATAGAAAATTAATTTTTCTAACTAAGGTCGGCGCTCAACAGGACATGTCAAGTGCTCCGAGTGTAGTTCTGAAATGAACTAAAAGGCTCCTCATAAGAATGGATCGACCGTAGGTGGCTCAGAATAAACTGTCCCTTCCTCCATTCTTTAGACAACCAAAAAGATGCAGTACCGAAAATTGTAGAAGATGATCAGCCTAAAATCTCTTCAATGGTTCTTCTTTTTCTTCTTTATTGGCTTAGATATCGCGATTATAGCCGAGTTAACAACAGTGCACCATTCACTCCTTCATTTCACTGTTTGTCGCGAATTGGAAACTAAGTACAGTCAGATCATTCTCTACCTGGTATTTACAACGGAATGAAGCAGTATGGAGTCTCCCTCTAAACCGTTAGTCTCACTTGCAGCTATACATAGAGAGTTTGAAATTCTGTCCCACATTTCCCTTTTAATGTATTGCAGAGAGCAGGTATGCAAGTCGAGTAAAAAACCGTTCGGTTGTTTGTTGTGATTGCAGGTTTTTGACTTCGAAATTTCCTTGTGGTCCGAGGCGATGTTGGGTCCTCGGACTGTACGCGCGTCAAGAACACTGAATACATGTATTCCGTCTATCACAACATGAACGATACGGTTGTGGTAATTTCGATCTGGATACAGCTAAGTAGCTTGTTGAATTTTCTTATGCTAGAATCCAGCAGTACAGCCAACCATATTTTGGGGCCCGACAAAGTCGATCAGTCTCAACCCATTTGGGGATGCTGAATTTGCCAACGCTCATAAGAGGCATTCTTGGTCACATCGTCCTTTTCTTCGGTCAAAGCCAGAGATGTTAAAAAGAATTCGCATTGATGCGGGTTATGATGAGCCGTTCATCCATTCTTCATTCCTTCATCTCGCGTCAGTTCTCAAACTCATAGTCTCTCTTCCATCCTAAACCCCACACTAAGGGGGACCTACTCATTTCCGTCGTTGTTCCGCCCACCGCACTAGCTGGGCAGCGGCACTTTCCCAGTTAAGGGACCGGACATTCCAGGTGCATTCCTTGAAATTGTTAACCTTAATTCATTGGCATTGGTCGTCAACAAAAAGGGGAGTATGTCATCCGAGGCGTTTCCATTAGAGCTGGTTTCTACTCAGCGCATAACCTCGCTAGGCGAGTATGTTTAAATTTAACACACACTTGCTGCACCTCTGTTGCTGAAGTTATACCTCAGCGAAGGTTTAAGCCGAATATTTCGAATTGGCTTTACTGAAGCTTCATGTCATTTAGCCGAGACCCGAGTCTTCAAACGGGCTGGTTACCGCATCTTGCGCAACGTGTAGCTTGACTATACGCATTTACACCCCAAATACTGCACCCTCCATGTTCTTTCGGCTTCGTTCAAGATTTCCCTGCTACTGCTCTTAAGCTCGAAGAGTTCCGTATCTCTTAATTTGGGTCTTATTTCAATATTTTGGACTAGATAGAGGCATCACAAGCTTTGGTGACACTGTCTACTGCTTTAACGAGTGAGTGCTCACTGGAGTGCTGCAGTGGTTTCTACAAAGGATGCTATTTTATGAAGATCAATGAAGTGTCCTACTTCCGTACGCAGAGAACAAAGCTGCTGCTCGTGTTGTGAGAGCAAAAGATATATGCAGATGTTCGAGGGGCAGGTTCATTGTTCTAATGCGGCCTGATATTGAATTTGAAACCAGTACAAAACCAAGAACATACAGCCTATCCGAGGTTGCCAAGATGCCCTTAGCTCTATAGTTTCAAGCCAGGAAAATATCCGGAACTTACCTTTTTGGAGGCTACAAAGATGGTCTCACCTCTAGAGTTTGAATCAGCTTGAAAACCCACCGAGAATTGGCCTCAGCCCGAGATTTCCAATTTCTGCTGAGGCTAGCTCAGTGAAACAATCGATAAAATGTTTTCCATAGGAACTTGTGTCACGCAGATGGCGATGGTCGGACAGTGACAGAAGTAATTTTCAATAGACTCGCGTTCAATTTTAAACATAGCTTCACAGCTCGACGTTAGACGCAATCTCATTCAATCATCTTGAATCTGCTTCTTTGACAAAGGCCAGCATAGACGTTGAAGTGGACAATAGCAAATCGGTATCGTGTGCATGTTTTATTGTGGCTAGAATGGCACCTCATCTCGTTTGTACTTTCACAAAGCAAGCACTGTGTATCCAGACCTTGGCAAAGTTGCATTTGGTCGAGAGTTTTTTCAGTTTGCTTCCACATTTTATAACCTCTTTGGATGTGGTACTCTTACATTGTTGAGATCTGAAGGCAGCTCGACTGTCAGAATATATCGTAACTGATGGTGCTGCTGCCATAGACTTGAGCAGTCTCTCGGCTGCATGATTGCAAAGCGTTTTGCTTGAAAGATGCTGCAGTGGTCTGACAGTCTCATGCTCATATTTATTAAGTGCATTGGAGTGTAGATTCCAAAGCCCACAATTCCATCGAGCTTTGGGCCGTCCATAAAGATGGCTATGGCTCACTGAAAGAGTACGTTTGTGCTTTTCCCATTCACTTCTGTTTGGAGATTTTGGTGAAAAAGAGAATGAAGAAGGACATACTGGCGGTGGTGTAGTCCAGCTCTTTCGTCAATTTTTTTTAGAAATAATACAATGTTTTAGCATGTCCTATACTTCAGTTCTTTCCAGGTTTGAGTTGAGTTGAGTTGATGCGACTGGTGGTCAACCCCAGCACTCTTAAGCCAATTGTGATACTGCTGAGGCTCCTGCCTTCACCAACTCAAATGATCGAACCATTTTGTGTGCATTACAAAGGCAACGAGATTTCCAATGTTCACTGAGGCCAACTCAGCGAGACAGTCGAAGAAGTGTTTCCCTTGTGACTTCCCCACATATGTAGGTCCAGAGGAAGGAAATTGGGAGGAAAGAGTTGTGGGCAGTGCTCCTGTTACTGAATACAGCAGCCGACTGTTGAACTCTCTCTCTAATTTGCTGCTGAAATTAATTTTCTCGGGGTAGAGTAGGATTGGTCTAACCGGCTGTACATATACATATATAGTTTCTAATTTTTAGCTTCAGTTTATAAGAATAAATTTAAGTAATTTTAAGACGGAAGGCACACCTTTCCACAGTGAGGCTAACAATAACAACAAACGCAAGCAGCTGCAGTGTGTATAAAACTGAGAAATTGTCCTTCAACGACAAGAACAGCGATAACTACTTAGAATCACAACAAAAACTCTTAATAAACAAAAATCACCTACAAAAACAATAACAATAAACCCAACACATAAAAAAGAAGCATCGAAAACGGCTTGCTCTGTCGCGATTTTTACGCCAATTAATTGTAAACACTCAATATCAAACACAACAACAATAATAACAACAACAACAACTACGACATACATTCACATTCACAAAATAAGAACAAAAAAAAAAACAACAAAGAGAACAAATCAAACTAACGCAAGATGAATTTAATGTTTCGTAAGCATTTTCGCGAAGGTGGGGGTGGAAAATCTGGTGGCGGCGGCAGTAAACTGCAACCGAAGGCCAATCGTACCAAGCGATCGCGTGAAATGAGCGGCGGCCAACAGGAGGATATCCATTATCGGACACATTTATTCTTTGCACCCAGTCGTCCGGGCGTGGATGTGGGCGAAGGTAGGCGTTGTACCAAACAAAATAAAAACAAAAGCAAAAACAAAAAGCAAAAAAAAAATTGCTGTTTGCTGTCTGCACCATTCTGCAATAAGTCGCTTTATGAAACACAACAACAACAGCAATTATAATAATTAAAATAAAATTCAAAATTGTTAAAAAAAAAATTATTTAGAAAAATATATAATTCGAAATTCCAAATTGATTTTAAAAATTAATAACCACAACAACAACAACGTGAAAATTCCTTTAGATCAAAACAATGCTACAATCATATAAAAAAGTCAAATACATACATCTGTACAATAACTCTACTAACACAAACACACATACACTCACACACACACACACATAAACCGAATAGCAGACGCACCTGTAGTAGCGATTTTGATTCGTTGGCTCGCTCGCGTAGCGTCGCTTAATTGCACTGTTTTCTTTTCTTCTATTCCCTTATATATGTATGTCTCATCCTCTTCTGTGTGCGTCTTACTCTACATACACTTACATACATACATGTGTCTTTAGCTGCGTAGATCACCCATCTTTCATGGCACGCACAATTAAACTTTTGTAACACGAACGCATATTGACTAAATTAAATCAAAATTAAATCATTAACAGCAAAAAATCGATAACTATTAATTTTCATTTTAGATAAATAATATATATACTTACATATATATATGGCTGTGTGTACGTATGCAGTTGTTGTAAAAATAGTTATTACTCATGAAGACATTTACGCACTGCACTTGCTATTATTCGATTTGTATACAATTTATGTATTTCATTCCCATAAGATGCGCCTAAGAGTATACTACAAAAAAACAAATCCGGATTTTTGGGTTGAATTTTAGGTTCAACTATTTGAGTTATAACAAGTTAAGAGGAACACGTAAATCTTAAAAATAAAGTCAAATCTATGGAATTCTCAATTTTGAATCGCGTTAGCATAAATATAAACCAAGAAAAAGAATTAGAACAAAATGTTCTAATCAACTGAAGGGGAGGATTTTGGACAAAAAAAATTGAATTTTTTTACGCAAAAAAATTAAAACCATATATTTGTAGAGTAAGTATTTTAAAACGGATTTTGCAACACGATGAATATTTTTCAAATAGCATCCTCTCGAACACACCTGTCTCACGCAAGCTGGGAACTTTCAAAAAACTTTGAACGCGTTTTTCTCGAAACCAATTTTTCCGATCTTACTTCAAGCCCCGGGCTTGATCTATCCGCCTGATTACTTTTACCTAAAAGCAGTTTCAAAGTGTATATTGTACGTTATGAATCTAATAATTAATTACTTATATTTTTTAATGTAATTGAAGTGAAAAAAATTAGCAAAAAATTTAACTTTTTAATTGCAATAAGTAAAATGCAATAAATTTATAGTTAAAATTGCTTCGATTGAGGTTCAGGACTTAGAAAATTTAACGAACTTCCACTAAGGACAACGATTTTTGATTTCAGTCTACCGCAAGAGGCTGTAGGCTTGAAATTGTTTTTTCGCGCAGAGGCCGTCGGAAGGCGCCATTTTGTAGCCGTCATTTTGAATTTCGTGTATTTTTTGCCGTTTCTCAAAACAAATCTCAAATAATAAACAAATTTAATAGTGAAAAGCGGTAGGTCGTAAGCATTTTCATTCTCCCACAAAAGAAATACGAACTTTGCCTGAATTTTTCCTATTATCACGGGAGGTCACCCTTAACTGGAATATGGCCAGATCCTTTTTTTGACTGTGATTTGTAAAATAATATTTTAAAGGTACGCTTCTATAGATCCAATGCCCGCTTAAGGACTGTTCACATTTTACGGCATCATTCTTAAGCCGATTTATGAAGGTTACGCAAAGCCGAACTTTGCAATTTGATCCTGCCAAAATAAAAGCACAAACCTGCAGCAAATCGTGTTCTTTTTCGCATGAACAAACGAAATGATTCAACACATGATTTTTCGACGTCTCCTCTGCTGTGCCTTCCATAGATTTTTTTGTGGTCTCTTTGATTTAGCCTGCTCAGAAAAGTGCTTACCATGAGTTGAGTTGAGTTGATGCGACTGCTGGTCAACCCCAACACACTTAGGCCAATAGGCTCAATGTGATACCACTGAGGCTACCGCCTTCAGCATCTCATATGATCGAACCATTTTGTGTGCCTTATAAAGGCAACGAGATTTCCAATGTTCACTGAGACCAACTCAGCGAGACAGTCGAAGAAGTGTTTCCCTGGAAACAAGCAGAAATTTTTAGAGTAAAAGCCCATCCTAATTCCGTGAGGCCCCATTAAACATTATCCAGTTATTATACCCGTCGCTATTTTTGTACTGAGACACCAACTGGCTAAGTAAATACATACATTATGTTCGATGGTTGATTCTCAAGTGTTCAAAAGTTAAAGGATTAACCACATAAACTCGGTCTTTTGTGTAGAACTCACAAAGAAAAGTTCAACAACAAAGGACCAAACGACAACGCCCAGACGAAATTTCTCTCGCAATAAAGCCACATTTGCGTGTGCTGTGTGGCATGTGGCACCATCTTGTTGAAACCATATACTATATATATACTGCCCAAGTCGGATTCTTCAGTGACAGCTTCAGCTGTTTATCAGCTGGACTCTGTACAAACAAGCTGGAAAACTCGCCGTAAAGTGTCATGCCACTCCCAGCTCTTGAGAGCTTCGAAAACTATAAACATTCGAGTTCTCGGACCCACTTTCACTTAGAGTAGAGATATTTGTGGTGGAAGAAGCAAACCGATGATGTAACCAATGCATTGTCTTCACATTTCCTTAAAGTTTCACCAGTTGCTGGTGTAGTTGGTCGATTAAGGTGTATAAGCTAATCTTAAAGCCAGAAACGTTACCGTGATGGAATCACCAGATAGGTTTTAACGTGTTGTACGGTTATTAAGCGATACATTTTCAAAAACGCATAACTTTTAACTTCATTTACGCGTACTATATCGTTTCGACTACATGACAGTCAAAAGTCGACTCATAGGAGGTGTGACAATTCTCATACGAGACTGATTCAATAAAAACCGTATATATCAAAATTATTCTAATACTCTGCAATCTTCTTGAAAGTAGTCCCTTGCCCAGCTATACCACGATTCCAGCGTGTTTTCCATGCTTTGTAACATTTTTGGAACACTTCGACTGGCATTTCCTTGAATACCCTCGTCACGGCCGCCTGGATCTCCTCAATCGACTCAAAATGGGTTCCTTTGATCACCGATTTTGTTCTAGGGAACTAGAGGCCAAATAGAGGGACATACTGAGGGCGGTTTGGCAGGGCGCGTTGTCGTGATGCCTTCAATCAGCTTCCAGTTACGAGCGATTTCTGGGCGCACCTTGTTGACACGTTTTCACATTCTTTCGAGTACTTGACGATAGTAGACTTTATTTAGTGTTTGCCCGGTGGAAGATATTCTTTGTGGACGATTCCATGTCTATCAAAAAAGGCAATAATGATCGTTTTGTCCTTCGACTTGGTCATGCGAGTCTTTCACGCTTTCACGCCCCTCCTTAATATCTTTACACCATCGAAACACCTGGGCACGAATAAGAGCACTATAACCATGCCCAACATTTTTCAAAAAGTAAGACCCAATGACCCCATCGGACTATAAACGGCTCCAAACAACAATAAATCGTGGGTTTTCCGATCCCCAGATGGGAGGGTTGGAAATGGGTCTAATCAGTCAAGATGATTTTTTGACGATATTTTTATAGTAAATTTTAAAAGATTCAATTCATTGTTGAAGCATGCGTCGTTCCATCTTTATTACTTGTCAAATGTCAAAAAATGACAGCTTCAAAAGCGACATCTACCGGAATAGCATAGATAGAAATACCTTGATAATAAATCTCGCGTTCGTTTGTAAAGACACGCCTATAATAAATTATGAATTGAATGAATCCTTTCGCCGATTGTGTCACAATTTGAATTTTCATTCCAGCAACTTCGATTCCTCAGACTCTCAGTCAGTTGGGCGGGTGGGGGTTGCTCGTTGGACTTATTATTGCGAAAAGTTAGCGACAGATTGGCTTAACATATTGTCAGATTATTTCTACGGTTTGTAGAAAGGGTTTAACAATGAAACTAGTATTTGATGCCAACGAGATACCAACTTCATTATACCCCTATTGTAGGAGGCTGTGTCCCTATTCGCAAAAAAACTCGGGGAGCCAATTTTTACAGGCCTTTCTTGGGGACAACTTCTCACCATCGCGTTTGCCATGGACAGAAAAAGATGGTAATCACTTGGTGCCAGGTCCGAACTATAAAGTGGGTGCATTAGGAGCTTCTGGTGCGTCCCCAAAGACGTGTGTGGCCTGGTGTTGTCCTGATGGAACACAATGCAGCTTCTGTTGATCAAAGATGGCACCTTCTGGATGAGTGCTGCCTTCAGGCGGTCCAGTTGTTGGCAGTAGAGGGCCAAATTGAACGGTTGGCCATAGGGGAGCAGCTCATAGTTGATGATTCCTTGCCAATCCCACCAAACACACAGCAAAACCTTACTGGCCGTCAATTCGGTTTTGGCCACTGTCTGGGCCACTTCCCCGAGCTATGACCACGACCACGACCACCATGTTGTCGTAAGTGACCCATTTTTTTATCGCTAGTCACAATCCGCTTCAGACACGGGGTGATTTTGTTGTGATTCAGCACCGATTTGCTTACCAGCTGCTTCGGTCCATCATGTTTTTTTTTGCGTTAGTTCGAGTGGCGCCCAAACATCGAGTTTCTTTTTGAACCCAAGGTTATGCAAATGGTTGCAAACGGTTTTCTGGCTTATCTTTCGTTTCTCAGCAATTAAATTAGTGCTCACGTTCCGGTCTGTTTCCACTATATCCATGATTTCGTCGCAATTTCCGTCGACAGGTCTCCCGACGCGTGGTGCATTTTTGACATCGAAATTACCGGAACGGAACCTAGCAAATCACTTTTGTGCTACACTTTCGTTTACAGTAACGGGCCCATACACTAAAATAATTTTTTTCAACCGCTTTGGCTGCTTTTTTGCCTTGATCGAAGAAAAATTTTAAAATAGCGAATTTTCTCTCTTCTTTGACGAGCGCTCACAATCAATCGAAAAACTGTCAAAGACAAACTTTTAGCGCGAATAAACACGTTTTCAGCGCTGCAAAGTATTACATGATACGACGCGTAACACAATTGCTATGGACAATAACGCCATCTCTTACATAAAACCCGAATGAACTTTTTACTTGACCAATACAATTAACGCTTTATAACTGTTAAAGTGACTTTCGACCGAGCTTCTTCTCCAATTTGAGGCTTTGCGTCTTCATGTTTTTCCAACACATGGAAGGACCTACAGTTTATACCAAACCGCTCGGAGGTGTCGACATTCCCTGCGGAAGGGCGACCGTATTTAGAAGATTTAATTTAATTTTTTATTTAAATTAAATTTCTATAACTTTTTTTTTGGATGTTAGTATGACACCAGGATTTGAACTCGTACCTTCCGAATGGCAGGCAATGCTAACCACTCAGCCACCGCGGCCGCCTTTACGGGAAAGAGACAGGAAAGGGATCATCGACAGATTGACAAAAAATAAAATGATTTGGATAAAGTAAGCATGAATGAGGCGACATTGTGTTCGCCTTGTTCTACATGTGGCGTACGGTTTACTTCGAAGCAAGGCAAATTTACACGCTACTAGCAAGAATACAAAAACAAAGAGCCTATCTATTTTGTTTGTGTGATCGTAGTTTCGACGCCAACGTCAAAAGCGAAATTAGTTCGATGTATTTTGTTGGTGTAATAAAAAGTTCTTAATGCCAAAAGCTATTTCTCATGTATTTTGTTGGTGTAATTTTTTGAAATGCAAGGAAGAACAAGCAATCATATGATGTGACAACTTCACCTTTTATAAATTCGCCTTGTTTCGAAGCATTCATAGAGAGATTCTCGCGAGAACCTCAGCAACATGTGAACGGATTTGCTGGTAGAGCATTAAAATAAAATCCAGTTCAAAAAATATTATTACAGTTGCTGTGAATTTTGATCTCGAGATAAAGAGACCGGGTTATATATTATATATAAATATGTACATATATATTTATATATATTTTTTATGGTTCCCTGTTATTAATTCACTAACACAAATACAAGTTTACGCACAAAAATTAACCAAAAGCATTACTAACTCCCATCCACATGTACATACATACATTGCATACACTTACTTATGCTTCCCCGGAATACACATACTAAAATTAAATTAACAAAAAACACGAAAACCAAAAAAAAAAAAAAATTAAGTAAGCCAAAGAAACAAACAAACATCCTCTAAATCAACAGAACTCATTGCAGAAAGGTGCACTGCCTTATCGGGTGCGTGCACACAGTTATCGACCACCACAACATCACTTTCACTTCCACCTCAGCAATATGAAGTGGACGCACCGCAACCGCTAGTCGATCGCAAGCCGTCCATATCTCTCTTAAGATGGAATAATAGTGTTAGAGAACGCAATGGTCAGGTTGCTACGGTACTATCGAATGCAGCAGCAGCGACGACGGCGCGCTTTCAAGCTGCCAGGCAAGGTTTGACTTTCCGTTTCCGTTTCCGTTTTACCGCTGCTAATAATACGACTGACATAATGAAATTAATTAATTCAATTAATTCAAATAAAAAAATAAAAATTATAAAAATAGAAAATAAAATTTTTTTTATTCAAAAAAGAAGAGAAAAAACAAAAACAGTAATCTAAGTAAAATACATATATTTTTTGTGCAATATTGTGCTGCCAAAAGCAATTTGCTGCTAAACTAATACCTTAGCGCAATTTAAAAAAAAAAAAAAACTTGAAAATAAAATAAAATAAAATTGAATAAAATTATAATTTGCATATGTTAAAAAAAAATGAATAGACAATTTTTATATACCCAAAAACACACATTCCACTTTCCCACTCCCACCAACCCCATTACACACAACTCCCTTTTCGCTACTTGAATGCCTAACAGTTTGCGAGATAAATTTCTTGCCGCGGCTCATTACACACAGGGGAACAATGGCTAGTGAAAGGACATTAGAGAGAGAGAGAGAGAGAATTTACGATTTTCTGATGTACTTAAATTTGTTTTTGTAACTTGCGCGAAATCACTGAAATGACATTGAACTTTTTGCTTATGCGGTATGACCTTGAAACTGAATTTCGGTTAATTTAAAAGAGTGCGGTTTCACATTTAAACTTCATTTCTTACGTGTTTTTGTAAAGAAACGCCAATAAATATAAAAATTTGTGATAATGTGGCTAACGGTCTATAACTCTGCGATGTGTTGTTTTGTCGGTTTATTGCTTTTAGAAAATAAATTTCTAATTAGTTTGTATAATATAACAAATTTTGGAAAGCAAAAAAAGTTTCATTTTCCCCCTGTGCTGCATCCAGAGAAACGCCGAAGAAATTTTCTATATTAATTTTTCTTCATTATTTTTTTTAACTACTACTAATTCTACTTACAAGCTTACTTGGTATAAAAATTTACGTTTTGAAGCTGCTGAAAGCTAATGAAAGCTTTATGAAACTAGCCTTAAACCTTAAAAAAAGTTATAGTTAAAAATAATATTATTATTAAAGCGCAACAAAATAAGATATAAAGCGTAGGAAAACTTATTAAAACTTTCCATAAAGTTTTTGCCAAGTAATTAAATATCTTAAGCTCAGTGAACGTTTCATTAAAGCTCAGTAAAAGAACAAAATAAATTTATGGTATTAAAAAACCAAATTTATAAATTATTTTTTTGGTTGTTTTTGTAACTTTCAGGAAGCTTTTTAAAGTTCGACCCGGAACTTTCAATACACTTACGCTTTCAGAAAGTTTATAGTATCAAACTGTTTGCACTTTCAGAAAGTTTGTATTTTCAGCAAGTGTAAACAGAAAGTGTTCCCACTTTCAAAAAAGTTTGTCTTTTAATTGACGCGAAAAAGCATTCAAAAAAAAGCGTAAACTTAACAACATTTCTCTAAATTTCCCGGAATTTTATTTTGTAAAAATTTCGTAAAGATCTCAGAAGGATTAAGGTTTCAATAAATTCCAGCTTTTAGAAAGTCTACACTCTCGAAAATATTGACCAAATTTACCTTTTCAGTGAATTTCAGCTTTAAGAAAGTTTGAGCTTTTAGAAAGTTTGAACTATCAAAGCTTTCTGAAAGTGCAAACTTTTTGAAAGTGCAAACTTTCTGAAAGCTCAAACTTTCTTAAATCTGAAATTTTCTGAAAAGGCATATTTGGTCAATATTTTCACTTTAGAAAAAGGTCACTTTCGGAAAGTTTGCACTTTCAAACAGCTTCCACTTTCAGAAAGTTTGCTTTTTCAAAAAGCTTCCACTTTCCGAAAGTTTACACGTTAAAAATCTTTGAACTGTAAATTTACGTTCTCATTCTCAAAAAAAATTAAAATTTGTAACTTTCTCTACACTTTTCTAAATCACTTTTTGCCTACCGCTGATTTTTTAAGCTGCTTCTGTTTCAAAACTAAAATAATTTATTTTTTAACTGCAAAAGCACCAGATGCAGCAGCATTAGATGCTGAGAAAGCTCTAAGAGACCTATCAGCTTATAACTCATATGTGTAAGTCTTTTAACAAAGGATGGTTTGATATTCCTGCAAATACATATAATATTTTAATAATGAGGGAAAAAAATAATCACTAAAAAATATCAAAGCTTTTGTTAAGCTTTATCGTGTTTGTGCCAGCTAAAGTATTTACTACCAATACTTCTGCTTTGAAAAATTAACGATTAAATAATTGAAATAATCCTCATTTTACGGCTAAAGCTGTGAGAAGCTTCTCACGAAGAAAGCTTTAAAAAGCTTTGTGCTAACTAAATTGTCTAAATTTTTCCTGGAACTAATCAAATGCACATCTCTAATAGCATCTGGTTTCTAAGCAATAATTTTAAACGAATTCATTATTCCAGTTAATTTTGATAATGGCGCCGGCACCTCAACTGCCGTGCGCTCCGAACCGATTTCGTTGTCAGCATTGGATCGTGATTGCTTCATTATACCGGTGCATAGCGTCGATCGTTTTCTGCCAGCGGGTATACCGGTAAGCCAGCTTCATTTCACAGTTAAACTTTCGAATCAAATTGACAACAATTTTTGTTTTTGCAATAATCTCCTTTTTTATTAATCCCTTCCTTGCAGTTGCCCGCACCCTCGGCTGATGGCAAAACTAATAGTCCACTCAGCATACTAGAGGTCTCCGATCCGAAACTGTGCATTTTGGTACACTTGATGAGTCCTTTGGAGCCCATCGATCCAATGTTAGAGTCACCACTCTCTCATCCATTGCTGAAGCAACGCGCTGTGGCTGCGGAACTCGTCTCGGAGGTACAGCAAGCAAACACGGCGGTGGGTGGCATGTTACTGGCCAATATGGAGAAGAATGGTATGCTTGTTGTAGGCGGGTTGAATGTTTGAATATGAGGAAAATAGTAAAAATATTGAATTATGATCACTTTCACTTTCAGCGGATTTCCCCTTCATATCGTACTATTTAATCAACACCACACAAACGGATCCATCTAATTTTTACTCGGGCATACGCGTCTCATCACTATCGAAATTCGAGCCAAAAGCACTCAAGTGAGTAAAGAGTTAATAAGAACTGAGAACATTACACTCATCAGAACTTATTGGAAGAACTGTAGACCTTGTTAAAAAAATCATTCCTCCCAAATTTTAAGGGTTTCCCCATATAGCTCCATTTCAGACTTAATGATGAATGAATCCGTTTTCCACAGTAATTTTTCGGTTATTTCGTACCTTTTAACTGCAGTTTACCGGTGTCCCATGCGACAGACTGCACTTCTTCACTCCGCCTATTAATATGATCCCTCAAGCCGCTAGCCAGCAGCACCTGGAGAAAAGACGGGAAAGGAACGCTGTCAAAATACTAACTTGAGGCGCACATGGGAAATCCTTCTCTGTTCTGGCATCGCCTATGCACCACTTTAAAACGAGACATCTATGCATTCTGTTCAGAAGATGTTGCTGAAGGACTCGAAATTGATTAAAGCATGGAGATGAATGGATTTACAGGAGTTTAACGCCATCCGCCATTTAAGTCATCATCCCTTGCAGTGAATAGCCTTTACTGGACCCTACACCTATTTTAGATGAGGAGTTTGATCCATCTTTGGACATCCGAGTAATCTTAGCGCAATTAAAGTTTGGATATCGCAGTAGATCCATACGTTATGCGGATGTCGCCTCTCGTCTCGGTTGGCCAGGTGAAGGGTATTCGTTGGCCTTATTATCAAATTCGCGCTTACCTAGACTCCAGATCGGCGTACCCAAACTTATATTTAACACATGAAACGAGTCTTCGGGCAATGCAGGCGACTTTTTTGCATGCCCCATTAAGACGTGCAATTTAAAAATCACCGCTCTTTGGTCCAAAAACGCCTTAACAACTCATTCCCCGGTTGTATCATTATATTGTATAGCTTTGACGACTTTAACTTCTTATACTTGCTCCTAAACGGTGTATAACGGACCGCTACAACCACAACACGAGCGGTGGAGTTTTGAGCTTGTGGTTCCACTAGACCGTTTATATATCGTCTTTGGTTCGAAGACGGCCTAAACTGGTATTTCTTCTTCTTTTGCTGGAAAAACACAAGGAGTTGCTCAACACATGCGAGATGAAGCTCGGCCGGAAATTACTTTTAAACGGTTATCAAACGGCAATCATTACATTCTTTTTTTCTGACCAAACCTTTCAATAAGCCTGGGAAACTTTTAGTGTGGAAAAAGCTGAAAGAGATTGATCTTATGGCGGCTAATCCCGACAGGAAGCCGAAAAATGTAAAGAGCTTTAATAAAAGTCATGAATCCAGAATTTGTTGATTTGTAGAGTTTTTTTGTTAATTTGCTATAGTACTCAGGCTCGAGGTGGAGTTTCACGACAAATCTCAGCAGGACACACAGAAAATTTCACAAACAGATATGCGCCAAACCAATTAGACAGAAGTTTGAAAAGTTTATCATCTCCGAAGGCTCTGATCGGCAAGCAGTATAAACTACTCTAAGGTGCACTTTTTCATTTCTTTCTTCAAATTTGACGAAAGGCAGTGCGAGCCTCTGAGCAAAATATTTGGACATTCGATTTATTCTTAGCTCTACCATTCTTATTCAAGGCAAATTCGCATCTAAAATGCATATCGCCGAGCTCTTCTCCAATTTTTTGTGTTTTCCAATAAAAAGGAGTGACCTACAGTTTATTCTATGATGCCTCCGAACGATTGATGGGTTTCTTTTTTTAGAAGCTTTTGTTTAATACCAGGAATACATACGAAGGGCTTGACTTACCCTGGCGTGAGGCGATCACAATTAGAGAAATTAATTTTCTTTAATATTAGATGTCGGTCGGACCAAGACTTGAACCCTGGCATTCGGAATCTTAGTATGCAATACTAGTCAGTCGGCTTTTGTGACCGTGTAGGCGAACTAAAATCCAACCAATGTGAAAAGTACAAAACCGCGTTGGAGTACATCCCTTGGTATTGGTTTCCTGAAGAATCATTTCATCTTCTTGCTGCCGATTACAAGTACTCGTACTTTTTGGAAAAGCAATTACTATTGTCAGTTATCAACTCAGATCTCTGAGAATATCCTATACTTACATACCTACAAAACATTCCAATCCACTTCCCTCACGGCCAAGACATTTACTATGTGTGGCCCATGCAGGTAGTATATTCATTTCATTGTATTCATTCAAACACTTTCCATATTTTATATTTTATATTCCATTATACTATTTTCTATTTTCATTGTATATGTATTTACATATATATATATATATATTTAGATATACTGCCGCTCATACTTTGGACTTGTACAGCGAAGTGGCTGCCATTTGCCGTCCGCCATTGGTATTGGCGCCAAATGAAAGTGGTAGCTTTAAGAAGACACAAACGCCAGCAACAGGCTACATAATCAGTGTATTTAAGGTATGTATGTAAGTAAGTCTGTATATGCACGTACGTATAATATTTATGCATGTTTGTGCAGGAGCACTTTAAATATACTGAATGGCGGTACTCGTGTCTAGTTAAATATTTATACAATTGAGTTGGTAAACAATGGTTTTGCTGAGTGGATGCCCTGTAGAAAACAGCAAACTAAATTTCTAGTTCTAGTTTTGAACTCACATTCCATGTAAATATTCATACTAGTCCGTTATGTACTAGAATTTTACTAGTTCTTTGTAAGCTCTCATCTGTACAATCGAGCTAATCGTATGATGATACTTAAATCATAATTTTTGCCATGTAAAAGGGACTAGTGGCGTACTATTGCAATAATATTATAGTATTCGAAATCTAAGGACCTCCTCCTAGCATAAAATGGCCTTGGCTGAGTGCGGATTTTAGTTTTATGAGTTGACTACAGAGTGAGTTTCTGAGGTGGACTTGAGAGATTTGAAGCCTAATTTGTTTGAACAAAGCTGAAAATTGGTTAGAGTTAGGTTATGTCGAATCCAAATCGCTATAATTGTTCCTGTTGCCATGCGAGATGATGCAATCAAACTGCTGAAGAGCAACCCCGTGTAAGATCGGAAATATGTGGTTGTGCATCACCGATTCAAAAAAATGCATAGTCCTTAGTATCCACGAAAGCGTCTTTCGTCTTAATATAGAACAACAGAAAATATTCAGGATCTTCTTCCTCTTTATTGGTGTAGACAGCGCTTAGACGATTATAGCCGAACTAACAACAAAGCTCCAGCCGTTTTGTCTTTTCGTCATTGGACGAATATTGCAGACACGAACTGAAGTCCGGTGCTTCTTTACCTCTTCATTCCAACGGTGTGGAAAAACTCCTCTTCCTCTGCTTACACCAGCATGTACTGCGTTGAATACTTTCAGAGCTTGTTTGTTTTCATCCATCTGCATATAATGAGCCGACCCGCTGTCTCTCAATACGGGGAACTATGTCGATGTTGCCGCATATCTTTTATAACTCATTGCTACAATTATTGAAAATAAGTTTAGATCTTCTCTTCTCTCATCTTATTTTATTCAGAACACGATAAAGATTGGTTGCTCTTAATTGTAACTCCACTTAGTATTGAACGATTCGGAGATGTCCCGTCCGATAATGAAAAAGCATTAAGTGCTGTACAGCGTCAATTTAGAGGGTTACAAAACCCTGACATACTCGTAGTGGCATACAGAAGGTACCTTTTCAAGCCATGGAAGGCTGTTCCAAAAGCGACGAAGAGATGACGTGTGTGAACCTTTCCTCACGGATTTTACAAGATTTCTGACGTAATGAATATCTGATTTACAAGATATAAAACCATCTTGATATGGTCCAATCTTTTCTTTGACGGCAGACTACAATCACTCACAGTACGCTTGATAATTCCCTAGGCTTGTGCCACGATAGTTTCCGCAGAATGCGTGGTCCCCTTCAATGTGAATTAGTCGGAGCACACTTATGCTTCAATCTTATGGCATACTTTGATGCGACCCGCTGCCATATTTGAATAACTCGCCCGGCAACAGCTTTTCGTACTTCTTCATAGTAGTGTACTGGAACTTCTGCTCCCTGATCATCAATTAGAAAATCGAGTTCGTCACCTGCTGTTGTTTCAATTTCGCTGCTGGACAAATTTTCCCTCCATAAACTCTGTAAACTCTAAACATCGGTCACCAGGTCTTTCTCGTGCCTACATGAGTTTCATCTCGTCTTGAAATCTATTGAAAGTGTCTACAATACATTTTTTGGCTAGGTTCCTGGCTGTCAGCTTCTCCAGCTTGTCATAGTCATGCAATTCGTTCTCTCATTTTTTTGTCTACAAATATATAAAGCTTTTTTTTGCAAGACTCGGTATTTCTGCCACACAGCACGCGCCGCGGTTGCCGCATCGTTTCAAGAAGAGCAATATTTTGTCTCCCTACCACGCTGCGATAATGCTCATCAGAGCTGGTATGCTCTTATTTCCAAAATCAAAAATTTTTGCCCAGCAGAATCTTTTTCGATTAGTGACAGGAGAGTCAAGTGTTCACTCTTATTGCTCACATATATTAAGTCCCTCATGACTTAGCTGAGGTCTCTTCCCGAGTCCTTCTTGGGTGAGAAGTAGTTTAGTTTTATTAACGAGAAAGCTGTAGAATGTTAACCTCTTTTAGGAACCTTTCGCTATGAGGAACATCGCTTTCTCTGGCTTGAGTTCCGAGTTCCACATTTTTAAGCAAATCGAGCGCACGAGCATTGTGTGAGCAGATCTACTTTATGCTCATTACCCGAAGATTCACGAACTTAAGCTTGATTATTTCGGGTGTTTTCGTGTATAGCATGAAATTATGTGCAGTTTAAAAACGAGTCTCTAGCAACTCACACTATTCTCTCATATTCGGAGTTTTCCCGCTGGGCATGTACAACAAAGTTCGCTCAAAGTAACCACCGTTAAGGACGAATTTTAAATTAGAACTAAGGATAGCTCGCTCAAGAAATGGTCGTTTGAAAAAAAGAAGACTATTTGCGGAGCTAATATATTTTGCATACACTTTCTATTAACACTCGAGCATTTCAAATATTTATTTTCAATGAATTTTATATAATTTCTCATAGGTTTTTGAGGGTGACGATGGCGAGCGTTTCGAAAAGAATTGGCTTTACTGGACGGGTGCGCGCATGTTATATCGGTAAGTAAGATAACGACGAATGGAAAGTAGCTAACTCTTATTAATTTAAGAAACTTTTGAATAATATAATATAAAGTGAATACATTCAAAACTCTTTCTTTCTCTCTCTCCCCTCCCAATAGTTATCTACCACGCGCTGCCGGTTTGCGTCGCATTGCCCTACATAAGAGTACCTCGCAACGAGGTGATAAAATGTATTTGTTGGTGTGTGAATGCGCTGACTTGCTCAAGGATATCTCATCAGCTGCCTTTCTGATTCCTGCATTAAGAGCGCGCCTATGCGGCTATACAGGACTTTACAAGCCAATACAAGTGTTCTAAAAGGATGCGGAAGATGAAAAAGTAAAATTAAAACCAAAAAACATTTTTAATAAAAAGAATTAAAATAATATATAGTAAATTGGAACATAAAGGCAACAGTTGTATACCAAAAGACAAACATACAAATGTGGTAAACAAAGTGATAAAATTTTTCTAAAAAATTAAAAAAGTGAAATAAAAATAAAATTAAAAATAAAATAAAATTAATTAAAAACGATTCTAGCATACGCATGAAGATATCAGAAAAAATAGTTTTTTTTATTACTAGAAAAATGTTAAAATTAATTTAGCACAGCCTAAAGTAGCTGAGAATATGATGGAGTTTATAAAATTAACGAGATATTACGACCCATTGCAAGTTTTAGTAAAATTCTGAATTAAAATGTAGGAAATAAAGTTAAAGTAAATCATTGAAACGTAAGCAAATTATGACAAAGTTAATAAAAAAAAAATATTTTAATAAATTTTTGCTTTTACTTTTCCATAAAAAATAAAAAATTTTAAACAATCAAACAATCAGCTATTAAACTGGTAAGATATGACATTATTAATGACATACTATTGAACTATGAAGGTACCTACATACATACATATAACTGAATAATTGAGAATAAATAATAAATTTATTTTTTAATTAATAAAATCATAATAAATATAATAATAAGAATGTTAATGATTAAGATACATATATATATTTTATTATAAATAAAATAGCAAAAATAATAATAAATTTTATGCAGTTACATTGCAATCAATTCTACGCATGCAAATACTTGCATACATACATAAGTACACTTTTTTTTATAACTGCTTGTACACACCGAGACACTAGCATATATACATATATATAATATTACGTATGTATGTATGTATGTGGGTAAATACAACAGCAGTTGAAGAAATGATGGGCAAAACAAACAGAAAAAAACATAAATAAAATAAAAATAAATGCTTTAAACAATCTTCAACAAATTACTATATTTAATTACATACATACATTTTACAATTCTAGCTAAAAAAATATTAATTTAGTATTTACGTAAGTACAATATTGATAAGCACTAAAAGTAAATAATATAAAATTGTGGAATGTAGTTAGCAGGCAGAAATCATTTTTCAGTTTTTATGCCTATTAATATAATTAAATTTTTAATGAAGTTAATTTAATTTTCTTTTTTTTCATTTGAATTTATTTCATTAAATAGTAAATGAATATTGTTTTCTTTTAATCCATTACTTTATTGAGCTTGACATTTTTTAATTTATTTTACAATTTAATTTATTTTTATTATATTTTTTATTTACTTTCATTTCATTTTATGTTCTATTTTGTTTTTTGTGCTTGAATACTTTTTCTCATTTAACAATAAAATTTGTTACTCTCTATGTAGGCATACAAAAATTATGTTCATTTGCTTTATTAGTTATTATTAAATTATTTTGCATTTATTTTATTCTACTTTGACTTATTTTTTGTTTGTTTTGTATGATCTTATATTATTCTCTCCAATTTCATTTTAATTTACATAGTTTTATTTTAATAAAATGTATTATGTTTTTTATTATTTTATTTAATTTACTGCTATTATAGTTTCCTAAAATTTTTCTTATATTTTCTGTTATTTTATTTTATTTCTAAATTTATTTCCTTTGGGTTATGCTATTTAATTTAATTTAATTTTATTTAAAATTTATTATTTATTTTTTAAATGTTGTAAGATTAAATATTTTAATTTTATTTTATTATATTTTATTTCATTTTATTTTAAATCCTTGTATTCTATTTAATTTCATTTTAATTAGTTTTATTTTATTTTATTTCATTTCACTTTGTTTAGTTTTATTTTATTTTATCGTTCAATATAAATATATTTTATTATTCAATTTAATTTAAAATAATTTTGTAATAGTTTACTTAACTTTTTCCCATATTTTTGTTATTGCTTTTGGATTTCATTTATATTATTATCGTTTTTATTATTTTATATTATTTTATTTAATTTTATTTTGTTTCATTTTATTTGATTTCATGTCACTTTGTTTCATTTTAATTAATTTCATTTCAGTTTTTTTTATTTTATTTTATAATATTATTTTATTTCGTTTATTTTACTTCATTGTTTTTGTTGCTTTTTGCTTTAGTTAATTTATTGTTATTTCATTATATTTTATCAAACTCTATTTATTTTTTTCTTATATAACCATTTTTTTCTTATTTTTTTTTTTTTCAATTTAATTAAATTAAGTTTGTGCCATTTTACTTTATTTTTAATTAATTTTAAATTAAATCAATTTTTTTTATAATATCATATATATTTCATTTGATATTATTTAATAATATTGTTTTTCATTTTCTAAGAATATATTTGATTTCATTATTTCGTTTTAAATCTTTTATTTTATTTCGTTTATTTTTTATTACTTTATTATGTTGTTCTCATTTTATATTAAATTATTTATTTTTAATTTTAATTTATTTTATTAGTCGTATTTTATTTTATTTAATAATATTTTATTTGATTTTATTTTAATTTTTTTATGTTATTTTTTTCATTTTAACCAAATTAGTTTTGTGTCATTTTACTTAATTTTTACTTTTTTTTTAATTAACTCTATTTTGTTTTTATTTAAGATCAAATCTATTTCATTTGAAATTATTTTTTTATAATTATTTTATGTCATTTATTGCTTATATTAATTATTTTAATTATTTTTTTGAAATCTACTTTTTTATTTACATTATATAATATATTATATTCATTTCATTATAGTTTCTTATAATTTAGTTACTTTTATTTTGTTTTCGTTTAATTTAAATTAATATATTTTATTTTTTCACTTTATTAATTTTAATTAAAATTTACTTTATTTCTTTTCTAGTAACTCAATTATCGATAAAAATTTATCGCCCGTTATTTTTATAGAACAACAATTGGCTTTTATGCACTACATCGCAACAGTGCTTTATAAACTGTCAATTTCTTGCCGATGACTTGGCGAAAAGTTTGTTTCAGTGACGCAATTCGTTCATATTAGATCGCGCTTGATTGTAATCTCTCGAATTAAAAGTAATTAAACAGATCTATGGCAATCAATTGCAATTTCACTTAAAACTTACATATTTTAACGATAAAATCTCAAATCAATAAATAAAATTACGTATATTCTTATTAAGTGCTGTGATAATTCAATTACCTACATAAGCCTACACAATTAATTTATATGTGTGTATATATATTTTCTTTCGAACCTAAACTGCCACAGTGATTTGGTTTGCAAATGATTTTGTGAGATTGAATTTAAGCCTTTTCCTTACTTTGTGTATGAAAAATACATATGTACATATATATCTTAGTAAAATATGAAGGGAAATTGGAAAAAAAAAATACTTACAATGTTAAGAAATCATTTTGCTCTCGGAAAAATCTCGTTTGACAGAAAATTCAATGGTAACGTAAATTATTTAGTTTCCGTAAGCAATGAATCAGCACCGCTTGATAAAAAATAAATAAAAAATGTTGAAGATAAGACATTTAGTAATGTATCAAAGTAGAACGTGCATATAGTTTACATAGTAATAATTAATAAAATTAGCAATAAATAACTTAATAAATCAAAAACGCTGTGATAAATTAACCAAAAATCAATTACGCAATTTAAATGCGAGCTAAAAGTGCTACACTCAGTGAAAAACCACTAAACTGCAATTAACATAAGCCATAAATTATGTTTAGAAAATAATAAAACTAAGCAATTTTAAATAGCAATATCTTTAATAGTAGTACATAAATTTTATAATTAAAAGCCAAAAAAAAAAAAAAAACTAGTAGAAAGCTGGAATGAGCAGCTGCAAAGATAAAACTAAAAATTTCGATCTAAAAAATAAGCCAAGAATAGCAAATTTCGATAAAGTAGAATATTAAAAAGTGAATTGGTGAAAATATTGCTGAAAAATGTTGCGCCATAATTTGAAGCTCATGCAAATATTTATTTTTTGGTTTATAAAATTAGTTTTTATATACCTGTAAAGCTCAGTTGTTGAAGAGCCAACTACAACATGTTTGAGCCATGTTTGAGCAGCTCACGCCCGCTCCTTGTCCGGCGAATGTGCATGCAGAGAAATTTAATTAAGAAATAATACAACGGTATAAAGAAGCTGAATTGATATTTTATATACTCGTAAGTAACCTCAGATCTGCGGTGGAAGTTCAAACTTTAAATTTAAATAGGATCCATCTCACTGCTTTGTTACAAAAGATCAGTGCTCGCCTGTTGCCTCTCGAGGGATGTTGACTAGAAGGAAAAATGACCATTTTTTGATTTTTTTTTTCATTTAGAGAATTGTTATGCTAGCCTTACTTTTTTTTTGGAGATAATATGACTAGGATAAATACACCTACGAATTTACTACGTTTACTTTTTACTCCTTCTTTATTGGCGTGGGTAGGGCTTAAGTAATTATTATTAATTGGTCCTTCACACAAAATGTTGCTTTTCGGTTTTCTCTATCGTCGGGTAATAGAACGTAAGTACCGCCATCATCGGTTAAAGATCCGGGTACGACATCATCTGGTCTTTAACTCTCACTGCTATGATTTCAATTCACTTTTGAAATTAGCATCTAGATTTGAGACCTGCATAATCACGCATTTCTGTTTTTCGCTTCAACTCTTGGTATCTCTGCCACACAAAATTCTCTGCTGACAGAAACACAACACCAAACTTGTGCCACTTTTTATGGCCTTGAAAGTCATTAGGGCCGCTCTTCTTTCATCATTGTCTCATCTATCACATTACCTGGATGGCGGTGATGTCAGTCTTAAATTTTGTGAGGACATCAACCGGCTGGGCAACCCTAACTACCCGATTAAGGGGCCAGACATTCCAGGCGCATTCCCTCAGAACACTATCCTTTATAGGCTTGAAGTGTTCATCATCAAAAGCGTAAGCTCGTTAGCTCTGAACCCCTTTCGAACTGTGGGGCTCTGCTTTGTAGGCAATCGACTATTATGGATGAATTGTGCAAATCGTTCGCTAACAGTTTGGGATGATTTTCTCATGAGGAGAACCGTTCTGCTTCTTTAAACTTCAGGCTGGACCAGTCTGACGTCAAGGCATTTGTGGAGGTTATTACATCCGAGTTATTAGTATACCACAGCATTACTTTTCGAACTCAAATGCCTTCTTACTTTCATTAGCCGAATTGGTATTCTGATATCAAATTTGTTGCGAACGATAGCGAAACGGAGATAGCTTCCATAGCAAATTTGTCTTTACTTGATTTGACTATCCTTATTATCTGCAGCTTTTTCCACGCATTTAAAGAGGCATTTTTGGGGTAATAAGGTAGAGATTTCTAGGGTTTATTAATTCTAGCCGCAAATAATCACTAACTGCATCATTTCGCTCGAACGCCTTGTCTAAATGTGTTGCCTTTTCCTTGTTACTGCGCGTCTAGTGACCCTTCGGACTCCTGGAAGACGTACTCGCATCAACTAGAGGCTTAAGATTCTTACTGCCTCCCCTAGTCAATTATATTTCGTATAATTTGAGAGAGAGAGAGAGGAAGAGCTAGAGACAGGAAGAGAGGGAGAGAGAGGAAGAGAGAGTGAGGGAGTGAGAGAGAGAGAGGGAGAGAGAGAGAGAGAGGGAGAGAGAGAGAGGGAGAGTGAGAGGGAGAGAGAGTGGGAGAGAGAGAGGAATTGAGAGAGAGAGGAAGAGGGAGAGAGGAAGAGGGAGAGAGGAAGAGAGAGAGAGGAAGAGAGAGAGAGGAAGTGAGAAAGGGAGAGAGAGAGAGAGAGAGAGAGAGAGAGAAAGAGAGAGACAGAGAGAAAGAGAGAGAACGAAATAGAGAGAAAGAGAGAGAAAGAGAGAAAGAGGAAGAGAGAGAGGAAGAGGGAGTGATACAGAGATCATAACTTTTACTCTCTTTTCATTTTTTCTCTGCTGATTTTAACCGTAACTTTGAGGCAGGCGAGTGAAATGTTTGCCATTCTCTCCGCTAGGTATACTTTTTTAGTACACAACTTATTAACAATAAAAATAATAAAATTATTCATGAAAATAAAAATTAAAATAAATTGCCAAAAAATACAAAATTTGAATTAATTAAACAATAAGGAGTCCTAGACAAAATTTGAAAACACAAAAAATTCTACTTTAATGATTAATTATGTTGCTGGGTTCAATTTACGAATTAAAAAAAAAGCATTAAAATTCATTTAGTAAATTGAAATATATAAAAATTAAAAGAAAATTTAAATATTTTATGCCAAATATAATAAAAATTAATAGCTCATGCCATAAGAAGTCAAAAGAAAAAAAAAAATTAAAAAATCGTGCCTCGCTCCTTTCGCTAAGATTAAAAAAAAAATTAAATATAAAAAAAGAAAACAACCCATATCGACTAACAAATAGAAACTACTAACAGTTGGACATACAAACGTATACATATAGTATATTTAAATCAAGTAAATTACTTGCCACTAAAGCACCATTTGCCTAAAATGTAGTAAATATATATATATATATGTACATATATGTAGCCGGTAAGGCAGACACTACAAACGCAACTTTTTTGAATCGTAGCCAAAGCACTTTTTCTTCTTCTTCTTCCGATTCTAAACAACTTTTGCGCCTTTCTACACAACAAATAACAAAAGACAAACGAACCAAAGCGTATAACGGTAATATCAGTCAAACATTAGCGTATCAAGAAATTGTGAAAATTTAATACATACACATTTATGTATACATATTTACTTAGTATGTAGTTAAAATAGTAGCTAAGTACCTTTTCTTTATTAATAATACAAAAATTCGTAAATAAAATAAAGGCGTAAATAATAGTAAAATTAAGCTAAACATCATATTGAAAAATAAAATTCAAAGCTAAAAAATTCTTTTTTTATTGCTTTTTTGCTTGCTTTCGTGGTGGAAAAGTATTTTTTCTTAGTACTAAAGAAGGTTAAGTACTTAGGTATTAATAAAAATAAATAATAAAACAAAAAAAAAATTAAAAATTAAGTAATAATAAAAAATAAAATAAAATAAATTTAAATAACTTAACCAAATATATTGTCATAGAAACGCGTTGTCCAGCCATCTTCCGTGCTTTGCCGCGAATTCTTCATGAATAATATATATTTTTCGAATTTTTCTGGTGACGCAGGACCCCAATTGGTTGTGGGCTGCATGGCTTGTCGGAATTTCTTTAACAAAATAGAAAATTATTTTAATTGTTTTTCTCTACTAAAGGGTGTTTTTTTTAGACATGTGGTTTTCACAATGTGACATAGGTTTTGATACAAAAAAAATTAGATACTATGTTTCAAAAATGATTTCGGGCAAATGGCAATCGCGACTGGCTCGGATAAAGGCCTAATTTTCGACTACTCTTTACAACAATTGGCGCCGTATGTCAGCAATAAGGCGCCGAATATTCTCTTCCACGACGTCAATTGAATCGGGTTTATCTGCTTAGGCCAATGACTTTACATAACCTCACAAAAGATATTCAAGCGGTGTTAAACCGTATGACCTTGGAGGCCCACGACCCGAGTTAATGCGCGCACCAAAAGTTTCCTTCAATAAATTATTATATTCGTTCGCTTTAAACCATGCAGATTTTTTTGTTAACGTAGCCATTCAACGTAAAGTGAGCCCTATCTTCAGTGCCAATTAAAATTTTCTTGTGATAATCGGGCTCGGGCCCCGTTCATCAAGTACCGGACACCCTTCATGGCCGTACAGCGTTAAAACTTGTACAAGTCAGATACTGTAAGACCTCCAACCATGATCCTTGCGCAAAAATCTCCCATAAATTAGTGAAAGACTCATTGGAGTCTTCCTCGATAATCTGCCCAACATCAACATCTTCGGTTCGGTGCGCACTGTATTGCGTCTCTGAGATTACGCTTCGACCACTAGAGCAAACTTGGTGTGATAGCAATCCATGATTACTCGAGTTATCGACTCTGCTTGGCATTTCTGACGACTGAATATTGGACGTAGTGCGTGATGCGTCTCATGAATCGTTATTTTACCATTATTTTGTCTGTTCAGTAAGCAACCGCAAACCAAACAGTGTAAAAATCTCGTCAAAATGACCAACACCGTAAGAGTATTGCCTCATTGAAAATCACACACGTCCGAAAGAAAACACCGCAGTGCATACTCACCTCCTTCAGCGTACTACCCGGCTGCGTGTACACCGTATATAAAGCCCAGAAAGGCAATTGTCCTACACCAATGAACCAAAGTAGCCAAGCAATATTCATTATATAATCCGGATACTCAACACCCTTGTACTCGAGCGGCTTGTAAGTGATCAGCGTATAGACAAGCACAAGAAACATGAGACCCGGCGTTACAATCGCCCAACAGACGCGCCAATAAAGACCCGTTTTGAGATCGCACATGAACTCAATGTCCTTGCAGAAGCGTTTGACGCCTGGCATGCGGTTTAGAGGTAAGTATAAAAGTATATATGTATGGATAATATACAAAATTTTAAAATATTGAGATCCTAAAAAAACTCATTCCAATCCAACAAAAAGCTCACCGTAAATCCACGAAACCGTTACAATCTCACCAATCGCCAAAAATAACGCTATAAATGAACAACCAAAGAAATCGATTAGGTTTAGCAGAAATTGTCCGCCAGGTGTCGTATAGATCAATCCACAAAGAAAACTGCATAATGAAAAACCGATTGTGATTACCCATTGTGGTATGTGACTGAAGCGATCTTTGATTACGGTGATCACACACGAAGACATGCCGATATTACTGCCAATGCCTGGAAAAAAATTGAAGCTTTGTTATTCGCTATCCTTCTTAAGCTCTCTCTGGCACTCACTCATATGCAATTTTTTCTCTACTTACCCAACACGAATAGCATGAAGAAGAAGAGTACCGAAAATAAATGTGGTAGATATTTAAATTTCGCTATAGCTTCTGGATATGAGATGAATGCCAAACCAGCGCCACCCTTTACCACTCTAGAGATGTCGGTAGTATTCGTTTCCAGCGCGAGATTGCCGAGTATGGCAAAGATAACACAACCAGCGAGTATTGAGGTGCAGGAATCAATTGTGGTGACGATTATGACATCTCTGTGCAATGAAAAGGGCAGAGTGGGTTAGATTGAGTTAGATCAAGGGGGTTGACTTCAGTTTGGAGCTATCCACAGAATGAAGAAAATCTCATAAAAGCAGTATAAGCAGCTAAAATAAAGAAGACCACCCAGTCCTGAATGTCAGAGGTTATGAAGTGCAAATTGCAACTAGCAACAACCGAAGTAACCTAAGGCAAATTAAGGGAAGCGGCAACGGTTATGCCGGGCATTAACTATACAGCATCCTCTTGCCTATGGATGCACATACTAGTGTGGAGAAGATTAAGAGACTAAAGACTGACTTGTCCTAATACCGCTTTGAGGACTATAACGGAAAATCTTCTAATGACGTACACCCATTAAGAAGCACAAGCAGTATCTGGTGCCACCGTACGTATTCAACTCCGAAACGATGGAAGCGATGATTCGTAGACAAGTCTTAAACGTCACTCAAGTACGGCCGGCTAACCTTCCTCAATTCTTTTCGCGTGAATGGCGTTAACGCAATCTTAAAACTGCCAGTGAATAACTCGAGCTGCCTCAAGAAAAACCAATAACAGTGAAACTTATTTAAAGTCTGGAGACCAAACTTCTACTAAACTGCTCTCGACCCGACCAACTATGTCTCATATGCAAAGAGCTCCCACGCCGGTCACACCCATCTAACACTCGTCAACCCTGATCTGAACCAGTCGAAAGGCTACACCACCCGTTGAATGATCAAAATGATATCAACCAGCTTTATGTGAACGTAAAAGGGGTGTAACGAGTCGATACAACAACGAAAGTTAAATCACCAACTACTGATTCTTTATCTTTGTATTAGAGCTAGAAGCTTGAATACTCACTTGTGAACACGCTTATGGAAATTATTAAACGAGGCGTACATGATCAATGTACCCAGACAAATAGCCAGAGAGAAGAACATTTGTGTGATGGCAGCATACCAAACCTGGAATGAAAAAGAGACAGTTGGAAGTCTACAGTAAAAAGGAATACCAATCACAAAACCTACATCAGCATTAAGCAACTGATCCCACTGCGGTTTTAAGAAATAAACTATGCCATTCCAGGCGCCGGGCAAAGTTACCGCACGGCCGAGTAGTATAAAAAGTATTACATAAGGAAAAAGTGCCAGAAAATATGAAGCTTTACCAGAGCTGTGAATGCCTAGAAGGAGTTTGAAGAGAAGTTTAAAATTAATATTGAATACACTTAGTGGGGAGTTACTTCTACAACTTACCCTTAATCAATGTTATTACAATTATGACCCACACAATAAACAGATAGATCGCTAAATCCCAGCTCGGCGTGCCAATGCCATGCTCAATATTCTCCTTTTCGTGTAGCACAATCTTGCTGTTCGAAAATAAAAATATTAATTTAGTTTCTGTATATTCCAGTAAGACCAATTTTACTCACGTAAAATACAATTCCGCGGATGAGATCAACTTCACTTGCGTCGCATTATCGCTGACTGTGGAATTATAGCTTGTCATGGATATACAATTCTCACCCCATTCCGGCAGACATGTCGCCCAGGGCAATATTTCCGCAAACGAAGCAATTAAGTACTTAATTGTCAATGCCATAATCGACGCATAATAAGTGGTGGCCAAGGCTGTGGCATAGACTTGACCATAGGCAATACCTGTGTAGGTGGAAGAACGAATTGATAGCTTTTTTTTATGATAGGAATAGATGATTGATTAATTAAATAACCATGTTGATTAATCAATTTCGCAAACAATCTAATTAATCAGTCAGGAAAAATTAAAATAACAATGAGATCATTAAATAAAATTTCAGACGCTCCTAAAAGAAACCCACATGAAAAGAAGACCCTAACTACAGCGGAAATTTTTTCTTGTTATTATCTTCTGCAGGATCACGTGCTACCCACAACCCACCCAACCGGCCGAGAAGCTCGTTTCGTCAACAAAAAAAGTGACAGTTCGGAGTTTGCTGAACCTGAAATCGTCATATTAATACTGACCTGCTGGAAATCACAAGTCACTTTTGAAAGAGTGAGTGAGTACTTGTCCATTGCACGTGAGGACAACTCTTCAAATAGCGACATCTGAATCTTAAACACAGAAAAATAAAAACGATATTACGATTATCGCCTGTAGATGACGCAAATAGCATATGTAAATAGAAACATATGTTGGAAGGGTCAGTTAAGCCTAATTTAGAGCGCTTCTCAGTTAAAAAATACGTTGAATAAATTATTATATATTTTTTCTAAAAAATGCTTCCGCCGTTTTCCGATCGGTGGCTGTACCGGCTGAGGCTGGTTGAAATACATAGATGATAATGCCTTTAAAGTGAGTGTGGACAGTGCCTAACGAATTGTCATCGCCGTTTCAGTGACAGTTGTTCTTGTTTTCGTATTATTCACACTCGAAAATGTCTGTTTATGTGCCTTATTCTCGCCATTTGTGGCAAGTTTTACTTTTCTCTTACAATTCGAAAAAAATGCAGCTGAAGCGCATCGAACGCTCTTAGTGAAAGAACGTGCCGGGAGTGGTTTCGTCGAAGGCAAAACCGAATATTCACGGCGCCAAGGTTATGATTTGTATTTGGTGGGATAAGCTCGGTGTGATTTACTACGAGCTCTTAAAACCGGGTGAAACCATCACAGGAGATCGCTACCGAACGCAACTGATGCGCCTTAGTCGCGCGCTAAAAGAAAAGCGGCCACAATATCAAGAGCGACATGACAAAATCATCCTCTAACACAACAATGCTCGGCCTCACGTCGCAAAAGTGGTCAAAAAGTACCTGGAAACGCCGAAATGGGAAGTCTTGCCCCACCCGCCGTATTCCCCAGATGTCGCCCCTTCTGACTTCCACCTATTTCGTTCGATGGCACACGGCCTGGCAGATCAAGATTTTCAATCCTTCGAAGAATTGGAAAAATGGATTGCTTCATGGATAGCTTCAAAAGTGGACTTCTTCTTTCGAGCCGGGATGCGAAAATTGCCGGAAAGATGGAAGAATATTGTCGCTAGCGAAGGGCAATACTTTGAATAATATATCTGTAAGCTTTTTTTCGCAATAAAGCTTTTAATTTGGGAAGGGTTCGTAGGGCTTTTAAGGGTCAAAATGCCTATTGAAAAATGCAGGAGGCCGGTGATTGGCTAATGGATTGCAAGGACCTCAATTCCGAACATTACACATTTGTCTGCCCTCCTACTCCTGCCATTGTAAGTGACGAAAAGGAGATAAATGAAGATGACGCTATCATGACGAATGTTGTGACTGAAAGAATTGATGTAGTTCCATATCGTCAACAGGATTTCGATTGCATTGAAAGTGATGATGATCACAAGCGGGCTTTGTTGAGCGTAAAATTATCGATCTAGATAATTTTGGCGAACCAATTTGGAGAACGGCTTTCCCCTAATTAAGCCACGAGTATCAGCTGACGAACAACAAAGCGGCTGAAGCCCATAGCGGATCTTTTTCTATATGAGCAGCAAATAACTGATACGGTGCAAGCATCAACTTGTTTGAAGAATACGTTCGGAACTTAAATGTGCTCTGCCTAAGCAAGCAAAAGCGGTACCACAGTATCTGAGCAAATTACCGTGGCGTAAAAAAGCCTCTTTAATATCGCATAAAAAGTTTTGCCACGCACATTGTGTGGAAGACTAAGACCCACCCCATCAATGAGCTGATTGGACCTTTTCAGTGTGGATGCCCAACTAGCAAATCTACAATTAACCAGATATTCATCAGGCGCCAAATCTTTCGAAAATACCCTTGAGGAAAGATCGACACGCATTACATCTTTGTCGACAGCACGAAAAGGAGTTATCTTCATGTTTCTATTTCTGATTTGGTATCCGTGAAAAACTCTTGCAGCAATGCAAACTCACGCTGTGTAACACCAAACGCTCTGCCGGTATTAAGAGACAGCGGCTACGCTGTCTAAGACTCGTCATCCGGATGGATGAGATCAGTTCAGCATTTCGCTACATATTTGATGTCTTTACAATGTCTTAAACGGCTATTCACTTCAGTGAGCCTGAAGAAAACCTGAGTAAACATTCCTATGTAGAGCCGCCAAATACACGAGCTGTACCCGTCGAGGCGACAGCAACAGTTAAACATCTGCTGGTATTCCTTTCACCTACTCGGCGAACAACTAGTTTGTATTTTAAAGTGTAAGGCCGTGAAAACCTACAGTGCAGAGTGGATTGCGAAAATTAAGACCGATTTCTTCTATTTCAAAGTCTCTCTTAAGTTTTCGCTTACGATGCAGTGTCAAGCAGCCGAAAATTATCCGATTGAAAGTCACAGCGAGAGGCTTGAAATCTTGTCTGATTCATGGAAAACAACTGACGGGTGGGAGTGTCTTTAAAAGACGTTTCTGACATATCTTGGACCGCATAACTTTTCTTATTCTGACGAGCTAATGAACATTGAAATCAGTGATATTTGCAAAGATTTCTAACCTGACTTTTCTGAGTTCGAGCAGTGCTTTTGAATGCAGGATGACAAAACAAAGAAAAAAATAGCCTTACTTCCTCTAACAGACAAACAAAATACTACTATTGACATCAATCGATGTCTTCAAGCAAGATGATGGCGAACTTCGCTTAACTTTACCCTACGCTACTCACCTTTCATAATCGGCGCCATATCGAACACACCCACCGCACCACGACTGGCAAATTGTCCGATCAGCACTTCCATATAATAAACGGGCCGACCGATTAGTAACAACACTATAACATATGGTATAACGAATGCGCCGCCACCATTCTCCAGTGCGATAAATGGAAAACGCCAAACGTTACCCAATCCCACGGAGAGCGCAATGCAAGAGAAGAGAAATTCTATTTCCCGACTCCATTTTGCACGCTCACCACTGACACCAACAATCGGTGGGTTTTCATTAACATCCAAGACGAGATCGATCTGTTTGGAAAGATTTAAGATTTTTATTAAAAAAAAGTATTTTTTTTTTTTTGAAAAAAATATTTTGAATTTTTATTGAAAAAAATATTTTTACTTTGAAAAAAATATGTTTTTTTTTTTTGAAAAAAAATATTTGTTTTATTTAAAAAAAAAAATGTGTTACTTTCTTTTTTTGAAAAAAAATTTTTTTTTTGAAAAAAAATATGTTTTTTTTTTTTAAAAAAAAAATGTGTGTTTTTGTTTTTTAAATGTTTTTTTTTTTTTAATTTTTTTTTAAACATGTTTTTCCGTTTTCTGTTTTTTTTTTTTTTTTTTAATGAAATATTAATTTTAAATGGAAGACTAAATAAATTTTATTCAAAGNAATTATGTAATTAAAATTAGTACTTTTTTTTTTTATTTTTTTTTTTTTTTTTTTTTTTTTTTTTTTTTTTTGAAAAAAAACATTTGTTTTCTTTAAAAAAAAAATGTGTTACTTTCACGGAGAGCGCAATTTTTTTTTTTTGAAAAAAATTTGTTTTTTTTTTAAATGTTTTTGTTTTTAATTTTTTTTAGATATGTTTCCTTTTTTTTTTTAACAAAATATGTTCTTTTTTTTTTTTGAAAAAAAGATGTATTTTTTAACTTACCGCCTCCGTTTCCTCCTGTTGCACGCTACCGATGCGTATGTTCTGCGTATACAAACTATCGATTATAGAGATGGCATCGCCCGCATCGTCCCTTAACTGTCTACGATTTTGTGACTTAGACATGTTGACATTTATGTCGCGTGTTTCAGAAGTTCACAATATGTTGATTACGCCACGTGCGACTAATTGCTATTTAATAAATTAAATTAAAATATAATAAAGCAAAATAAATTTAATGTTTATTAGTGAAAAATTACACAAAGAGTAGACTGCAAGATCTTGATATTTTATATTGAACATATTCATATTGTTTACTATAAAATCGGAGATTTGCGACAATTCACTGATTGCGCACGAAAAAAAAGAAAAAAAAAACAGAGCTAATGAATATGCATTTAGCAACAAACAAAAAAAGTGAATGCATTCAAATAAAAGTACGACACAATGTATGCCTGTATGCAAATATCTATGAGGAAAATTGTAGAACTGTTATCAAAAGTCGGCATCACTCAATCAAGTGCGCAACATTGCCAACAAAATTTTATAAAATTATAGTGCTGAATATGCATAAGGCATTAGTCCACAAGTGAACTTGTAAAGTTCAATGCTTCACTTTAATATTTATATATTTCTAATAAATTATAATTAAAATTATTTTTATTAATCATCTATTTTTTTTTTTAAATAAAGGATGATTTTTTAGACATGTCGTCTGCAAGAAGAAATGAAATGCATTTAATTTAATGTTATTGCCAAGAATTTAGCTCTATTGTAAAAGTAAGCATTTTTTATTTTGTTTTAAAAATGACCGCCGCGACTGGTGCGAAAGAATTCCAGGCGGAAGGTCCAATTTCCGACCACTTTTTTTGACGCCGTATATCAGCAATAGCGCGCCGAATATTCTCTTCAAAAGCGTCAATTGTCTCGAGCTCAACTGCACAGACAAGCGACTTTGCATAAATAAATAAAAATAGTCCAGCGGTATTAAAATGTAGGATTTCGAAGGTCCACGACGCGAGATAACGCGCTCATCAAAAGTTTCCTTCAATAAATTGATTGTTTTGTTGTCTATGCGACATCTAGCGCCATGTTCTTGGAAACAGCAATGTTCGTCCACATCAACAAACTCCAAATCAAGTACCAAAAAGTCTTTAATCAAGGCTCTAGAGAGTTCCCCATTGACTTTAACCTTATACGTGCCTACTTTTTTGGAGTAATATGATGTACTAATAAGATCCTCTGACCGCAGCGAATACCAAACAATGAGTTTTTGACGATGGAGCGATATATCAACAATGGCTTGTGGATTATCATCACTCCAAATGCGACAATTTTGCTTATCAACGTCACCATACAACCAAAAGAGAGCTTCATTGTTGTACAAAATTTTCTTATGAAGATCGGCATCGATGGCCACCACGTTTTGCGCCAATACACCAAACGTGCAACACACTGAATATTCGTATGGCCTCAATTCTTACAGGAGTTGGATTTTGTTAGCTCGCCTACCAGGTTGCTTCAACAAAGTAGTCCTTAAAGTGGATGTACACAGCTCCGATGCGGATCCTCTTTGACACTGCGCTCCACAGCAGCAACAGCTGCTTCGGTGTGCACTGTACGGCGTCTCTGAGTATTCGCATTACGCACTAAAGTAAACGCGGTGTGTTAGCGATCCATAGTTACTCGAAATACCGACTGTACTGGGCGAATATATGACCAAATATTGGATGTAGTTGTTCAAAATATCAACTTCCAAGCAAAAAATTGCTTCATTGGAAACCACACGTAGGAAAAAACACCTTTTATATACATACATATATTATTTATAAACATATTTATTTTCATTATCAAGAGTTTTATATGTCATTAAATGCATAAAGCAAAGGTGAATAATCGCTCTCTGATACTCCCGTGCAGAGCCGGCACTTTCAGTAGACAACCGGCTTCAACTTGAATTTTAATCAAAGAATTTGTGGTTCATTGTCGCGGGATTGTTGATAAAGCTGAGCTTAAAGGTCGGATCAACTTTTGCTTAATTTTAAATGAAATTTGGTCTTTTCATTTTTCTTCAAAGTGAATACGATATTGGACAACTTCAGCGTGCAAGCAAGTAAACGTTAAAATTCAGCTGAAGGAGCTACTGTTTTCTAATTTTCTTCAGCAAAAGTCTTGCTTTCGAAAGCTATCAAAATTAAAAAAAAACAGTAAAATAGTCGAATCACTGCTTTGCTCTACTACTAATTCATCTGAAACTCTTTTTCGTCCCAGTATATTCTGCAAAAAAAGCTGATGTATGGTCCTGGTCATTTCTTCACCGGCATGTTTGTATAACTCGGTCATTGATCCATCGGCTCCTGCTGCTTTGTGATTTTTCACATGGGTAATTGTTTAGCCGTTTTCATCAACATCAAGTGATGGCACGTCTAAGCCAAGGTTATCGATTGAGGTTTTCTGGGTTTGCCATTTACATTTTTCCTGCAATTAAACGGTCTGGAGAAGTGTTCCCTCCATAAACTCTGAATATCAGTTCGTTCCTACAAAAAGAAGCTCCGGTCTTGAAACCGTTCGAAATAAGGCTCAGCCTCACACTTTTTCAGCAAATGCGTAAATAAATTTTAATTAAAAAAAAAAAAAGAATGAATCAACAGTCAAGTCGAAGTAGTTTTGAGCTGCTGAATGTGGATTTAAAAAGATCTCTATTAATTTATGCTTCAAAAATCGGTTATATTTTCGATTATTTCTAAATTTTCCAGTCGATCCAAGAAAAGTTTCTGAGACACAGCGCGCTCTAGTCAGGCAAAAAGTTCTTCTCGAAACTGTGTATTTAAAATCGGTTGCCTGGAGTTCCCGAAACGTATTCAACTAATCTGGATGGAATGGTTAACGCGGAAGCACATTTTTTTTCGAGAGATTACCAGAGTCTCCATAGACAACCGGCAATCTTGGCTTTGAAACAATTTTTGTTTGACACTGTTGTAAGTGGTACACTTTTCGTCATCAGTCACCATTAGCTTCAGAAATCAGTTGATACGCAGTTGGAAATTAGGTCCAATAGATTTTTCCCTGATAACTCATGTGTCATCCGCATATACGATAAGCTTCTTTGTGTATTCATCCTTTTTCAAGTGGTGCCAAGCTGCTTTGCTATTTCCTGGTGTCCCTCCCTTGACATGTGCTTAAGCACTACTACTACTACTGTACTACAGTACAAAATATCATCTTTCTAACGCCTTCAAAATTAAATCAATTGGTCTAATAGAACGCGAGATAGAGATCAGTAAAGCCATTTATTGCCAACATAATGGATTACCTTTTACTTGATCTAAAATATATGTACATATGTGTACCTTTAAATGTATATATCATTCCCAATTTAACTGTTAAAGTCTAAATTTTGGAGCTCAGTTAAAAATTATCTTTATCCAACCCATAAAAAATCTTCCCAAAAAGATATGAGTGTCAATAATTAAGCAAAAGAAAGCAAGAACAAAATCATAAACTTATTTATTATGCAAAACAAATTTAGTTTGGGATGAGATAGACATTTGCAAGCTTTTTATTATCTCAAATAATTATCTTTTTTTTTTCAGAATAAGTTCATAAATTCTAATTCAAAAGTACCAAGGCAAAGTTTGATATCTGTACACGCGGATTAATATTTATATTGCACTTCTGGTTCGAAAATTAAATTAAATAAAAAAAAAAATAAATAAAATTCAGTTAAATTTAAATAATACTAAATAAAAAAAATTTAATAAAATTGAATTAAAAAAAAGTAAATAAAATAGAATAAAAAAATTAATATAAAATAATATTAAATAAGTAAAAGTAAAATAAAAAATAAATTTTTAAAGAATAAATTAAAAATAAATTTAAACAGAATAAAATAAACGAAGATAAAACAAAATAAAACTAATATAAAATTAAATGGAATGTAATAAAATAAAAGTTCAAACATTAAATTTAATAAAATTAAATATATTAAGTTAAAATAAAATTAAAAAATGTATATATTAATAAAAAAAATATATATCTACAATAAATAAAGTAATAATAAAAAATGTTGAATATAATCAAAGAAACCAAATAATAATATAAAAAAAACAAAGAAATAAATGAAAAAATAAAATTTAATCCAAGCACAAAAATTACATCAAAAATAAAATAAAATAAATTTAAACAAATTTATTAAAAATTAATTAAATAAAAATAAATATAACGGAATAAAAAAAACAGAAATAAATAAAATAAAATAAAATATAACAAAATAAAACAAAAAATTAGCTTAATTAATTGATTTAATCTAAATCTAATAAATTGAATTAAAAATAAATAAAACAGAAATTAAAAAAAAAAATTAAATAAAATGTACTAAAATAAAATTTAAAAAATAAAAGAAAGTAATTGAATAAAATAATTGACAATATGTATAATAAAATCAAATAAAATAAATTAAAGAAAAAATTATGTAAAACAAAATAAAAAATACGGAAATTAATAAACCAAATAAATAAAACTAAATGAAACAAAATATGACACAAAAATTAAATCAAAGGAAACAAAACAAAATAAATTAAAATCAAGTAGAATAAAATAAAATTTAATGGGATTAAATAAACTTCAAATAGGAAATAGAAGAAAACATAAAATGGAAAATCAAAGAAATAAATAAAAAAATAAAATTAAAACCAAGCACAAAAATTAAACAAAAATAAAGTCAAATAAATTTAAACAAAATAAATATAAATAAATATAATAGAATAAAATAAAAAATGAGCTTGAATCAATTAATTAAAATCAAATAAATTAAATAAAAAGAAAGAAAAATTAAATAAAATTTACTAAAATAAAGTAATAAAAAAAATTAATAATAAAATACTTACAATATGTATAATAAAATCAAATTAAATAAATTAAAGAGAAAATGATGTTAAACAAAATAAAGAACACGGAACTTAATAAACCAAAAATAAATAAATAAATGTAAATGAAACAAAATAAATTCAAGTAGAATAAAATAAAATAAAATGGGATAAAATAAAATTCAAATAGCAAATAGAATAGAACATAAAGTAAAATAAAAAATAAAAGATTAAATATATTAACATTCCATATAAAAATGTATAAAAAAATAACCAAATTAAAATAAAGTCCAATAAAAACAGTAAGCTTAATACTTTAATTCAAGCAAATAAAACAAAAACTAAAGCAAATACAAAAACTCAAAGTAAAATAAAATGAAATAAGGTATGCAAAATAAAAATATTAAAAATAAAAGTATATTAAAATTAATTTAAATTATACATATTCAAAAAATTAAAAAATAAATAAGAGAAAAATTAAATTAAATGTAATAAGTTAAAATGAAAATGAATAAAATAAATTAAATTAAATTACATAAAATTAAGTAGCGGAAAATTTTAAATAATAAACCTTTCAATAGAGTCAATGTGCGATTTTCCCCAAGGTCTTTTTTGAACACACAGTTGAAAGCTTGTTGTCAGACTACAGGAGCCGTGAAATTGACTTTTGGATTAAAAGTTCCACTCTAGTCAACAAATAGCGTTAGTTGACCGGGAAAAATATATATAATAAATTTACAAATAAAGTTCAAAGACAAAAAAACGCAGTTTATTGAAAATTACACATAAATATAAAAAATTTTTTAAATTTTAAAAAAAATAAAATATAGTTTTTGTAATTAAAAAATTTAACAAAAAATTTTGTTTTTCCAGTAAAAATATTTTTTCATAAAGTTTTTAGTTACAAATAATATCAGCCGCGCGTTCCTTGAAATATTTTTAGTAATATTTATTAATCATAATTCACATCACTCACATTTTTAGTTAAATAAATTTTTTAGTTCTAACGCTTTAATATTGAAATAATTTTTAAATTCAACTTTTCATTTCACTCTGAATTTTTGCTACAACCATATACTATATTTTAATTTTTTTTTTTTTTTATATTAGTGGTGAATCATTTAAAGGACACTATATTTATTCTCTCTTTAAACTTGTCTAACACACACGACACTCCAATCGCGACCGCGTCTATAAGGTTTAAAATAACGACTGAATTTGAGTTTCAAAAACGACGTTGCAACGAAGTCAACGATTATCTATTAAATATATATACACATACATACATGCGTATGTGTGCAGGTGTATATGTTGTTGAATTATAATTCATTTGCATGAATGTGATGGTTAATTTGTATATTTATTAATTGTTGCAGTGTCTTTTATACATGCATATGTATGTACGAATATGTATATCTTCATAAACGCTGTACTTATGTATATTAAAAAGCACGTGAGTAAATATGTGTGTGCTTTCGTATCTAAGCTGAAAAAGAAATCTCACAAGAATTTTAACAATTCCAAATCTTTGAATACATACTATATGCTACATACATACATATGTACGCATTTGTATTAATATATATTTTCTTATCTACCACAGCACTAATAATTCTAAAAAGTCTGTCTAGTCAGCCCTGTTGCATTTATTATCATTAAAGTAAATAAATAAAATTAATTTTAGGTTCTAATTCTTTTTTTTTTTGGTGTAATGCCTCAGGTGTAGCATGAAAGAAAGAAGTGGCAACACCTTGTTTAAACTGGACTTTTTACATCTACCCTTATGTACACACTTGTATGTGTAGATGTGTATTACTAGAGATATAAAAAGATATTACTACTTTTTTTGTTGAGAAAGTAGATTAACAAAAAATATTTAACGCTAAAATTTGTATATAAAATAAAAAAAAAATTAAATAAAATAAAATAATATAAAAAATTATAAAATAAAAAAAAATAATAAAATAAAAAAAATAATAAAATAAAAATAATAATTAAATATAAAAAAAAAATTAAATAAGAGGAAATTAAAATTAAGGAAGTAATAAATGGAAAATTAAAAAAGCAAAAAAACAAAATTAATGAAAGTAAAATAAAATTAAATACAATAAAATAAAATAAACCAAAATTAAATATAAAATGTAAATCAAAAATTTGAAATAACAAGAAAATAATATTAAAGAAATATATAAAAGGAAATTGAAATAGAAGTAAAAACCAAATAAAATAAAATAAAATAATAAAATAATATAAACTCAAATTAAATAAGAGGAAAATTAAATTCAATATAAGGTAAAGTAAAATATAGAATCAAATACAAAATTTTACTTAAAAATAAATTAAAATAAAATAAAAGAAATTAAATAAAATAGAATTAAAAAAAAAAACTTAAAAAAAACACAGTATAAGCAAAATAATATAAAATATACTAAAATGAAAAAAATGAAAGGAAAATAAAATAAAGGGAAAATAAAATTAAATAAAATAAAGGGAAAATGAAATGAATTATAACAGAATGTGTGGATTTACATGCAAAAATTTAATTAGAAATAATTTAAAATAAAGTTAAATAAAAAAATTAAAGTAAATTAAATTAAACAAAATTTAAAAATATAAAACCAAACACAATAGAAACAAAATAATATAAAATAAAGTAAGCCAAAATGAAAAAATGAAAGGAAAATAAAATAAAAGGAAAATGAAGTAAGGGGAAAATAAAACAAAAAAAGTTAAATAAAATAAGAGGAAAATGAAAAGAAATAAAAGTGAAGGTAAAAAATCTATATAAATCCAAATGCAAAAATTTAAATTAAACAAAATTAAATAAAATTAAATAGAATAATTAAAAAAATAAAAATTAAATAATTAAATAAACTAAATGAAAATAAAACTACATTTTATATAATGTAAAATGGAATAAGATGAAAATAAAATAAATTTAAATGAAATACAATAAGCTAAAATGAAATTAAAAAATTGGGAAGAATATAAAATAGAAGGAATCTATTATATAATAAAAGCAAAGTAAAATGAAATAAAACAAAATAAAATAATATAAAAACATAAGAGGAACTTTAAATGAGATATAATATAAAGTAAAAAATGGAACCCGATCCGAATACAAATATTTAATAAAATTAAATTAAATTAAAAATATTTAAATAAATTCAAGAAAATTAAGTTATAAAAATTAATTGAAAAACAATAGAAATTAAACTAAAATAAAATAAATAAATTAAAATAGTATTAAATTAAATAAGCTAGGATGAAATAAGGTAAAATAAGCGGAAAATAAAATGAAATAAAATAAAATAAAATAAAATAAAATAAAATAAAATAAAATAAAATAAAATAAAATAAAATAAAATAAAATAAAATAAAATAAATTTAGATATTTTATTAATTATCAGGCTAAGCTAAATTACTTGAACTGTTCGCTTAACAAAAATTAATAAAATAAATTTAATTTTAATAAAAAATGAAGAAAATGAAATAAAATAAAGTATAATAAAATAAAATAAAATTAAGGGAAAACAAAAAAAATATAAGAGAAAGTAAAGAAATAGAATTAAATCCGAAAACAAAAATTAAATAAAACAAATTTAGGTAAATAAAAAAACAATATAAAATAAGAGACAAGGAAAAAGAATAAAATAAACTAAATTAAAATACTATAAAATAAATAAAATAAAATGAAAATTAAATTAATATATAAATCCGAAAACAAAAATTTAATTAAATAATAAAATGAAATAATTTTAAGTAAATAAAATTAAATAAAGCAATAAAAAGTAGCATAAATTAAATAAAAATACAATAATATAAATAAAATAAGAGGAAAATAAAATAAAATAAAATTATATATAATGGAACAAAATAAAAAGAAATAAATTTTTATAAAAATAGTTAAATCAAACTAAAATTAAAATAATTTAATGTAAAATAAAAGAATAAAATAAAAAATATTTATATAATTTTAAAATAAAGTTAAATAAAATAAAGAATATTTATATAATTTTAAAATAAAATTAAATAAAATAAAATAAAACAAAATAAGAGCTAATAAAATGTAATATAAGATAAGGTAAAAAAGTTGAATGAAATCCATATATAACCAATTAAAAAAAAAATTAATATAAAATAAAACAAATTTAAGTAAATGAAATTAATAAAATAAAAACGAAACAAAATAAACCAAAAAATTAAAGGTAAAACCAAATAGAAAAATTAAAAGTAAAATAAAATAAAGAAAAAATAATTATTAAAAAACTTTTTGTAAGTATTTTGAACATAAAAAAATATAAGATATATTTTCATATCTTTATTCACATTTTTATGTATACCACTTTTAAATAATTTTTTAATAGAATAATTTAAAAAAAGAAACAAAAAATTTTAATTTATAGAACAAATTGTTAACATTTTAAAACTTTTAGGTTAGAATAAAATTCAGTTTCAAATAATCCATTTCGACGAAACTAAAAAAAGATGTTTTTAAAATTCATGCTTATAAACGATGAGTAGATAATACTTATCTATTATATTTATGCTTTGTATACATGCATATGTACATATATGCTTTCATATCTGTAATTTTTTTTTTAATAGCTTATTGCAGTATTGCATCAATCACAGCTAAACAGAGAGTACAGTGGACTCGGACAACTTTTAGCGAAATAGAATTATAGAAAAAGATTACGATTGATGCAACGATCCGAAAATTCAGCCTCTCCGACGAGACATATCTTAATGGCCCAAAGCTGTTCGACTTTGCCGCGGACCGATATTTGATTGTCTGTAATACTGGATTTCGATACAAAAGGATACTTAATACTTCGGATTGAAAAAATCAAACCCTAAAAATTCATGCTAATGACCTTGTGGTTAACATAGATTCGCACCCCTATCATGCCGCAGCCAAGATCCAACTCTGTAAAACCAAGAACGGGTAAGGTTCAACATTGGAATCATAATTGATAGCCACGCTGTTTCTAACACGTCTCGTGCTCCTGATCTCAGGCAGGCCTCTTCAAAAACTAGAAACGAAACTATTGGTATTCGACAAACTGGAATAGAGAGCTGGTTCGACGATTCGTTGAGCGCATTTGAAGAACTCCCTGGTGTTTTGCGTGAAACACTAAAGCCTCATCAATGAACTGATCGAACACGAGAGACACTCACTAACCCCGAGCGCCAATTTTAAAACTATAATTATAGTGAAGCAAAAAGATCTGACTGCCTCGCTGGGTTGCTCTCGATGGTAACGCATGTGGTGTGGAATGGTTATCAAGAGCTGAAGAAGGAAGCAAGACATATAAGCGAATAGAAAAAGCGAGAGATCGAAATGGATAACTCTAAAGATCTTGAGAATCTGGTATGCAGGAGCAATGCTCGTAAATTACAAGAGAAAAACAGCAGATCTCAGAACAGTAGCGTACTTATGTCATAGAAAAAGAAGTGGTCTGCTGACTGATGTGCAGAATATATAGATTTTACGAAGGGAAAAATTTTTCGGCCTGCTTAATGGGAATTAAAGTGAAACGTACGAAGATGCTAAGCCCGAAACCCTACTCGAAGACTCGAAGGGAATGAAATGGACGTTCCACAACCACAATATCCGGAAGTAAAAGTATCGTACAAAGAACTATATCAAAATATTTATGCTATATATGAACGCATCTATTTGTTATAAATAATTAACGCTTTGTAACCGTTAAAGCGAAAATGCTCCAATTTGTGGTTTTGGTATTGATGTTTCTCTAACAAATGGAGGAGGGGCCTACAATTTGTACTAAGACGCTTCATGCCAGAAAGATCTAGACATTCCCTCATCAGAAAAGTTAAATTTGGATATTAGTCGAACCAGGACTTGGACCCTTGCTTTATGAATGACTGTACGTAATGCGGATTTTGCGGCCGTCGAACCTAACTATATATAAAATGCGCTTTTTTACCCGTTGAAGGGATTTTGCGTCTTGATGTTCTTCCAACTAATAGAGGGACCTACAGTTTATACTAAGGCGCCTCCGAACGGCTGATTACGAGGAGTATTTTTTCATGTCCGAAATAAAATCGGTAGGGGTACATTCCCTGCCGAGGAGGGACCGCAATTAGGAAATTTAACTTAAACCTTAGCCTAACTAGGATGGTGTAAATTCATTATCAAGTTGGTTAGCATTGCAGACGACTATGGAAAGAAGCCCATGCGGCTTATGAATTCATTAATATACCCGCGGTAAGGCATGCCTGTCGTAAGAGGCGACTAAAATCCAAAAGTTTCCGCAACAGTCGGGTCTTTATACCGGAACGACACGTATTTTTTATCCCCGAAAACTGCTTTGGAGAATATTTTTGCGGTTGCAATAAACAACAACAGCAACAGTCATGTGAAAGATTATGGATTCCAACTGCTATCAAACCTCGTCAACCAATGTCAATCCCTCTAAGCATGTTACTAACAAAAAAGCTCTTCATGAAAACCCCTCAACCATACGAAGCAGGGAGATCGGAGGCGGAGCTCGATCGAAAATCACTTCAGCGGTTGTCTATCAAATTTTGATCCCACTCTTGTCGACTCCAAACCATTATGCATAAGAGAAAAATCGTTCCATGCAAATCAGCATAATCCGACGTTCGGCATCCCTTTCGCACATCACACATAATCTTCATTTGTCTGATCTAAGTTGCTTAGACAACACACATACATATGTACATATGTATCTAATAAATGATTTCAATTGATTGTGCCCATTTTCACAACGATCACTAATCAATCAAAAAGATTTGTGTTCTCGAGATGAGATTCAACGCGCGATTGTTGTCGGCGGTCAATACCAGTTGTTGCTGGTTGCTAAGGCGGGATGTGTGTAAGCTTTAAAGTTGTTAAATAAAATGAACAACATTTTTGCATTTTATTAATTTTTATATTTTTTTATATTTATTAGACTAATTTTGATTTACAGGTAAACTTCCGGCTCAGCCTCAAGTAGAAAAGAAGTAGTAAAAAAAACTTGAATAATTTTTGGGGAGCTCAAAAGTTCTGCGCCTCGTATTTTGACACATGGACACATATTTACACACACACATATACTTCCACATATACATATGTATATGTATGTAGAGTTGATTTATGGAAGCACAAATCAAACAAACAACACTACGTTGACACACATTTCCACAACAATAACAACTCCCACACCAAACGACATGCTTTCTTCTCCTCCTCGCTCTCTTTATAGCTGGCTGCTGGCCGCTCTCGCTGATCGTTGCATTTTGCTTCCTCCACACATTAGGTTTCATATTTTTTCACATTAATGTCGACCTGTCGCTTTCGTCGCCTCTCACTGGCATAATAATAGAGATTTTCATTATAATCATCTGTGCCCACGATCGGTGGATATATGAGATTCTTGCAGGCAGCATTACCAAGTACGTTGTGTTGATAGATGGCGCTGTAAAAGAGAAGAGAGATTAACCTTTTTTTGGGATTATAGTAAAACATTATTAACTGTATATACATATATACGTGAAAATACAAAAAAAGGAAACACACATTAAAAGTAAAATCGGTATGTCTGCAGATCCGCTATTGGTTGGAACGTAGTCTGCATCGAAAGAAACTCGTGTGTCAACTTACAAGCTGATGACTCTTTACTAGGTACTAGAAGGTGTACCGGGTGTAACCAGTTCGACTTCTGAACTCCACTGTATATCACCGTTCTGCTAGGTTGCTGCCAAATTGGGACTACTACATATTATATAATTACGTGAGGCATACATTAAGACCAGAAAGTTTCCGAATTTTTTTTTGCGCGGTTTGATTCATCAGGAATTCGTTGCAATGGGTCAGACGGTCAATAAAGAGTATTTCTTAAGCGTGTTGAGGCGTTTGCGCAAAAACATCCGAACGACTGGAATTGTGGGCCAACAATTTCCGGAAACTTTCATGACGATAATACGACATCGCATCCCAGCTGTAGTTTTGAACGATCCTGAGACTAAAAACTCGTTCAATACCATCGAACAACCACAGTATTTAACGGATTTGGCCTAAAGCGACTTTTTTGTTTCCAATGTTCAAGTTACCACTCCGTGGAACACGTTTCCACTCGATTGAGGCCGTAGAAGAAAATTCGCAGACGCAATTGAGGTCGACTGATTTCAAAAGCTGCTGCAAGCAAACTGTTTGACAGACAGATCGCGCTCATTTGTGGTACAGTAAATGAGGGCAGTGCCAACCAATCAACTCTACAAAATAAGAAGTGCTGAAAAATATTCCGGAAACTTTCTGGTCTTGATGAATACAAGCTGAGGTATTGAAATTCCCTGCAAGAGGTGCTTGCTACTGTTGTTGTAGCTGCAAGACTATATTGGAAAAGTGCCGGTTCTTGGTCGGATAAAAACCCGCGCCGTGCCGATGTGAAAACCTCATTGCCACGAGAACTTTTGGATTTTAGTCGCTACTTACGACAGGTATACCTTACCGGGTGGAAATTGTTGAACCGCAGAGGTCGCTACTCGAATAACTTTAGGTTTTGATACGGCTATCATACGAAGCCACTACCTTCTGTATGGTAACATGTACTACCAAACACTTTAGCCGCCGCTTCGACCAGACTTATCAGCAAGAATATCCACGATGGTCATTCTATAGAACCGACTAGTAAGCAGTACTGGATAAGTTAAGGCTCTGGTCTGGTAAAAACTGCTTGATAGTTACAATTTTTTACTCAAACGTGTTCGATTAGGCAGCAACAAATCTATAGAATTTATTTTGGCTATTTTTTACGGAATGTTGTTCGGGAGAAAACACAGTAAATTTCACTCTTTGTGAGAGTAAAACATCTTACTCTCTCAATTTCGGCACTGACTAATTCTTACTGACTTTCCTCACCGAAAAGAGCACGGGTCTGTGTGGAAGATATTTCTATAAAAACCAATAAACAAAAAAATTTTTTTTTTGTTTCTGAAGAAAGCTGAAATTTGATTGTTCCACAATTTCGTAGAGTACTGCCGACATTATATACCATAACTACATAACATACATTAGTAAATATACAAAAAGCTTTGCCTTGCATGACGACGGAACAACCTACAGCCTAAGCCACTGCCACTGATTGCAGAGATCTGAAACGAGGAGGATGTGTTCTGCGTAGGTCATGGGCAGTGGCTCTGAGGCTGCTCAATTTGAAATCACTTATTATTTATTTAGATTTTTTTATATATGTGGAACATATGTAGGTGGCTTTTTGCCAAGGTTAACATATGGAAGTGGACCGATCTATTCAAAAAGAAATTTTGTTCTTGAAATTTTTCAACATAAAATTTTTTTTATTTTAATAAAATAAGTAACGTAAAGAAAACGAATAGAAAAAATCTTATTAGAACCATTTTGAACAATTTCTACGAAGATGAAGGTAGGTGTACTTAAGCGCTCACGGCCAGAGTGATATTATTATCGTCGAAACCGCATCCGAGTGTGCGCAAGTGAAGTCGCGAATTTAAAATCGATGGTACGCCTATGAATGATGAATGGATGAGCGGAAGACCTTCAACTGTGGCTGACGAAATTTCTGAAAAAATCCATATAAAGTTCAGCTTATGCAACAACTGAGTCCAGCTGAACATTCACAAAGCCGCACATATCATACGTCGATTGGGTGCTTGAACAACTCGCAGTGGATGGGATTTTTCAAAGAAATTTTCTTCACTGACGCGGCATATTTCTCACACGGGGAACACGTAAATAAATAAATATCAAATATTTATATATATTTTTTTTTCGGCGGAACTCCTTCTTCTGCGGTTGGTTTAGCGTCTTGATGTCTTTCCGAAAAATGAGGAGACCTACAGTTTATGTCGAAGAGGTTGACATTCCCTGACCATGGGCAGCCGCAATTAGAAAATTTAACTTCATTCTCTATAACTTTTGGATCTGAGCCCGAGCCTTCCAAATGGCAGCGCGCAATGCTAACCACTCGGCTACCAAATAATTACACCAAAAAAAGAGAAATTTATTGTCTGGTGCACTCTTTCGACTTTACGTAATACTTTGAAAATGACAACTGCGAGATTGTCACTGTCCATTTGAAGTGTTATGGTCATGTGTCACACAACACGAGCGAATGTGGCTTTGTTGCGCGAGAGTTTTCCCAGCCATGTAACCTCTCGTTTTGGCGTTATCAATTGGCCACCGAGAACCCAAATTTCGAGAACTCAAACCCAAAACTCAGCAACTTAAATTAAATACTAACTTGAACTCAAGCCCAACAAAGCTTACATGGTTTGCTTCAGATTCGCAATCTCCTCCTCCATGCGTCCGATCTTTTCCTCCTGTTTCACGCGCAACATCTGACTACGTTCGTTACTCTCCTCCAACAGCTTGATCATGTGCTCCTGACGCGACAACTCCATCTGCTTGTGACTCAATGTGCTAAAAAGATTTTGAAATTCCTCCGCTTTTGTGCGCAGATCATTATTTAACTGTAAGGGTATATAATGAAAGGCGCACAAAAAGAATGTTCAATCATTAAATGAAGACTGCTTTTTACGGTTCGAGTGACTCACCCATACCTCATTGATGGTATTATTCTTATCGCCAACTTCGGCAAACATTTGCTCGAGGTGTATCCGCTGGCTGTTGTCGTTCGTTTGCAGTGAATTGATCAAATCGCTGCGCACCTCGAGCAGTTGTTGATCGCGACGAATTTGCTCCTCCAGCTGTTCGATGTTGAAGTGTGCTTTGGACAATTGTATTTTGAGTTTTTCAATTTCGCGCACTTTCTCCGCCTCCGACTGACGCAATTTGGCCAGCTGCAAGGATATGATGTGACGATTTTCGTTCGTACAAAGAGTTCTTAGGCGAATGAAACTTACCTCGGCCTGATATTCCTTGGGTAATTCCACACTTTCCATTGCTGTCTTCTCACGTGCCAATAATTCTCTGATATAAGTAAATATATAAATTATTATGAAACGCATTTCAATATTCGAATACATTAATTAAGTGTTTGGCGATTAAAGAAAAAACAACAACAACAACAAGAAAATATAAATTTTGCTTTTTATTCTCATTCATCCCAGTGACAGTTCATGTGTGTGGCCTATTTACCGTTTGTCGGCATACCAATTTGTTTTGTAATTTTCATAAGGTTCAAACGAAAGACCGCAGAATATCCCAGTAGGAAATAAATTAAAAATTTTTTTTTTTTGTTGGAAAAAAAACAGGCAAAACCACAAATCGGAGGAGGAGCTCGGCCGAAAATCACGTCAGCGTTTACAAAGCGCCAAATATATATATATGCAATGGTTCGGTTCGAACTGCCGAGCCCGTAACTCGCGCAACCAAGAATCGATTTCACACCACGTTCACTTTAGTAGAGTATGTGCATCCGCGAAGACACCGCATAGTGGAGCAGAGTAACGAACGCCATCAGGCGTAGCGATTGGAGCTCTGCCCATTCACTTTACGTAAGAGTACGCGGTAGTATCTTGGTTGGCCGGCTTAAAAAATCCAACTTGTGCAATGTGTAAATCCTCACGACCATCAAGCGCGTTGGACGTTCGGTGAATGGGTCCAAAATGAGTTGAAGCCCACTTTTGGTTGAATGAGTTCGTTAATAGACAAACATTGTCGCATTTGAAGTGACGAAAATCCACAAGATATTGTCGAGACATCGTTACATTCAAATATTAGACCGGCCGTAATGTTGCAGTCAATGGAAGACGATATAGAGCCACGATTAACAACTTTTGTGTGGCTTAGGAGCGAAATAAAGTTAGACGATCTCGTGGTGGTTATTTAGGCTAAGAAGAAACAGTTTCGACGGGTTCAAGTCTTGGAGGAAAGGAATATTAGGTGAGGAGGTCTTAGTACACATGTAGAGCGGGGATTAGGTTGGAAATGCCGGAGTAGAGTCTTGGTTAGTAAATCTTAAGTATACCACAGTATAAACGATTTTTGGAGGTGGATTCTGATGTCGCGATTTACATGTAGGAAATTTTTGAGCATAGACGGACTTTCTGTGAATGGCTTTTAAGGTCTGTTGGTAGCTTGTCGAGCTCTGCGGTTTTGCAACATTTTACTGAATGCAGGCTCCCTCAAATCCGGTATTCTGAAATTCAAAATTTATGACCGGCCGGCTAATAACTTTGCGGTTTCGAACATAACAGACAGTTACGTTAAATTTATGGCAGTCGGAATTGGGATGACGTCTGAAGCCTCTCCTGTCACATTTCTAGCGAACAACACCAGCGAATTAAGGGTACAACAAGGACTGATATTGATATCATTGGACGTTGCAAGTAACTGAACACTTGGCAAATGGTCGTAGTACGGGCCCAGAAAGCGAATGTGTAATAGAGCTCTTCTCTATTGCCAAAACTAACGCTTTGCAAGATGTTCACTTTACTCATGGCCATATATCGCGCAGAGGCATGGATTAAGCCACAGACGATTGTAGCCGTGGTTGGAGTATTCGAGAGAAAAATACTTCACAAAATCTTCGATCACGTTGGTTTTGGCCAAGACTATTAAACCACGAACTGTACGAGCTTCACAACGCCATCGATATTGTTGAGCGCATCAGACTCGACGTAGGCAAGACGAAGCTCAAACAAAGAAGGTTTTCGAAGCGAAAGCTATTGGAGGACGGCGAAGGGTAGGCGGCGTAAAGAAAAGTTTAAATTTTTTGGGTACCATGAGCATATGGATATCGAAAGATTTGCGATAGTTGAAGAGCTGGTTGGAGAGGGAGTACTCTGTACCCATGGAGCTGTTAGACTCATTCAGGGAAATAAAGCATACACAAACTTTGGGAACGAACAAAAACTGTTAAAATAGTAGAAATTAAGGCATAAAGTTTACATGGCAATAAGGAGGTCAGCCTACTGGTTGCTAGTAGGTCTGCAAAAGAGCATAATAGTTCTCGCTCGACATTAAATTAGGTTTGGTTGAAGGCAGTAAAATCTTTGAGTTTCCGACATTTAGCAGACAGAAAGTGATTTCACTTGGCGAGGATAAGTTCCAGGCTTTTCAATGGCCATAAGATCCAAAACGCCTGCTTCGGTTTGCAAAGGCACAGCAATGTTCTTCCAACAAAAGGCACAAGAGGAAGTGTAACTGGAAATAATTTTGATCGCTTATAGTGTGTTTGATAAAAATATGGACGTAGCATCATCAAGGTGAGACCACTTAAGGAGTCCAGCAGCTCAACCTAACTAATCCTAGCTTAACCCTCTACAATACGAATAGTAATTTCGGTAACTTTTCGATGTTACTTTGAGTAATTCCAGCATCGGTGGAAAGTCTTTACGTTTTCACCATCCTACTGGTTCGTTCCATCATATTTACTGTTGAAGTTTTACTAAATTTGAAAGTAAACTTATTATTGGCTCGCGCTCAGGGACTCATGTTTCGACTGATACTGCAAGCAGACAGTCAAACAGCCTATAACTTATTGCAAGCCACCTCCTAAGGGACGATGGATTGTTATGCGGAGAGAAAAGTTAATTTTTTATAATCTTTGATATTTGGTCAGACGAAAACTCGAACACTGGCCTTTTGAATTTTAGTGCACAATGCTAACCACTCGACTGTTGTGGCCGCCAGTCTCCAGATAGTCACTTTAAATGCAAATAATAATCGATCTTTCAAATGCTGGTGTCCAGAAAGAGACATGGAACAGACCTTGAACTAGAAAATTAAAGCATTATTTGACGCACGAAAAGGAAAGAAGAAAAGAAGTGTGAAACATTACTTTTGACTTTGTTTTTCTGCTATGAAGAAGCTATAAACTGTACAGGAGATAAAATAAAATGAATGAGAAGACCGCATCCGTCCCTGCAGGTTAAGGGTTCAAGAATTTTCCCGCGGTAAGACATACCTGTTCCCGAGACAGTCGGGTTTTTACACCGCAACGATCCGGATTTTTATCCGGCCAGGGAGTGTCACTCCTGCAACACTTTGCGGTTAATACAACAACAAAAGCCCGCATGAAAAAAGTTTTACATTTATTTGGGTTACTTTTGAATGGCGACTACAAGATTTTATATGTAGGAATTGAATTTTTGTCAAAAGGGGTAGTTCGGCGCTCAAGAGCGTCAGGGTTTTCTCTTTTCTATGGACTGTTTATACTTACAATCTTTTTCAGTTGTTCATATTTGGTGTTTTAGATTACCTTTCTTATCAATATTTAAACTTAGTTTTAACTACGGAGCTCTCTCTTTCTCTCTCTCTCTCTCTTCCTCTCTCCCTCACTCTCTCTCGCTCTCTCTCTATCTCTTCCTCTCTCTCGCTCTCTCTCTCTTCCTTTCTCTCTCACTCTCTTCCTCTCTCTCTCACTTTCGCTCTCTCTCTCTCTCTCGCTCTCTCTCTCTCTCTCTCTCTCTCTCTCTCTCTCTCTCTCTCTCTCACTCTCTCTCTCTCTCTCTCTCTCTCTCTCTCTCTCTCTCGCTCTATCTCTCGGAGCAAAACTCACCTGTTCTGCTCCTCCAAATCATTGATTTTATGCCGCAGCTTATCCACAACGCTTAATTCCTATTGAAGAGACGAAATTTTAAGCAATAAACAGTTTCGCTATAAATACTCCCTTCCACCTCCTTACCTCTTTCAGTTGTTCAACTTGCGTAACAAATTCTTGCTTCTCTTTTTCCAAAGCATCTAATTTTCCTTTTAATTTATGTATTTCCTTTTTCAACTCTTTCTCATGATGGTGATGCTCGGCTGGTGGTGGTTTCGCTTGTTGTGCTTCTTCCAATTCCTTTTTGGATTTTTCAAGTTCGCTTTCCAGTTTCTGTATGGTATCACACTTTTCATGTTTATCTTTCTTCTCGTGACTCAGTTGGCTCTCAGCAGTGGTTAGTTTCTTGGTGAGTGTTTGTATGCTATGAAGTGGAGTATAAAATCGGAAGAATTGCATAACAATCGTATAAAATGGGACCGCTGCCCTGCTAATCTAATGACGTTTGCAAATGCTTTTAAGTTCATTATTAAGCTTTAAAAGCTCTAGTTACTTACGTGTCTTTACAGCTTTTAAGTTCATCTGTAAGTCTTGCTTTCTCCGTTTGTCCTTGACTACATTCCTCATTGTTCTGTTGTAAGGTGGCTTTCAATTTGTCATGTTGTTTCTCCAAATTACGCAATTTGCGATTCATCTGCATTGTATTTATTTTAGAATAAAAAAGAAAATTTAAGGAAAAGCTCAGAAAGTGTAGTCTCAGGTAGCAAACCTCCGCAATTTGCGTTTCGCGCTTCATTACATCCGCATCGGTCTTCTCTTTTAAATCTTTCTCCACAGCGGCCAATTCATCAGCGTGTATAGCCTTGAGTTCTGCTAATTTCTTCTCGGAAGTGTGTAGAGCTTTTTTACCCTCCTGCGAGTGTAGGAAATAGCAGTGTTTTTTTTTTTTTTTTTGAAAAATATTCTCCAGTACAAAGGGTATGGTGTTACCTGTATTTCCTTCTGCATTCGCACAATCTGCGCATCCATCTCTGCATCCTTGGCATTAGCTAGCGCATTGACACTCTCAAAGAGATCTTGTAATTTTCTGTCCTGGAATGAGGACGGGAAGCAATTGTGATTAGACTGGAAGCAGACTGGGTAGAACCTGTTATTCGCTTCGGCTAGCAGTTAGAGAAACTTTTCAGGATTTAGTATCATAATCGCTTTCGATACGCTTTGATACATCAAAGGTCAGCATTCGCCAACTTGGAGGCCGATCAAATGGATGCCGTACTTTTTATAAGAAGACACACGATTTTTGAGTGGAAATATCCAATTCTTAACTGGGTGGACTAACAATCACGGGACATACCAACTAGATGTGACAGCTTGATGTGGAGGAGAGAATGAAAAATGCCCTTATGCATGCATAATAGAAGACGATGGATGCTACTTGGGGTCTTTAGACTGATTGGTGTTACACAGCGGTGGTCTATATTGCTCAATAGTGCTTTGATGTGGTGGAGCGCCGCCAGCAAAATTTCATATAGAATACCATTCGAGCGAATGCGGCAGCTGTTTATGCTCTGCATAATAGTTATGCTAAGGACGCAACAGCTGATCTCGAAAAGTTATATAACCTACCATCTATCTACAATCCGCAAGCAAGCCTATGATGGACAAAATAGACCACAAATTCCATCTGGGAAGAATTTTTTAAGTCACATCAAAATGCCACGAAAGACGCAGGAATATGTGACCTGCCAGCAGAACTTGAAACATCTGCACGGACGGATTTAACACGGCGAATAAAGTGAGCACTGTATTATATTGCGCCGAGCTATAACTCAGACAACCCCTCAAGCTGTGGGAGTACTGGAATATTTTCAAGGCGGGATTCTTCGCGACAAGGAAAGCGGCTGACATAGCTTGGAATAAAAGAAATCTCAAGGAAAGCAACAACATATCCATTGATAGCGAAGCGGCAGTTAAGCCGATACTCTCAAATCACATTACACCTCAAAATTTCTTCAGAAGCAGGATGGCAATAGAAAATGAGAAAAGAGTTGCTTGTGAATATACACTGGGTCTCCGAAGGGGAATGTTGGAAATGAAATAGTTGATATCCTAAGGATAGGCGTCAAAGCCTACAGGTAACACACGTGAGCAGGGAAGAAGACATAAAACTGGTAACACACGCGAGCAGGGAAGAAGGCATGAACGCGTTGTTGGGGCACCTCCTCTGCATCTATCCGGTCTTATCTATAGCTCATCTTAGACATCTAAGAGTTTGACAGTGCAAAGAATTCTCAAAACTATATATCAAAGCGCTCTTAGATTTCGCATAAAAATTACGTTCGACATCAAAAATCACCAATCTTCATTGAGCCCCACAAAGGACCAGCAGAATTATGTTAGGCATAACTACTAGCCATTGGACCTAAACTATCCTAAGACGAAAGGAAAATAAATTAGTGTAATCTTCTAGAAAAGAATGTCTGAATAAATACAGCTCCTCAGCTCCTCGGCTCACACGAAAGGCTAATCAGTCAAATGTAGACTGGAACTCATAAATATTAATCCCTCCTATTGCTCCGGAAAATCGGAAACAGGACAAAAATGTCCCAAAAACAACTTGCCCCAGGCTTCATATTGACATTGAACACAACTCCACAACTAAACATGTTGAGCAAATATCTGCCTGGAGTGGGCTAAAGAGAAACTTTCCAAATTGTAGAACTTCACTTTGATATTCAATTGATATTCTCAATAGCGATCGCTCAAATTTCGCCATCTGGTGCATCAGTACACAGATCGCTCTGCTTCTTTTTCGGACACTCGTATTCATCCAAGTAAGGAAAATAATTTCAAGAATAGTTGGGGACATTATCCAGAAAAAGATTCGTCAATGACCAAGATTTTTTAGAATCAGAACTATGTTTGGCCGGAACTGAGAGTTTCTGGATTAGAACATGGTTTCATCATTAGAAATGTACAAAGTGCTACAGAGATCTACTAAAAGTAGAGTACCTCGTCACCTCTTCGGACACTACTTTAAACGGAAAAGATTTTGCTTGCCAAAAAATAATCAGTTCCCGTCTCAGAAAGTGATTTTCGGTCGATCTCCGCCTCCAATTTGTATATGTCTTGATGCTCTCCTCACAAATATCGGAGCTAGAGTTTCTTTCTAAGCCGTCTCCGAATGGATGAAGGAGGTGATTCCCTGGTTTGGCTATTGTACAATTGGGACCCAAGATACTGCGTGCACTGTCAACCTATAGGCTCCTGCGGCCGTCAGTTGCTTGATGACTGAAGATATGTTGTCCTGCCAACATTAACTTTCACACCCATTCGCTGCTCGCGCTAAAATCACTTATTGCTAGACAATGACTGATTTGTTTTCTCAGGTTTCTAGGTGCAGTTGCGGGGCTACAAATAAAATACTCCACTTTTAAATCCATCTCTTCTGACCTGCAAGCGAGAGTGGTTTGTAGAAAGTGAGTCGCTTTAGAAATGTGACTCAACATAAACCGTCTCATGTAACAAGATCACGCGCTGAACTTGGAACCCGCAAGAGAAAAAAATCTTGCGTTTAGAAAGCAACAATAACACCCCGGAAAGCATACCTATCGCAATCACAGCACTTAAGAAAGCCAATTCTTCAGCTTCATACTAAAAACCATAAAAAATAACTTAACCCTTCATGCGGGTCGCAAATGTTACCCCAATCTAAATTTTTTAACATAAAGAAAGCTTCTCAAACCATATACCCCGCTCACCTGTTGTTTTTCCAATTTGCTATATGTCTCCTCCAAACTCAGCGTACGTTCGGTCTCATTTCTCATGCCTTGTATTTCTTTCAAATTTTCCATTAGAGTCACCAGGCAACCATCCACGGCTGAGCGTACTTTTTCCTTGAAATCATTCACAGAATCCAACGCTTCGGAAGTAGAAAAGAACTGCAACTATTATAATACCCTTGCACGGCAAAATCCACGCAACACTTACGTAAACGCTTTGGCATCTTCACCATATGATCCTCCTTCAGCACCAATTTACACTCATCACTTTTAACCATCGTTATGAATTTGAAGTCCGTCTTCAGCTTATCTGGGGAGCTTAGCTTCAACGACTCAAATTTCTGCATAAAATCGGTTTGCATATCCTGCAGTTTACGCTGTAAGCTCTCGAAGACTTTCAGTTTATTATTTTCAGCAACACGTTCGCGTGCGCTAAGCACTTGGCCGCCCGTGCCGCCGCTGACACCACCACCGGTGGTGCTATTCGTGTCGTGATCACCTGCTGAAGAACTAATTTTGGTGAGTTGCGTCAGTTGAGTTTCCTCGGCCTTGCGATTATCAGTGCGGCAGGATATTGTGCTGGCTGATGGGAGCGAATATTAAATAATGCAACATAAGTACTTGTGAACTTACCGCTACGTTTCGAAATGCCGGTGCTGCGCGCTGTTGGCACCTTCACATGGGGCACCTTTAAGTTCGTCGAAGTGTTCGCTTTAAAACTCATTTTCGATGCGTTCGGTTCGAGCTTCTTGCTGCCGCTCAGCTCTTTAATGGTCAAGCTGATTTTCGACGCCGAACGCATTTGTGGACGATGGCCGAGACGTGGCGTGGTCGCAGTCTTTACGCTTGCATTGGCACCCTGTAGAGAGGGAGAAAATAGAAAAAAAATGTTTAAACGCGAGAAGAGCTCTTACCGCGCGTTTCATTGGGATTTTCGTTTGTGCAGAGTTTTGCGGCGAAGCCAACTAAAGAAAACCGTAAAAATGTTGAAAAAAAAAATTATAAAAATTGAGTTAATAAATTTTTTGAAAAAGGTTCAAATGAATTGTTTAGAAAAGCATGCTCGCATTGAATTTCCTTTTCACACTCTCAATAATACTCACAGTTTTGGCTCTACCGAAGTGTGGTTTAGCTACAGTGACGCTCGCGCTTGTAGTGTCGAGTGTAATATTGCTGGCGGTGATATACTCGCCAACAGCGGGCTCTGTTTGTGGTGTTGCTTTCGACTCGACATTCTGTTTAGAAATTTGCTCAGCATTTAATTTTGGTATAGATTTGGATAGGTCCTTGCGGCCGGGCGATAATGAACTTGAGACTAACGAAAAAAATTGTAATAAAAATATTAACTCAAAAACCCACCTCGAATATCCATAAAAAATATCCACAATCTTTATACAATTTCCCCACACCTTGCCAACTCACCTTGTCTACTTCCACTGCCGGCACTAGTTCTGCTTGGCGAAACGTCCATATTGGTAATTTATCGTTTTTGTTTGTTTATTTTGAAATTTCTTTTATTTTCAACTAAGTTTCGCTTTTAATTTGGCTTAAAATGAAATTAATTTAAAATATACGCTTAGCGAGAAAAAATTTTTTATGTTGTAAAAAAATATAATTAAAATGTTTCACTGACATTCAAGTGAGTTTTATTCAAAGGAATACTTTGCTACTTGTTGGAAACAGAAAAAAGTGGGATACGCGACACATCTAGAGAATATTCACAAGTATTTTATGTTTCCCTGGTATTTGCAAAATACCATCAAAGGTTAGGATTTAACGAGATCACGATTTAAATCCCCTTCAAGTGTAGAGTTTTATTGTTTATAGCTTTCAAAGTGGTCGAGAATTCCACCTTCTGCGATGAACATCGGATAAATTACAATGCGCCCTAATGCAGGCAACGTTTTCCGAGTTTGGAAAGTTCATTCCTTATTCTAACGGATTTTAGACCCGTAAGTCTGACACCCTTCCTGTTTAGGGTAGCGGAACGATTGATTGAGATTCACATTAGGTCTAATGGGCATCATAAGCTCTAGAAACACCAGCACGTCTATATGAAAGGCAGGTCAACAGAGATAGCCGTGCACACGATAGTATCACAAATTGCGAGATCTATATCGATCAAAGAATATAGCCTAGTTGCTAAGCCGCTTTAAGAGCCCTGGCGTTTGTGACAGTAAAATCTAAAACCGTAGAGGACTGTAACAGATCACTTAACGTGATGGCTAAGCAATTTCTCTGAACCTGATATGGGTCCCGGCTCACAGTAATATACCGTGTAATGAGATGGCGGACAAGCTTGCAATAAGGACATTTCCCTTCCATTTTCATCATCTTGGACGAGTTTAGGTATGCCGCTCTCCACTTGTGAGCTCAATTTAAGAGAGTTATTCATTAAAATTGCCAGCTTTAGATAGAGTAGTCTCAACCCATGTAATGTGACCAGTGCAATATAGCCAGAATGGAACAGTAGAAAGTCACGTGATCTTATCGAGCTGAAAAGGAAGGAAGCCAACTAAAGTTATAGGTCTTCTTACAGGACATATTTTATTAGGCAGGCATGCAGAGCGATTGGGCGTGCCATTTAATGATTTCCGCAGAAGTTGTAGACAGGAAGAAAGACCGGAGACTTTAAGGCACTTACTTTACGAATGCCCCGCACTTTAGAGGAATACGCTGAAGTCTCTAGGGGCGTTAAACTTTAGTGACCTAAGAGAGATAGCCAATTAGAAATGCCAAGTGAAGCCAGCTTACTCCTCAGTTTATCCGTCCAACAGAGTGAAGGTATTTTCCTTACTTTGCGTCTACCATTGTACTTCAAAAAGTAGTCGCTGCACTACATCGTCTAACATCGCCTTCGGTATTCGCCGTTGCTAAGAACCACAGATCTTGGGCAAAACCTTTCTCTCGAAAACTCCTAGCGCCTCCTCATTAGATCTCAATTCAAGTACCTTTTAGTAGTGCGAAACGCAGCTTAATAGCTCCGAAGGGGATGGTATGATATTGTCAACCTCGAAATCTAACTCAGAAGTAGTCTTGTCAACAGGCGCTACTTTTGAGTTGGCCATAATCGCGTAAGCGATGCCAATAAAGAGAAAGAAGTACAGAAATACAAATTTCATCGAGCTCATAACTATTGATATTCCGAATCAACTCATTCTAGTTACACATGTCCAAACCCAATTATGGTTCTATTTTTCAACCCGGTCTAACTCCAACAAATCTCCTAGTAAAATAAAAATCTTCAAAATAACTCAGAGACAGCTTAGTATAAACTGGAGGAGGAGCTCGGCCGAAACTCGCTTCAGCGGTTACAAAGCGCCAATTATATTTAACGCCAACAAAATACTTTCTCCACCACTGCCGGAGGCTCGAATGAATACAAACCTCGTACAGAAGTTGAAAGAGATATAAGTGATTAGTCGCTGGAGCAACCTTCTACCCCCATATACACTCTTCGCCATTTCTTTCTCAGCTAGTAATGGTACGGTATGTCTTCAGATGAAGGCTGGCTGGAACGAATGAAGCTGAAAGCTTTTGTCAGTTGGGGGCTCAAATCTCGTTACCACTAAAAACCTACACTCTGTGAATATATATATATATATATATATATATGAAGCGATTTGCGGCCGAGATTCGCCTCCAAGTCATATTTAATTTAATTTTCAATAACTTTTGGTTATTGGTTGCACCAGGATTTGAACCCGGGTCTTCCGATTGGTAGTTCGCAACGCTAACCATTCGGCTATTGCGGCTGCTCTATGCATAAAAATTGTATAAAATTTAGGTGATGCTGTCGGGTAAGTGAATACCCTTAACTAGACTCTGAAATATTTGAGCTTCAGTTGCTCTCACTCACGCTCTCACATATACACTAGATTTCGCTGTACTCTCATCTTACGTATCCAGCACTGCTAAGGAAAGAGAGTATTTATTGGATGTCTACAACATAAGGGTAAGTGAGATGGCGAAGGGTGCGTTTGGCTATATTATCAATAAAGCAAATTCATTCATTGGCCTCATCACATCCCTGTGGGGAAAAATACTAGTCGTTAACTATAATTCAACTAGCTAATACATCTTTTATTTATTTAACTGGTATTTTTAATACTGCAATGTCCAACGAGTTGACAATTGTTCGATTATGTATCAGCTGCATACTAGTTGTATACCAGTTCGTTCAGGCATGCTGAATTTTTACTTCGACAAAAAATAAAAAAAAAGGAATATCAGTTTGCCCGCTCCGAGAATCGAATCGCGAATCTCACGCATCAAAGTCGTGGCCTCTGACCAATAGAGAGCAACGAAATCTGCGCAACAAACTGTGGTGGAAATTATCATTTCTCCGTATACTGTTGGACTGCTATAGATATAACCAGCAGGTATGATTTCATCTTCAAAGTACTATTATTTATCTAAAATTTCTACATACTAGTCTACCTTCTCCCTGTAGGGATGCTACAACTTGTACTAATACAGGGTTTTCCAATAAGAGCTGGTGTTTTAATATCCGAAGAAAAATTACATTTCTTGAGATAAATGATATGATATTTATTTCAATGTAAAGCGGAAGATATGCCATTAAAAATGGTAAACAATATCCTCTAAAGGGCTTTATCCTTTTTAGGAAATCGTCCAAAATCGCAAAGTGTTTGCTGTATGCTCACAATAGCTATACGAATTCCATCATAACCGCAGGGTTTTGGCGTAGGTCTCATCTTTCATGTGGCCTCAAAGAAAGCAGACGCAATATGTTAAATCACAAGATCTCGGTGGCCAATTGCGATCACCTCTTTGAATGATATACCTATCCGGAAAATGTTCTCTTAAAAGTTTGATGGTTTCGTTTCTTGTGTTGCTCGTAAACGTTGTCCAAATCAATACCATCAAAATCCGGCCATAAAAAAATTATTAAATATCTCTCGATAGCGCAATCCATTCACCATAACTGTTACTTTTTCAACATTTCATACCAAAACTCGCACCAAACAGTCACACGTTGAGAACAGAAAGGCTTTTCAAAAATAAATATTGGATATTTTGAGCCCCAGATGTGCAAGTGTTGCTTATTGGTATAGCCAGCGGACTGGAAATATGCCTCAGTAAGGACCCATTTAGCATAGAAACGACGTTGTTGATGCTCGGCCGGCTTAAATTCTTATTTGAAATGAACATTGTGAGCATTAAAAGCCAAGTCTTTATGCAAACTTCGGTATAATGACGTTTGTGGATTGTCCAATTACAATGAACGACCTAGAAATGGACAGTACTGGGTTTTCTACAACACTTTGTCAGTTATTTTGGAGCGACCTAAACATGTTCCACACACATCACTAACCAATTCCAATTGCTCCATTTGTTTTTCACCAACTTCTGTATCGCGTACCGACCAGGTGCTTCACGACGACCGAGAAATGTTTTAGTTTTACGTGCTGTCTCTGGCAGGTTTTCATCGTTTTCAAAGCGAATTTTAATAATTTCGTTGCGTTGTTGAAGCGCGGAAGCGTCAAAAGTGACATCTACCGGAATAGCAAGCTATACAAAATAACATCTCCTATTGGAGACCCCTTTATTCCGCAATGACGCGCCTGCTCGTCACTTAGTACGGGCGTTTGGTTGGTGAGTTGGTAGGGGTCGCTTTAGTGATGTGAGCGTGTCCATTACAATTGAGCTCACTGAGCTCACCGAGCTGGGTGCTCCAGCACTACTACGCGTACATAACGGCGCATGTAAGCCTGCTGCATCAGTCAAGTGATAGTGCAATAGCACCTTAGTTGCGGTTCAACTGGCGTACGGACGTGTAGAGTAACGCGGAAAACTTTGTGGAAAGCGTGAATTAAAACAAAATAGCGGAAGTGTGCAGTCGGAAAGTGTTATATACTACTACACATACATATATACATATATAAACAATGTATGTATGTCTCTACATGTAATAATATTTTTTTTTTTTTTTTTTTTTGAACTATAGAGTTTTGAAAAATTGTGTGTCAGATTTAAAGGTAATTAGCAAGTGCAAGTATAACAGTGAAATTAGAAATTTCTATGCTTTTTTTCGCATTTCTGCTTTGAGTGGAAACCACAAAAGTGAAGACTTGGGGTGCGTCGAGCGTGTTTAATCTATAAAACTCTGCAAAGTGTCAGATTAGAGCTGAAAAAAAGCAAAACTTTATAACATACGTTTATACATATGTATGTTTGTTGTAATTTAAATTGAATTAAATTAATGTATGGCGTCAAAGTGACGATGTTATGGGCATACAAATAATATTTACACACAAACATATATACACATATATATATACATATATATATATACATACATACATGAATGCATCTGAGGCGCTTACTTTGTAGTGTCGGCTCATACAATGTTCAGTTCCGCAATTTGTTTTCACTAAACTGTTATTTACAATTAATATTATTTACAATAAATATTATGGCGAAAATTTAAATTAACAACAACAGTAAAACGTATCAGCAAGTGATGCAATTCAATGCAATTGCAATATATATGCAACAACACCACGTGTCTCATCTAGTCTTAAAATAGTTTTTAATAAGAGAGTTTATTTCTTTTTTAATATTTTTTTTTTTTAAATTAGAAATTCTATACCTACGTATATACGTACAAGTGTGCATCCCACGATGCTTCTGGAATTATTTTTTGCACATTTTTTATATGACATTACAATCAATTGATAACACTTAATTAATGCCGGCACCCATTGGTTGGTTGGCGCTAAAGGGTGTTGCATTTTGTAATGAAGCGAATATCTAAAAATCAAAAATTACTGAAAATAGCATCTCTCAATCTTATATATACTACTGTGAGCTGAAAGCCCTAGCAGCTAATGCTCCCCTTTGTGCTATGTCGAGCGAATATGGGAGATGCGGCATGATTTCCCATTTCATCTCCTTCAGTTTGGCCAGGGTCGGTTTTGCAACATGTGGCCTGGCGTTGACATGATGGAAAGGAACTACTTTGCGATTGGCCAAAATCGGACGTTTTTCATCAATTGCTTTCTTCAATTCGACCAATTGCTGACAATACTTGTTGGCAGTGATCGTTTCTCCAGCTGGCAAGAGCTCAAAATAGATCACGCCTCGGATATCCCACTAAATGTACAGCAGTACCTTCATCGGATGCAATCCACCTTTCGACATCGGTTTCGCTCCTTCGTGTGCCTGTTTCCATGTTCTTTTGCGTTGAACATTGTTGTACAGGATCCATTTTTCATCACCAGTCACGAGCCGATCCAAAAAAGGTTCGTTTTTGAACCGTCGATGCAAAGAAATTGCTGTTGACATACGGTCCACTTTGTTTTTTTCACTCAACTGATGTGGCACCCATGTATCGAGCTTCAAAGTGTAGCCAACCTTTTTTAATTTGATTTGTTGACGTTAAATTCACTGGCAATCTCTTTCGTCGAAATACGTGAGTTATTCGCAACTAAAGTCCTTAGAACCTCGTCATCAAGCTCAGAAGGCCGTCCACTGCGAGGTTGATCTTCGAGGTTAAAATCTCCAGAACGAAATTTCGCGAACCATTTCTTAACTGTGCGGAGTGGTGGAGCACAGTCCAAATAAACTTCGAGAATATCTTCAGTTGCAGCGCCTACTGGTTTTCCTTTGCGGAATTCGTAGAACATAATATGACGCATATGATCTTTTTCGTTGTCCATCTTCCATGCGTCTTTTCACTAAGCAACTCAAATCAAAATGAAGTTGTTTTATGCTTGATTTACAGTTCGGACTGTCACCTTTCCAACGATATATAATATGTATATATTTCTTTCACGAGCACTACTCTCAAACGAATCGAACGGCATCCAGCGGAATCGGGCACGAACTTATGCACTCATCCAATATATTTTATTATCATAAATTAAAAATACACTACTGTGGGCAAAAATAAGGTTAAGTTGTTTGTAAAATTAAAAATCCTTTTTTATTCTTTTGCATCGATTTCGTCGCCTTCAAAATACTCCCCTGCCGATGCAATGCACTTATGCCAACGCTTTTTCCAATTATCGAAGCATATGTAAAATAGTCACGTTCAGGTATGGCCTGCAGAGAGCGCGCCGAGACACTTTTAATCTCTTCAATCGACTCAAATCGGTATCCTCGAAGTGGTCTCTTGAATTTTTGGAAGAGCCACAAGCCACATGGTGCTAAGTCCGGCGAATGTGATGATTTGGGGCACGATGTTTGTAGAATTTTTAGCGAAATGGTCACGAAGAATGAGTGCTGTGTGCAACGGTGCATTATCGTGCTGCAAAAAACAAGAATTGTTGGCCCGTAATTCTGGTCTCTTTTTTGCGAACTGCCTCTCGCAAACTCGTTTTTACAGATCCTTCTGGTATTCCAACCTTATCAGTATGGTCTCTAACAGTCAAGCGACGATTTTTGAGCATTAAATTCATTAATTTCATTGACGTGTTTCACATCAGTTGACGTTGATGGTCATCCTGGGCGTTCCATGTCATCAACACGTTTCCAACCCGCTCTGAAGTCTTTGTACTACTCATACACGTTCTTCTTCAGCGACATAGTTGACTCCCCAAAGGCTTTCTTCCCCAAACAAAATTTGATCGCACTTCTTTGCTCAATTAAATCAGCTAAATTTGGTGTCATATTCGTAGGGGGAGTGGGATTCCGTCACCGAGTACTGGCATTCACTCCGGTGGATCAACGTCTTACAACGATCGGCATCAAAATGAAATTTTTCAAACCATCGTTGACTTGCGTCCATGCCACAACGGAAAAGAAGGACGATGTGACAAAAGATACATTTAATAAGCGTACTTACCACTACGCTGCGCTTGGCAACTTCAACGGAAGGGTAGGCAAAGAGGATATCTTTGGCACAACTGTCGGAAAATTCAGTCTCAACAATGAAACATTCCCGAGTGGTTTGTGGCTGATTGACTTCGCTGGAGGCCGAAATATGGTTGTCTTCAGTACTCGATTCCAGCTTAAGGAAATTAATCAATGTACTTATTTGTCGAAAAAACCCAAACCAGATCGACCGTGTTGTGATAGAGACGGAACATATGTCTCCAGTGCTTTTGACGTGCCTACACTACGAGGGCCTAACATCAGCTAGGAGCGACCCTCAACAAAAACAAAAAAGTTGTAACTACAACAGACAGCCGAACGGTTTTCTACTCGACTTGTACTCCTGCTTCCAGAGAGCACTGATCCTCGGTATAAAAAAACTATGATGCGGAATCTCAAGCCCACTACGTACAGCTACTATCGAAATAATTGGTTATCGAAAAGGTAGCAAAACAGATGGTACATTGTGGACTGTCGTGCAGTAGAAAAGAGAAAGCAGGCTACATGCTATGTAAAGTTGTGACGATGGGATAGAGCTAAAGAGGAAACCAAGAGGCATTTGCAGGAAAAAAGAAAGGGAGTACGAACAGCTTGGTCGATAGGTTTAATGCTTATTCTACGTCGACTTACAACGAATAGAGCAAACTGCTGCAGGACCCACATGGGTGATCTAATTACGGATGCCCAGAGTACACGATTCTCCAGCCTGCTGAATGGTAGTGAAAATGAAACACCTAGAAATAGTGGACGTTACACTTCCCGACTATGTTGACATTCGAATAGCGATTTTGCGTTTAAAGATCAACAAATCGGCTGGAGCTAACAGCCTACAGGCAGAGTTAAAAATAATACCTTTTTTTTACAAAGAAACATTATTGTTTTGCAGAAAGGGAGCGTGTTTGTCAAGAGGGAGCGAGAAAGCTTTTTATTTATCTAACCTTTAATTATTGAATCATGCTTTTTGCCCACAATAGTATAACTGACTCTTTGTAACCGCTGAAGCGATGTTCGGCCGAGCTCCTCCTCCATTTTTTTTTTAAATGGAGAGACCTACAGTCCGAGCTCCGACCTCCATACCGCTGATGGTTTTTTTACGAGGAGCTTTTGATTAGAAATAAACTCGCGAGGGGTTAATAGGGGTTTTTAATTGGAGTTGTTGTAAGTGATCCACCAGTCCAGTCTCCATCCACACCAGAAATGGATCGGTTGTTACGATTCTGCAGCGGTTCGCAGATGGAAATTCGGTTCAAGCGGTTTTTTTTTCTCGGCAACTTTTGTGGCACATCGAGCTTCTCTGTGTATCCAGGCTTTTTAGAGTGGATCCAAACTTTTCTTTGTGCAATTTTCATATTCTGCGCATTCGCAACAGAGCTCGCATTACGACCAGACTCGATAATTTCCTTATTCAATCGCATTTATTGAACGCTAGATACAGATCGCTAAAGACATCTATTGCCAAAAAAAGAGAGGGATGACTTGTTACTTGGGCTAATATTTTTTAGAGAGTTGGATGGAAATTATCAATGACACAAACATAGCGCCCATCTATCGGCTAAATTTTTAATAGACGAATTTATTATTGAATCAGTTTTTTTTGCGCTCTGTCGACTTTGCAAATGGACCAGTCCAGAACCAGCGACCAGAACGCTTGCCTTACACGAGAAGTTTGACTAGAATTTTCCACCGTCTATTACACCTCGCAGAAAACTCACTGACCGAGCATTCCATTCCCACTTCTGCAGAAACCGGACTTAGTCCTCCTCTGTAATTCCTTCGAAAGAACAAGTGGGGAAAGTAAAGTTCTTAGAGAATAGTATTGCGAAACGGTAAGGTCTGTTGGGAGTACTCAATTATTTTCTTCTTCATAGGAGCTCACTGGTAAGTACGGTGGTTCCGACACTAAGGAAGAGACTGCTTCATCTTAAGTGACAGTCACCCAGCAATAAAATCTTTTGGTCCGTTCACATGAAACTCAAACCTTAAATATCTTTTCCGGAGATGGCTAAATCCATGAGTTAAGAGCAGTTAAACAGATTTTTTCACATAAAAAACGTATTGGCATAAAGACTGGGCGCGTTAAGCTCAAAATGAGACTTGTGCCGTCGCTAGTCAAGGCATTATTGGCTTAATTGGGAACGGAGAAGGCCGAACGGGTTATGTTTTATAAAAAGGGGGAACATTTCAAAGTTGATTATGAACCTAAGGGGGCATAGCCTCAAAGAATAACTCACAGAACGGCTAGGGGGTGGGAGTGTCGGGAAGGATTAGGGGATTTTATACCCGTTTTGCAATTGCGTTGTTTTAAGCAGACGACCTATTCATATATGTATAACTCTTTCTTTGTGACAGAAGCTAGAGGTAGCGACGTAAGGAGCCCGAATTGCATGGAAAAGCAGTCATAGATCAGTCACTATCGTAGTAACACAATGTGCCCATTTTGGCCAATGGTCGCATATCATCAACCACTTTTATACGCTAGATTCCTATCTGAGCCGCGCTATGATTGTGTCTTCTTAGATGACTGTGACCAAAATTATGATACACAGGTGAAAGCAGTAGCAAGATCTTTTGATTAGACGCAAGAAAGCTACCCAAACGAGCGATGTTAGGTATTAAGAATGCCTTAGGTAATGCATGTATCTGAAAACATAGAAGAGGGACGTCAGATCTAGTTTAAGAACACTCAACTTTTTATAAGTTCAATGAAGAAACCTAATAGTGATTGGAAATTCCTCTTGTGGAAAGGATCAGATTGCAATTAAAATAATATCACTAACTAGATTTTCTTCATCGACCTCAGATTACTCGTTGTCTGCCAGAAAAAAGGAAGCACCCTTTAAATATTTTTAAAACTCAAATTTGTTATTTTAGACTTGTAGTACAGAACATAAACCACATTGCCAAATCAGCATTCCACAAACAACACAGCATAAAAAAACTTGATAATCCACGAGCCCAAACTCAATCCGCCCCATTGCACCCGCACCGGACACTGTGCTGTGGCTTGGAGTAGAGCAAAATGAGCTGGTTGGCTTTGATCATTTCTATTTCGGCGACAATTAATATTGCGCTCGCCTGCAGTCGCATACCGCCCGGTACAACGTCACCGAAGTCGCCAGTGGACGAGAGTTTTATGGTGTCATTAGCCGGAAATCCGCAAACTTACATACCGGGCCAGAAATACAATGGTAATGTTGAGTAGATATATATGACTAAAGCTTTTCAATAGTCAACATACCGTTCTTTATGTTCCACAGTATCGCTTGCCGCCTACAATGATCTGTCTTTCATCAGTTTCATATTAGCATTGGAGAGCGCAAATGCCAGTGACAGTCAGGCGGACTTTGGTACGGTTGGTTATTTCGAGATAACCGATTTGACAGAGACACGTTTCAGTCCGCGTTGTCCGAATTTGGTGGAGAACACGAATACTAATGTGAAGACACGTATAGAGGTGACTTGGGTTGCACCTGCCACTACGGGAAACGGTTGTGTGCTCATCAAGGCCACGGTGACGCAACATCGTGATGTGTGGTTTATGGATGATGGTTTCCTGACGAAACGCATTTGTGAAGAGGAAGTCGATGACGTAGACACGCAGCCAAGTATTGTAGATCCCTGCTGTGCTTGTGATGAGGCGAAGTATGAGGTGCGTAGTTTAATGTTAAATTAAATAAGATCTTCATTTGTTGTTTACTTTTGTTCACCAGCTCACTTTCGAGGGGAAGTGGTCTCGACATACGCATCCAAAGGATTTCCCTGCAAATAGTTGGCGTACCAGATTTAGCGACATCATTGGTGCTTCACATACCATTGATTATCGCTTCTGGAGCTATGGTGAGTTGGCGAGTGAAGGACTGCGTGAAGTAGCCGAGCATGGTTCGACGAGAACCTTAGAAAGTGAGCTGAAAGATCAGGTAAGATTAACAGTTTTGTATGGGAATTGTAGAGAAACTCGTTTCCAACCTTAACATAACTTTTCCTCCGTAGAGTGATCAGATAAGAACAATAATCAAAGCACGTGGTATTGCCTACCCCAATGTGACTGGCAAAACCTTCGCTGTATTCCGCGTAGACTCAAAGCATCATCTAATTTCGCTGGTGTCCATGATTGATCCCTCACCGGATTGGATTATTGGCATTTCCGGGCTGGAGCTTTGTCTTCCCAACTGCACATGGGTTGAGAGTAAAGTACACAATCTTTATCCCTGGGATGCGGGCACGGATAGTGGGCCCTCTTATATGGTACAAATATATATATAAGTAATATTTAATAATGAATGAAAATTAAAAATCTCAATTGCCCACCCGCAGTCCGCTGATCAGCCACAAGTGCCGCCAGATGTTATTAGACGCATAAAATCAAATTTTCCCAATGATCCACGTTCGCCATTTTACGATCCCAGTGGCGCGCCCATGAAACCACTCGCCACTTTGCATATAAATCGTCGGCGGTTGTATGAGAAGACGTGCGTAAAGCCAGAAGGTAAGTTCAAACCCTTTCCAAACACTTATGTAAATCAACCTAAAAGAGCTGCTTCTACCTTGCGAAAACAGAAGATGAGTCCGAAGAGTGTGCTACCTATCCATGGAGTCGCTGGAGCGAGTGCAATGCCAAATGCGGACCCGGCACGCAGCAACGTAGTCGCGAGTACAAGCAACCCGGTGTGGCGCGACGTTCCAAGTGCCGCAGTGCCTTGCGTGAAGAACAGCCATGCAACGGCCGCAGATGTGGTGGTGGTGGCAATGCAAATGAAGACAACATGGAGGAAGGCGAAAGCCCAAGTGACATACAAACTGGTCCATATGAAAATCCAGAGTGCGCAATCTCTGACTGGAGCGAGTGGTCTTCATGTTCGGCAACATGTGGAGCCGGTGTAATCGTACGTACGCGTCATTACCTCAATCCCAGAGCGAAAAAGAAGTGTCAGGTAAGTTAAGTTCATCACCAAATGTATACTAATTTAAATTACACCTTCACCAACAGAAAGTAAGCAGAGTACGTTTACAGGAGACGCAACCCTGTGAGGGCCCGGAGTGTGGTGGCGATCTAGCTAACGGCGGTGGTGAGGGTGAAGCTGGCGCTGACGACAATGAAGCACCTGGCGAAGAGGACAACGCTGTAGGCAATGAATTGGATGATGGTACAAGTTCATTCTATGGCGACAACAATAATGGTTTCCGTAAATTCAAGAGTTACAGCCAAAAACGCGAAGACTATATACCGCCTGAATGTGGCGTCTCGCCATGGTCCGACTTTTCGCCATGCATAGGACCATGCGGCGCCAACGGTTATCGACAGAGACAACGTAAGCTCTGGAACAACGACGAAGTTTATGGCGTGGTAAATCCCAAATCGAATGGTAGCGATCCCTGTCGTCATGTTAAACGTGAGGAGATCGTAAATTGCACAAATCCAGCTTGCGATACGATTGTACCGCACTTTTGCTACGCCAGTCTCAAGCCGAGCCCGTGTCGCGATGGCGATGTAACGAATTATTGGTACTACGATTTTCCCACCGATCAATGCGCCATCTTTTGGGCAGACAAGTGTGATAAGAACCTTAACAAATTTCCCTCGAAAGAGGAGTGCGAGGAAACTTGTCGCCGGCCACGCCAAAAATTGGATTTACAAAGTGAAAGTCTACGTTTGGAACGACAACCGGTCGATTGCATTGTATCCGATTGGGATTTACATCCGTGCAATGTCACCTGCGGCGATGGTATGCTAATAAAGACACGGCGTGTGCTTCGACGCGCCAAATACGGCGGTAAGCCGTGTCCCTTACATTTGGTGCGGCTGGAGAAGTGTTATCAAAGCTGTGACGATGTATACACCATCAGTGGTGGTACGAATAGTGTGAGCTATGGCGGTGGCACTGGTGATGGAAGTGACTTTGATATCATCAATCGTCATCATGGAAGTTTCGTCAGGGCAAGACAGGTGCCGAAGAAGGACGACTGTCGCTACTCAGAGTGGTCGGTGTGGACGCCCTGTACTGCTAGTTGTGGCGACAATTCAATGCGTCAAAAGACAAGAACTCTGCTCAACACTGAGCTCAGCTACAAGTGCAAGGATCGCGTGCGTGTGGAGAAATGTACTGTAATGCCGTGTCTTTTAGAGAACAACGATCAGGATAGTCAGTGGTGATGATGACTAGCCACAGTTTTGTTTTTTTTTTTTTAATCGCATGACATTTTTCTAACACATACATATGTATGTATGTAATTTCAAAGTAGTGCATTTACCCAAAAATGGGTTTAAACTTATATGTAACCATTAGTTAGGCTATATAATATATAATCATTTTTGGCTAAGCTATTTCTTTGTATTAAAACTATTTGGTATGTAAATTTATATAACAAAATACTCAATTCACATAGAAAACCACACAAATTAAATAACTATCTCACCCGTTAATCGGTTACTTTGAAACTAGACTTGTTATTTCACTAAATCCTTCAAATTTTGTTTCCGACTTGAACTTGGCTGCGGATTTCTATTTGACAGTATTGAGGAAAGCAGTCGCACTATGTACTTTGTTGTTTCTCTTGGAGAACGCTTATGCTCTCGGCGGCTTGTAAGACTTAGTGTACACAGGGCGGCCTTTGTACCACAAACTCTTATGCTGCAACTACCCAACTAACGTACCAGCTGTCCATAGCAACCTATCTTATCACCGCTCGCCCATGCCGTTAGTGACGGTTGTCCCGCAAAAATCAACGGCGATTTGATTTTTTCCGTAAAATCAATCGGCTCGGTTCATTTCTCGTTGCTATACAAGGTTGCCAGTATAGTCTTTCTTGAAGTAATATTAAATAATCGAAGATAATACGTAGCGTTTATATTCAAGCATATATATTATGAAATTCTTTGACGAAAATTATGAATTTGTTCAAAAGTATGCAAACACACAGGCAGCTGGCAACATTTCGTCGTTCTCAGCAGCGTCGTTAATTCGTGTATTTATCTCGCCTTTTCGTCGCCACTTATGGACGGCTGGTAGGTAAAATGGGTAGTTGCAACATTAGTCGACAATTTCGGTCGTCGCCCTCTCCCCAACAAACTGAGAATTTCCGCAACAACAGCTGCTCAGTGTAAGCTCGGTCTAAAGGTAAAGAATAACATGTCAATCGATAACAAAATTAATCGATGCCGTTTATACGATTTTGTCTTTAATAAATATACAAATAAAAAAATTAATTTTTGTGAACGTTAAAATAAAAGTTTTGCTTGAATTAATTAGAATTTGGGAGACAAATTTGGGGGAGGGAGGGTTTTATATTCCATTATAATGTACTATAGCAAGAAGCGAAATCATTTTAATCAGTGTTTAAAATGAACGTTACGTGGGGAATTAACTTTAAAAACTGTTCGATCAACTACGACGACACCGTTAACAATCAAATCACAACATTCGTGAACGTATCGGCAATAGTATTAATATATAGTACGAAAGACGGCATGGAATACTGGCACATGAAGTTTAATCCCTTTCTAATCACAATGAATATTACATTCCATTGGGAAGAACCTCGACGAGCCCTTCGATATCAAACGAGGTTTCAGACGGGGTGATTCCTTATCATGTGACTTTTTTAACTTATTGCTGAAGGAAAATAATACCAGCTGCAGAGCTGAATATAAAAGATACAATTTTCTATAAGAGTGTACAACTACTGTCGTACGCCGATGATTTTGACATTGTTGACCTCAACAACCACACAGTGACTTCTGTTTTCACCAGGCTGCATAAAAAAGCGAAGGATATAGGTCTGGCAGTGAACGAGGGCAAAACGAAATAACTCATGGCATCACACAAACTGTTATAGCATTCGCGACTCGACTTCCATGTCACTGTTGACAGTCATAACTTTGAATTCGTAGATAACTTCGTCTATCTTGGAACCAATATTATAACCAACAACAATGTCAGCCTGGAAACTGAACGCTGAATCCCTCTCGTCAACAGTTGCTACTTTGGACTGAATAGGCAATTGACAAGTAAATCCTCTCTCGACAAACGAAAACCAAACGCTACAAGTCCCTTATAGTTCTCCTTCTACTCTATGGCGCCGAAGCGTGGACGATGTCGACATCTGTTGAGTCGGCGTTAGGAGTTTTGCGTAAGATTTACGGTCCTCTACGTGTTGGTAACAGCGAATACCGAAGCCGATGGAATGATGCGCTGTCTTGGGTTCGAGCAGCATCCAAAGCTATAACAAATTAGTTTTTATAAATGACAATGTCAGGCACTCCGACTGGATTTCTGACATGAAATCAAAAGCTCATCATGTCCACCTGCCGTTCGGAGGACGCTTAAAAGAAACTTGTTGAAAAACCATCATCAGCTGTAAAGCGCCTATTATATACAAATAAATATTTATGACTGAGTGCATAGCATTAGGAACTGCCATTCTGAACACCAGGGTTCGAGTCCGGTTTCATCCAATTTGCAAAATTATAGAAAATTAATTTTTCTAAGTACGGTCGTCCCTCGGTGGGGAATGTCAAATGCCTCCGTATTTTTCTGACATTAAAAAAAGCTTCGCATGAAAATCTATCGGCCGATTGGAGGCCCTTCAATTGTTGGAAAAACATCAAGGCTAAGGTTGGAGGAAAAAGTTCGGCCAAGAATCGTTTTAGCGGTCATAAAGCGAAAACAGTTACTCTACAACTCACTCGCTTTTCCAGTACTGTTATGTGATGCAGAAGCCTAAACGATGTCGACATACGATGACTCAGCCCTGGGAGTCTTCGAAAGAAAAGTTTTGTGAAGAATTTATGGTTCTTTGCGCATTGGCTACAACGATTAACGCAGACGATGGCACGATAAATGTTTTACAGTGATATTGATATTTAGTTCAGCAAATGGAGAGACAGCGGCTACCCTGACTAGATCACGTCGTCCGTATGAATGAGAGCGCTCCAGTTTTGAATGTATTCGATGCAGTACCCGCCGATGGAAGCAAGAGGCGGGGAAAACCATAAGTCGTTGGGAAAATAAGCAGGAGAGCGACTTGGTTTCACTTTACATTTCCAACTGGCGCCAAATAGCGTAGAGAGAATATTAATAGCGCGCTTTTAGACTAATATAACCTGTTGACTGAAATGGGCTTAGGTCACCGAACGGGCGACAACCCTAGGTCGTATAAAGTCCGGATGAACAGCGGTGCGTAGAACTGCTATACAGGGCGGCTTACCGACAGGTGCTAAGCGCCATTCGCAGAGAGTCCGTTAACACCTTCCTAACACTCTTCCAGTGAATGGCGTTCTCCGAGTCAAACCACCAAACTATTGCCTTGAGTGTACCGCGTAATACTGGCGCAACTTAAATCTGGATATTTTAGTAGCCTAAACTCATCCCTATCCAGACTTGTTCTCGATATGCCCAATGTATGTTCTGCATTCAATGAGACCCCCCGCACGACATTAACCACCTCTTTGTATGTGCCTAAAATCAACTCTTCTAAAGTGAGTTACAACTAACAGTACAATCATGAGTTTCCAATATTTTATTTGCGATTTATGCGTATGTTTTGATTGAACATTTCAGTGGATTCAGTGTGAGTGAGCATAAGCCCGCCAAAGATGTTAGTACACAATCTGCGTACGGCGAGTGATAAGCAGATGACACAATTTCGGCACGCCGGGCTATTAAAATAAAAAATATAATAATAATGATTTTTTGTCAACAAACACAAGCCATCAATGGACGGTGACGCTCGGCGCGAAATAGCAACGCTCTCAACAAGGCACTATGCGCTGTAGAGAATCATTTCTTTCGTAGCTATCAGTACGAGCGGAACAAATAAAGATTTTTTTTTTTGGCAAACTGCAACTGTGAAGTGCTCGATTTCCGAATCCATTTCCATTTCTGGATGTTTCTCAGCTGAGCCGGTAACTATAAAGTCTTTGTTTTCAATATTCGCAGTGGAGGAAAATTGCGTCCGTTATGTTGCGCTGGTTACGCTTGCTCTTAGCGCTTGTGATTGTGCGTGGAACTTGGCAGTTATGTGAACGTAAACCGCTGGGTGCCACAGGCGATCCATCAATCGTGGATCAGAATTTCCAAGTATTGATCGAAGGCAATCCGAAGAACTACATACCGGGACAGCGTTACAATAGTGAGTAAACCAGTTTCGCACAAACGACCTTGAGTATTTCTAAAAATAAATAAATACAACAATAATTTAAAATGAAAATCTTACTTTTATTTATTTACATATATAATATTTACTTTTTTACTTTGGCCTTATTTTCACTTCATTGCCATATCAGTTTCCCTATCTTGCGACGCGGCGCTCAAGTTTATCAGTTTCACATTGGTTGCGGAGAGCGAAGATGCTAGCGTTAGCCCTGGTCCGGACACTATCGGCTATTTCGAGCTCACCGATATAGCGGAGACGCGCTTCAGCATGCAGTGTGAGAATATGATCGAGAGCACAAATCCGAATCCAAAAGTACGTGTCAGTGTTGGTTGGACGGCGCCAAAGGCCGGTTGTGTGCTCATCAAGGCGGCGGTGCTGCAACATCGCAGCGTGTGGTACATTGATGGGGGTTTCCTTACGAAACGCATTTGTCCGGAAGAGATTGATGAAGTGAATAGTCCGACACCACCACTCGAATTGTGTTGTGCGTGCGATGAGGCGAAGTACGAGGTGGGTGGTGAACGAGGTGTATAACGCTGCTCATAAGACAGCTAAAACAGTGTAAATAGAGATTACTAAACGCCGAGCGTGTGCTGCCCTATCGTTTAGTCTCTCTCTCTCTCCCGCTAAATGTAAACAAAAACTAAACTCAAACTTATTAGTTGCTTTTACTTCGCTTACAGCTGATTGTGGAGCGCAAATGGGGTCGCAATACACATCCGCGTGATTTTCCCTCGGAATCTTGGCGCACACGTCTCAGCGAGATTATCGGCGCATCGCATAGGCGCAACTACAGCTTTTGGGCATATGGCGAGTTCGCCAGCCCGGGTTTGCAAGAGATGGCGGAGCATGGCGCAACAAGTCTTTTGGAGGAGGAAATAAAGGTAATCCCTTTTAAGCGAGTTTTAGTATACGTTTATTTATTTTTACACCCCATACAGTTCGGTGAGGTACGCACAATCATCAAAGCGCCCGGCATTAGGTATCGTGAAAATGTCCTAAGCACCACACTGGCTAATGTGCGTGTAGATCCGGAACATCATGTAATCTCTTTAGTTACAAAAATTGAGCCTTCACCCGATTGGATATTGGGCGTTGCTGGCTTGGAGCTCTGCTTGGAAAACTGCACTTGGATTAATGAGAAAGTCTTAAATTTATATCCCTGGGATATTGGCACCGATGCCGGTCCATCTTATATGGTGAGTTTGCAATTTCCTTCATCTCCTCTCGTACTCGATTTGTAGTTGTCATGTTCACACAGTCGCCCGATCAGCCACAGAAACCACCCGATGTTGTACGTCGCATAACATCCACATCGCCAAATGATCAAAGATCGCCATTTTACGAGGAGAGCGGTAAGCCCATGACTGCAATGGCGACGCTTTATGTACGGCGCAAAAAGTTGTACGAGCGAGAGTGTGATACGGGTTAGTGGTGCAGAATTTTCGAAATACTTCAGTGATGTTCTAATAAGAAAATATTAACTTACAGATGAGAACTTGCCATTAGAGTGCGCCACCCACCCCTGGAATGCGTGGAGTGAGTGTACGACGCGTTGCGGACCGGGCACACAAACCCGCACACGCGCTTACAAAGATCCGGATTTGGCAAGAAATTTCCATTGTCAAGTAGTGTTACATCAAAAACAGCGTTGTGTGGGTGAGAAATGTGGTGTGCCCAGTGTGGAGGACGACGAGGAGGGTGAAGAGTGTCAGCTAAGACCTTGGAGTGCATGGTCGGCTTGTTCGCGCCGTTGTGGACGTGGTTATATAACACGCAGTAGGGAATACATGAACCCGTACCAGCGAGAGAAGTGCTTGGTAGGCGTAGAGTGTTTTAAAAGGGAATTTCAATAATATTTTAATTTTTCAGAACGATAACCCAGTAGAGCTTGAACAACAACGGGATTGTGAAGGACAAGACTGTGGTGGTAGACAGGCTGCGGACAGCGGTGAAGAAACTGACACTGAAAACTCAAATGTGCAAGATATTGAGGGTAATGAAGAAAACAACGAGGATGAAGACGCTGAGTTTTCCCACAGACGCACAAATTCACGCACCTACGGCAGGCAACCAAGCTGGTCAGCGGACGGCGGCATCGATACACAAGCTGAGATAGAAGAAGAACTGGAAAATAATGACGAAATCGCAGGCATACCCGAGCAAATAGACGAAGAAAATGAAGAAGATTCATATGGCGGCAATCGACTTCGTGGCAATCGAATACTTGGCTATAGACGAAATCGCAATCGCGTTGGTGGCGCGAACAATCGTAACGACGACATTGACGACTTACAAGACAGTGCTGCCGAAGAGGACGACAATTTCGGTCTACGTCAGGAGTATGATGAACGCGGACATCGTGGTGTATTCGTGGAATCGAGCGATCCCAATAAATACGATGTGTTACAACAGTTTTGCTTTGACAAACCCTACATGAGGCGTTCGCGTTGCGATCGTCAGATTTTGGGTGTGCGTAATTATTGGTTTTACGATGCGGATGATCGTCAATGTAAAATATTCACCACAGATGATTGTGATGATAATAAGAATAAATTTCGCACCTTGGACGCTTGTGAGGGTACCTGTTTAATGCCACATCAGCTGCAAGGTGGCGCCAGAGAGATGGAGGAGAATAATGAAGAGGAGGAGTGGAGTGGACGTTTCGGTGAGCCTGAGTCATTGGTGAAACAACAGAAAAAGCGTAAAAGGAAAGATGGACGTAAAAGAAATCGCAGACGTAAAGAGAAGGAACAGCCAAAACAATCAGTTGCTGGTGATATAAGAAACTATGCGTACAGAAAGAGGAGGAGAGACACCATAAGCTGAGTTTAAAAAATCTTAAAAAAAAAACCCATAAAAATATTTTATAAAACAGTTTCTAAGAAAAATTTCTATAGTTTGCGAATTTTTGTAATTTAGTAAAAAAAAAAAAAATTAAAAAAAATTTCATTTCAAAAGCGACAGTGTGTTTATTTATGTAAATAATGCATCATTGTTTTTTAATATTTTTTGCGAATAACTGTTTCTTTTTTTTTAATTTTGAATAACCAAAAACACTTTCTCCAACCGAAATCAACTGCCGTTTAATGATGCGACTTAATAAGGCGCCAAACCGTTCTCTTATCAACACTGATGGCACCAGACTAGCTTGTATATTCTCAAGACAGTGGTGGGCATAAAAATTGGAGCGAGACTTATTGGTGTTTCGCTGACACTTACTGGTAGCCGAATAGGCAGCTGTGCGTGCTCTAGGCTGGATGTTCGGAGATTCCAACCTTGGGTGGAACAACAAGCAAAATTACTTATGAATAAATCTGAAATCCTAAGCCTATCCAGCGTATCCGCTATAGTTTTCGGGGAATGTTTGCGGGAGTGACAGTGTTTGATCAATCCGGTATAAAAACCCGGTTATCGCGGGGACTTTTGGGTTTTAGTTTCCGCTTACAAATGGCGTGCCTTACCGCGGGAAAATTCTTGAACCCCTAAACCGCAGGTTTGCCGCAGACGCTGCCTCTTTATTCGCATAACACATACAGCTCATCATGTGCTCGCCTGCGGTATTCACCGTTGCCAATGCGCAAAGGACCATACATCCGTTCACAAAACGTTTCTCTCGGACACTAGTAACGCCGAATCAGCATATGTCGACATCGTCCACGCTTCTGCGCCATATAGTAGCTTTGGTATTATGAGCGATTTTTAGAGCTCGGTTTTGGTTCGTCGATAGATAACTTTAATTTTCAACTGCCTGCTCAGTCCAAGGTAGCAACTGTTGGTAATAGTGATTCTACGTTGAGTTTTAAGGCTTATACTATTGTTGGTGTTATTGTTGCCCCAAGATAGATAAAATTATCTGCGCGCTCGAAGTGGGAGCCAAAATGCAACTGCGCCGATCCTTTGGTTGATGACAGAAGTTACTTTTTCTTATCCTCGTTTACTATCATGTCCATTCCTTTCGCGACTTTGTCAAGTTTGGAGAAAAAGCCAAAATTAACGGCGCAGTTGTTGCAGCCCATACTTGACGTACGCCAACAGCTGTAAACTCTTATAGAAGATTATACCTTCCCTATTCAGATCACCTCGTTTGGTACGGAACGCCTCGGCGAGGGCTTTCTCAAGTCTGATTGGGCTTCTGGTGTTGTTTTCAGCGGCAGTTTACATAGCTGTCGCTGTATCTTTTTACAGAACTTTCGAACATTACCCTTGTCGGTCAGCCGCTCAAGCAAGCTCTTCATACTGATGCATTTCGGCCTCTGTCTTTTTTATCTGCCAGTCGGTCATACTGAGTTGGAAAGTTCTCGGTATCTATTCCTCCCCAATGTGGTCGATCGCAAGGTTGTAGGGTAGGCAGTCTGTTTTCTCTCCACTGCTATCGTACCAGCTCCCTTTCTGGGACTGTCGAAAACCAGTTGTTTCTCTAGCGGCGCTTCGTAGGGGGTTTGAGATGCCGTTCGATAGTTCCTTTATAACGAACTGCAATTAGAAAGAAGGTGTGCAAGTCAAATAGAAAACTGCTGTCGTTTGTGATTGCAGATTTTAACGTCGAACCTTGTTGTTGTTGTTGTTGTAACCGCAAAATTATTTCGCAAAGTACTTTTTGGGGAATGTTGCAGGAGTGACAGTCCTTGGCCGGATAAAAATCCGGGTCATTCCGGTATAAAGACCCGACTGTCGCGGGAACTGTTGGATTTTAGTCGACTCTTATGACAGACATGCCTTTCCGCTGATAAATTCTTGAGCTCCTAACCCGCAGGGGTGGCATTAATTTGTCGAGAACATCAACGACCCGGGCTAGGCAGCGACACCTTCCCAATTAAGCAACCGGTCATTTCAGATGCATGCCTTCAAATCATGATACTTAAAATATTTCTGGGTGTCACCATCAAAAGTTGGGTCTCTCATCCGAGGCTTTGCTGGTTTTGTCATTGGTGAGTCGCAATGAGTCGGATGTGTTTTTGGCTACACAAAAGATACTTGGTTTAAGACCGAACCGTGTGCAAAGTATTCGTTTCTGGCCAATCACAACGTGAATGTTAGTCAAAAGCTTTCTACACGTGGTCTCATACTCCACCCTATCAGCTGGTAGAAATACACAAAATTGGGAATCATCTCAATAGACTGAAGATTATTTATCGAAAAAGTTACCCTCCTAAAATGTATGGCTCCACTAATACTCAGATATTGAAAACCGAGTTTTATTATTCGAATAACATTTTTACTACAGAGAATGTGGTTCTTCCGAAGAGCCTAACCCAAACCCCTAAAACATCAAACCTCCATATTCATCCACTTGTGCCAATGACTGTGACCACCACTGTACTATATAAAGGAAACACAACACCATTTGTGTTTGCAAAAAAAAAAATTAAAAAAATAGAAAATCACAATCTCAACTCAAGCGTCAACTGTCAGCAGACTCAGCAGCATCCCAGTCCCAGCTCCACAATCAGTTGAATTCTCAAATCGCAAGCGTAAAGAACGGTTTATTTTCTTTTTAATTATTTACATTGCAGTTGTACAAATGTTGTGGCACAAAATCATAAGCTTTGTGTGGCTTCTAGTGGCCACTATACGCCCAACGGAGGCGCTAATATGCAGTCGGTATCCAATAAATACGCTCATGCCAAAATCACCGGTTGACGAGAACTTTCTGGTGACGATAAGTGGAAACCCACAAACATATATTTTGGGACAAGAATATAACGGTGAGTGGTAAATAAAGAAGGGGAGTAAAGGTTGAAGTGAAGAAAAGGCGGAAGGAGGAAATTTTTAAATGTACATATGTGTGTGTGTGTGGGAAATGTCCATTGAAAATCATGTGTTTGGTGAAAAACAAAAAAATGAAACTTTGAGCCTCTGTCAGTATTTGTGTGTGTGTATCTGTGTGTGTGTGTGTGTGTGTGTGCAGAGAGAGCATTTTGACATTGACGTTATCGGTTTTGTGTTTGAAGGCATTGATCTTGAAAAGTGCGGATTAAAATGTATATGTATATGTACGTGTATGTATATACATACATATATGAATGTAAAAGCGAAAACATACTTACATACAAACAACCTATAATCTACTATTACTTCTATATATACGAGTGCATACATAATTAATTTTCAAAACACTTTTCAAACACTTGAATATAAACTTTGGCTTATCAACGCGTCTCAGCTCGCAGCCAACTCTAATAGACAACGCCTATTTAATAATCAATATTAAAAGGTTGTGCAATATAATATTTATACATATGTAATATCACTTAAATTTGTCAACATTGTTACATATATTATACATATAGACGTTTACTTTGGTAAACTAACGACGAGGGGGACTCCAATCGGTCGTGGACGGAAGGCCAGCGAGACGTGGTTAGGAAGCTGCCTTAAACTAATGATGTTGTTGTAACAGTTCGTTGTGCTCCGCTTATTTAGTTGTTGTTGTTGTAGCCGCAAAAAAAATGCTCCAAAGTAGTTTTTTGGCAATGTTGTGGGAGTGACCGTTTTTGGCCTCATAAAATTTCGGGTCGTTCCGGTATAAAGACCCGACTGTCGCGGGAAACTGTGGATTTTAGTCGCCTCTTACGACAGGCATGCCTTACTGCGGGTAAATTCTTGATCCCCTAACCCACAGGGGAATCTGCTTGGTTAGTCGATGTCGTCGATGCGTAGTCTCTTGAGACGCTGTTGCGTCAGATTTGGAACAAGGGAAGAGTGAGATTAGACTAGTTATCAAGCAGACACTCATTTTCTGCCGGATATACATTGAGTACATCAAGTTCGGGTGTCGTTGAAGTACTTTAAGGGAAGGTCCGGGAAACGAGATGATTCCTCGAGACTGACATAGAGGTAGAGAGATATTAGATAAGTTTATTTTCGTATATCGGTTTCGGGTGTTGTCGGTGTCGTGTAAGGGGAGCCCCATAAAAAGAGGTCTTTCGTCGAGTTTTGATCAAAGTGAGAGTGATATTAGATAAGTGGATTTTAGTGGTTTACCAAGAGGTAGTTATTAGAGTAATAGTTAGTAGGGAGACTCAGGAAACGGGCTGTTTTATTGTGTTCGCACCGGGGCAGAGGGACATTAGATGAGTGGATTTTAGTAGCCATGCAAGGAGGTGATTAATGTCATGCAGCGACTCATTTTTTGCCGGATATAACTTAAGTATATCGGGTCCTGGTGTCCTCGAAGTCTTTTAAGGGGAGAGTTAGAAAACCAAGTGTTTCGTCAGGTTTTAAACTTGACATGGTAAGAGGTGGTGAATGTCATCCATGGACTCATTTCTCTCTGCCAGATATACGTTGAATATAACGGGTGCGAGTGTCGTCAAAGTCGTTATTTTATCAAGTAATACACAGGTCTCGGCGGCTGCAATAGCCGAGCGGTTAGTTATTCGGAGGGATAGGTTGCGAGTCTTCGAATTTTCGTCCGACCAATATCCAAAAGTATAGGAAATTATTTTTTCCCATATAAAATATCCATTGGCCGTTCGGTGGCGGCTTAGTATAAACTGTGAACATCTTGAAAGCACCATCCATGTTGAAAAAGCTACATGACTTAAACCAAAAATTCGATGAGGAGCTCGGACGAAAACTTCTCAGCGGACTTAAAGCGCTAATATATATTCTTGGTTCTCGCAAGGCAGCCCAAATATCAGTAAAGATGATCCCTACGGCAGCATCCCAGGCAATACTGCTTAACCAGTATAACATTATGCTCCTTGAGTTCGATAATATCATTGCACCATGAATGTACACGCTTAGGCTCGCCTTTGGTTGAAGCCATGAGTAATCTGGGTGTTTTTGTTTTGGTTGAGACGGCGGTACTGCGTATCTTACGATGCAGATATGCTGCTTGGCTCAGGTAGTGGGTGATGATTACAATGATATGGAGGAATTGCTCTTTATTCACCACTTCGTATTTCCCTAAACAACTTTCTATTCCTCGAACTTCTGTATCTCCCCTCGTATGTGTGTGAGTCATTCCGAAATTCAAGGGCAATTTCTCAACATGACTGATTACAGATGAATTGTAGTAAGAGGATTCCGATAGGTTAAACATGACATCGCAGAGTGACGCTAAAAACCGGCGAAAAATTGTGGCCACGTACTGATCTAACAGAAGGACGGCGGGATTAAAGGTTGTCTTCTAAAGAGCGCTCTCTGCGGCGATCTAAACGTTAGAATGGTTGAGGATTTTATCTGAGGCCCATTGACCCTACCTGAACAAGGTACAAATATTCGGTGCGAAATTGACTAAGATGTGCGAACTCCTATAGACCTCACCATCGGTTTAGACAGATAGATGTCTGATATTGTCAGGATGGAAATTTCCGCTGGAGAAGAATCCCATACCTAACGGTCTAGAGCAAAGAGATTTGGTTTTCGAAAATCGTGCCAAATCGAATAGGTAATTCTACGAACTTTCAACTCGGCTGCTATTATATGAGATCAGTTCCTTTATAATATACTAAAGACCGGGGTGCATTTTATGCCTCTCGATCTGCAGACATTACAGTGGCACGTCAAGTCCTGCCACACGAACGATCAGCAGATGTTCTGTCTAGTTTAGTAGAAGCGATAATATTTGTTTGGCCTCCTCTTTATAGTCATTGATCTTCTCTAAAAACCTTCATTAATTCATAATATTATTTTCCCCTCTCTCTCCCTTCCCCACTACTCTTAAATACATAGTCACCATCCAAGCTTTCAACGGTTTACGTTTCATCAGCTTCAAACTTGCATTAGAAAACGAAAATGGTGATGTAGGTTTAAGCGAAGATCTTGGCCACTTCGAAATACTTGACCCGGTGGAGACGCGCTACAGTCCGAATTGTGTAAATATGGTGGAGAGTACAAATACCAATCCGAAGACACGCATCGATGTGCAATGGGTAGCACCTGAACAAAAGGGCAACGGATGTGTACTCATAAGGACGATGTTACTGCAACATCGTGACGTTTGGTTTATGGACGATGGTGGATTAACGCGTAAAATATGCGAAGAGAGCGCCGACGATGTGGAGACTGCACCAACAGGTGAGGATCCGTATAAGTGTTGTGCTTGCGACGAGGCACGCTATGAGGTTGGTATACTACATACGAAGTGGAAAGATGAAACTTTAAAATTTCTCAATTTAATAGCTCACATTCGAGGGCATGTGGTCGCGCAATCTACATCCGAAGGACTTTCCCGCAAAAGGTTGGATAACACGCTTCAGTGATATTATCGGCGCCTCACATACCGCAGACTATAGTTTCTGGAAGTATGGCGAAATGGCCAGCGATGGTATGAAAGAATTCGCAGAGCATGGCTCGGCCCTAACGCTAGAACGTGAGTTCAACAATATGTTTAAGGTTGGTAGAGACGGTACATATGAGCTAATTTAAATAAATTCATACAAATTTTGGGTATCTCTGACCCCACATAGGAAGGCAATATACGCACCATTATTAAAGCACGTGGTCCTGCCTTTCCCAACTTGAATGGCCAATCAGTTGCATCCGTACGTGCAGATCCGCAACGTCATCTACTCTCGCTGGCCTCCAAAATCGATCCATCGCCCGATTGGATTGTGGGCTTATCTGGTTTTGAGCTTTGCATGTCCAATTGCACATGGTTGGAGCAGAAAACGATTACTTTATACCCGTGGGATGTCGGCACCGATGCGGGTCCTTCATATACGGTAACTGTGACAATTAAAAACATACAAAATGTGTATTTCTAGCAATATATACTTACAGTCGCCGGATCAGCCACAAATTCCCGCCGATGTCATACGACGCATACGTTCCAATTTTCCAAATGACCCACGTTCACCATTTTACGATGAAACCGGCGCACAAATGAAACCCTTAGCTGTGCTAAAGATCAAACGACAAAGACTCTATGAACGATTATGTGAGGATGAAGATTGTAAGTTCGTGGCTGTGCTAGCAGACACATTGAGAAGAATTAAAGATATGTTTCAACATTTTCAGCCAATAATTTCGATCTGCCCCGTGAGTGCTTCACTCATCCTTGGACAGCGTGGAGCGAATGCACAGCCAAGTGCGGTGAAGGACGTCAATTTCGTACACGTGTCTATAAGCAGCCTGAGGTAGCGAGAATCTTCAATTGCGATGTGGAAACACGACAAGACCGCACGTGTAGGGGTGAAGAATGCAGTCGTGAAAGGGAAGGTTATGGCAGAGTACGCGACAGCGACAGATATGAGGACAATGAGTTCGCTGAGTTACTGGAAAGAGAGGACACGGGTGGACAAATAACGCGTGCAGATTGTCTGTTGACCAGCTGGAGTGTTTGGTCACCGTGTAGCCGCACTTGTGGCGAAGGCAGAATTATGCGCAGACGTCAATATGCCAATCCGATGCTGAAAAGACGCTGTCAGCGAAAATATCCTGTGAAATTGGTGAATTATCAAACATGTGTGGAGCCTGCATGTCCGGAGGAGAATCAAGATGAAGACGAGGAAGAAAAAGGTACGGAAGCGGAGGAAGATGAAGAGGGTGCCGATGAGAAAGACGAATCAGAAAAGGGGGAAGAAGAAGAAAATGAAGGTGAAGATGAAGGTAATACCGAGGCTGAGGACGTTAATGAAGGTGAAGCAAAGGATGAAAAAGCTGCTGTAGATAAAAACAATGAGGATGAGGCAGAAGAAGAAGAAGCAGTAGAAGAAGAGGAGGAGATGAAGGAGATTGAACAAGGCAAACCGATAAGGCCAGTAAGCAGTTGGCAACAAAGCCGCGACCGAAATCGTTACAATTATAGAGGGCGCATAAAATCAAATCAAAGGAACCGCGCACGTTTCGAGAATGCAGAGAAGGAAGAAGCTGATGAGGAGGACGGAGAAGCCGAAGAGGAACAACCGGAGGAGGGCGAAGAGGATGAAGGCGAAAATGAAGAGGAGGGGGAGGAGGAAGAGCAAGAAGGTCAAGAGGCCGAGGAAGATGTTGGAGCAGATGAAGAGGACGATGCTGAGAGCGAAAACTCAATAGGCAAATATTATAACTTTAAAAACCGTTACAACATGGCTGGCCGACGTAAAACTGAAAAAGACGAAGCGGACCCAGACGATTATAATGAACGCACACCAAGTCGATTTAATTACTACAACCGCTATTCTACCGGCAACAGACTCCGAAATAACAGAAATGAAGAGGAAGAGCCGCCGGAAGATGACGAAGGAGAAGAACAATACAGTAGATCAAATGCACGTGGCAAAAATCGCGTCCGTAATTCGCGCAAAAATCGAGCTGAGGATGAAGAAACCGATGTTGAGCCACCGAAAATACCACCATACTGCTTTACACTACTCAAAATTAGAAGCTGCAAAGAAAAGAAGCCCGTGCGAAACTATTGGTTCTACAACTATTGTGAAGATCTCTGTATGCTCTATACTGCCGATACCTGCGATAGGAATGCAAATAAATTCAATTCACTGGAGGCGTGCGAGGAGACATGTAGGCCGCCAGGGAACGAGTTTTTAGTGCGACGCAAACAGAAGCTGAGTTGCTTCAAATCGAATGAGATAAGACAGAATAAGCGTAGAAAGAATTCGTGGATGTAAGAAATGTTATTCAATAAGATTTTTATACGTTTGTATGTATGTATTTTTTACTTTTTTTTGTTAAGTTTATTTTTTTTTTGTTTTAGTTAAGTTAATTTCCCTTTTTTTATATATAAATACATGTTGGCCAAAATAAATTTTTGTTGTACAATAATTATTAGAATGTTCATTAAGTTCAACAAATTTGGCGGCAGAACATAACGACTGTATTAGTTGTACTTGTAGCCGATCGCTAAGTCTTCTTAGAATCGGTCAATATCAGTCGTATGTTATAGCGGCCGTGGGTGATCCAGGAAAATAGCTGTTTTGACGGGTTCGGACCAGAGGGAGGCAGCGAGGGATGAGTTGGGTTCTAGGGAAAATGCATGGAGATGGGTACGGTCGTGCGTGGACTCATTGTATGCAGCACTTACATTGGCTATGTCGTTAGGTCCAGGAAACGAGCTGTTTCGACGGGTTTGGACCAGAGGGAGGAAGCGGGGGCTGAGTTGGGTTTTAAGAGGCATGCATAGATATGGTTATTGTGGTGCGGGGTCTCATTGAATGCAGGACATGATGGCTCGAGTTTTTCGTCTGCAATAGTTGGTGGTTTGACTCCGAAAACGCCTCTAAGGAACGTGTTGACGGACTCTCGATGAATAGTGTTTAATATCTATCGGTAAGCCATTGTTGTTGCTGTTATAACCGCAAAATATTACCCGAATCGGTTTTCGGAGAATAATGCGGGAGTGATAGTCGGTAAATGGTACTGAATGCAGTATTTTAAGTCGAGTTTTTAAGTCGAACACTCCATTTTTGATATGCCTAGGTGGAGGGTCGGCATCCCTACGGCAGCAACCCAGCAGAAATTGCTTGCACAGCAAAGCATTTTGCTTCTTAACTCGTAGCATAGCTGATTCGCTGTGCAAGTGATGCTCTGGTGACATCGGCAGATTTCGTGTCTAGGTCCTTAGGACGGGGTCTTAGCAGAATTGCAGCTTCTTCATCCGGTTCTCGCTAGTCCCCGGCGCCCATATCGGTACAACATAGCTTACGAGCATTCGAAGTGTATATATGCTTGTGGGTATACATTTGCAAAGCCACCCGCACTCTTGGTGCGCATTAAAACGTTTAAAATGGTCACTTATTTTTTAAAACAATTTTTTTACCTATATACATATGTATGTATGTAAATTAACGAGACGTTATTAGCATGATATCAATACATTATATTTTCCTTGAACTTAAAGCAATTACAATTTTCAAAATAAATAATAGCAAGTTTTCCCATTAAATTTTTAAAAGCAAATAACAGTATTTCTTTATATATGCCTATCTAAGATTTAGTTTTTTTCGCATTGCTCTTTTTCATACTGAACCAGTATAAATATTTTGAAACTAACAGCATAACAGTAAATATACCGAACACAATAACTGGCTTCTTGTTTTCATCACCAAATGATGAGCTAAGATTTTTATTATTAGCCGCATCAAGTGTACCATATGGAGTGGCACGCTGCGTTAGTAGCTGCGTGGAAAAGCACCGTGCACCGGTCAGAGTATGGCTCCGAGGCACGGCGGCCACCTGTCATGCTTGCGTCACAGTGTCACTTGTCGTCTTCTGTATTGGTAAAATATTAAATTTGATATTTGAACCTTTAATGCGTTTCTGCACAATACGTCCAATAACCTCCGGCTCTTTAACGCTTTGTTCGATAGTTTTCAAGATACCCTCACATTTTGCAATTTCATTGGGAGCACCTTGTATGAATACGCAAACCTCATGATTTTTCGCTAACCATTTAGATATGTGTTTGAGGCGTGATGATAAATCATGGTCGGTAATGCGTGAACCAATTGTGAGCGTCTTTTCAGATTTCTTCTCGGAGCTGAAACAGAATAAAATTATAATAAATATAAAGTTATATGAAAGTCTGTGTGGGTGTGTAACACCTGCTCTTCTTATCGACTACGCTTTCATCGACATCTTCTGAAAGCATTTCGCCAGCGGTCACTAACCTGCGTTTAATAAAAGTTAAAAATAAATGTTTTATCTATATGTGCTTGTATAAATATATATATATATATATATATGTAGTTACGTACTTATAAACTGGCCTTTGTGTCTTCGTATCGTAATCCTGTTGCTTAACCAAATGTAACTCACGACGTTTAGCTAATTTTTGTGCCTCTTTAAATGTTATTACGACAATATTTTGATTGGGATGCACAAGCGTTATTTTCGACAATGGTGTGTTGTTTTGTTGTTGCCTAGCTCCGGTGCCACTGGTTGAAGTGTTTGTATTGTCTGAAGCATCGCTTCTTTTCGTTCGGACACAAGCAGAGATTTGCACATTTTGGCGACTGAAGGCACAAAACAACGATCTAGTGGATCTCTGAAGTAAGAGATTCATTGTGGAACTTTCCAACTATTGACTGGGCACAAAATTCGTAAGGGACTGGTGACTTTCACGTTTGTTTTTATTTTATTTTATTTTTTTCTCTTCAACAAACAGCTGTTAAAAACAGCTGACAGCGTTGCTTATGACACTGAAACGATTACGATTTAATCGATAGGTGAATCGATAAAATGGTTATAAATTGTTGCTAATATGAGGCAAAGAACGTATATTATCGGTCCTTTTCGTTATTCTACGTTCTCTGGTATGAGGTACGACGACTTGGAATTAATTTGAATAAACAAAAAGTTTGTCATTAATTATTATTATTACCATTTTTCTAACTTATCCGGTAATAGTTTAAAGCGATATTTAGCCTCTTTGTGCCAATACGATTAAAACACATTTTTTTGTATACAGAAAATTCTGTTTTTTTTTTATTAATCTTCTTATTTGTTTTCATTTGAATATAATTTCATTTAATGTATCTATGTATGTATATGCATATGTATATATTTTTATAGGGAATTGCATATTTAGGATTATTTATATATATGTATATATGTATTTTTCATACGAAGTTTTGCATTGCATATTTTTATACTTTAATATAAAATCATTACATAATGCGAACATAACTTTCGAGAAATAATTTATTTAAATCTCAATTGTTTCTGTTTAACTTTATCTTATGCATAAATCAAATAAATTAAAAAAAATTTAATAAAGAAAATAACAATAAAATAAGGCATAAGCTGGTTTCTTAAACGTTTTTAAGCTGCTAATTATGACTTAAGGAATTTGTCATCTCTATTATTTATTTACAATACAAACTATTACATAGAATGAAAAACAAAAATTTATTTTCTTAATTACACAAATTACACTATAAAGCTTTAAAATAACTGTTTAAATTAATAAATCATAAATAAAGAAATTAAAACTCTGTGGCATTTTTTACTTAAAATATTAATAAATATTAATCATTATAAACTTTAACTTACACACGCAAATCTTGGAATGCGAAACTGCTTTAGATATTAAATAAAGATTGCTGCGTTTAAGCCAATTGCACCTTTAGATAGTTATGTATGTATATGTGTATACTATTAACTAATAGCCAATAAGCCAATGATGGCTAAAATTTAAACTCGCTGAATTTCGAAGAGCTTCACATCTGTATCATACCATATAGATGGGCCGACATTACGCAGATAGATCACACCCCAAATGTAGGTGCGAAACCAGGCAGTCGTGCCAGCATTCGCTTGATATTTTCTAATAAGTATCGGATGTGGCACAGGCAACAGGCCGACAAGTGTGCCGTGTTGTAAAAATTTCAATATTTCCGATTCATCCGTCAATCCCTTATCGATGCAGATCTTCTCCACTTGTGGCACAAGCACCTGCAACAGACGCATTATGGTTTGTAATGGCAATTTCGAGCGCCATGAAACAATCCATTCAGGTGTTGGCGTCCAATGATCAGCCGATGCATTCGGTACCATACGAATACTGCCGCGTGTGGCCACAGATAGGCGTGATTGATTCTCTTTTGGTATGGCATTACTCTCGTTGGAATTGAGTGATGTATTACTGCGACGCGAAATATCATTTCGACTGGGAATAGTTGTTGTGCGATTGACCTGTTCGAATTGTGAAATATCTGAGGTGCCATCAACGGTGGGCGTTTGGGTATCTTCGCTGCTGGGATGTGCAGCTTCACGTTCAGTCATTTGATTTATGGCAGGCGTCTCAAGCAATGAAGTCTTCAGTGTACCCGGTTCGGCGGGTAATGCCTGCATAGCATTTTCCTCTTGTATCTCGCTTTGTTTGTCATGCGACTCAGTTTCCGATTCACAATCCTCATCATCAACATCGGCAGACAATTGACGACCACTTAATGCGGCGATATGCGCCGAATTTGTATGTGGTACAGGCGGTATATTGAATTTACCCACTTTACGGCCGCTCAGGCATTTTGCAATACCCGCCATGTCTGATGGTAAATTAGCCATGGCATGAAATACATGGCGTTTACGTATAATCGTATAGACCAAATTGGAATTACCATCAAATTGGTATTGGATTATGTTATTAAAGATTTCCAATAAGAAGAAAACCAAATGGTGATTATTAGGCGCCGATAGCAAGAACCAAGGTGTACTGAAAGCTTCCAGCAAGTGCAAAAGTTTGACGCTAGCCACCATGGACAGAGTCTTAAGGTACGGCGACACATTCACCAATATTGTAAGTAGACAATCGAAGAGTGGTTGTAGTCGTTGATGGCCAGTGGCTATAATCTTATGAAACACTGTAATAAGCAAATCAGCGTGAGTGCCGGTAAAAACTGGTATATCCATGGGCACGGTGGCGGTGTAGGGTTTATTAAGACGCACGCCAAAGTTACGTTCACCTAGAATGAACAGTTTTTTTTAATATTTCATATTCAATAATTGCACTTGATTACTATACACTCACCAGAAAGCAATAAAAGTATGAAAACACCAATATGCATGAGGCCAACTCGTGACTGATCCGCACGTGAGTAGTTTAAGTGATATAATATTGGTATGAGTATATCCAATACATCAGAACTCTTTAACACAAAGTAGAGAAACTTCTTATTAAAGTCGCATACCTTCCAAAAGAGTATTAGCAATTCTTGATGACAGTGCAGACGTTTAGTCGAATTTGGTAGGTAATTTTGTAAGAGTGGATTGTTGAGCAAGCGTGTGATACCCTTAAGTATAAAATGAAAATCTTCATCACGATGAACTCTCGATAAATAATTAATAAATAAATTGTCTCCAAAGCCATCATCGTAAGAATTGGCTGGTTGACTGCCTTGCATTTGGCGCCGCAATTCCAGTTGCTGTTGTTGATGCATAATCATATCATGATCCAATGTAACTATAAGTATTTGCAGGCAAGCCTCAACGAGCGGCTCCGTGGTGTCCGCAAAAAGCAAATGATTATAGGGTACACCCATGCCTACGGGATCATAGGCACACACTGTGTTCAACAGCGATGTAAAAAGGGGCAAGGCATGTCGATTATCAGCTGAGGTAAAATAAGCTATCCAGCTATTAGGCTCATCCGTTAAGCAGTAAATGGTTTCCGAAAAGCAAGTTAATAATAGTTTTAAAATCTCTGCACGCCGTTTTTCCATGTTAGCATTTTTTGGTGGTGAATGTGCAAAGCCAACACCCGCTTCCCAAATGTATTCACAACTATCAATGTTGGCCAACTCTTCCGCCTTATCGGGACCGGCACGTCGTGTAGCAGTCACTGTAAAATCTGGACAAAATAGCAAATCACACAAAGCATTTATCAGTGACTGTGCCAATGGCACCGGTTGTGCGCCTGCGGTACGTGGCGAATTTTCATGTAAGGTATCTACGCCATCACTAGACGTGGGTGTGTTTCGTGTAGGCAGACTACTCCAGAAAAACTCACGCCATTTTTCATCTTCAAATATATACGGCAAAATACGTATCAATAAACGTACACAATTCAATACACACTGCTGTTCAACATGGGTACGACAACTGTTATCCACTGCCAGTGCCAACTTCTCGACGGCCTTGTAGCATAACGTCGCCAAATTACCCGGATTATTATTACGTATATTTCGTATTTCCATTGATGGCACTAAGGCGAAAACATCTTCTAGTGACGTTTGATGACCATACCAAAATTGGTCCCAAAACTGATCGTCGGTGTCATCAATTTTTTGGGCCTTCTGTGAAAGCTGTAGAATAGCTTTGCGGAAATTCAATTTTGAGTCACTATTTCCCATATTGTTCGTATGTTGTTCACTTTTTTACTTAGCTACGACGCACAAAGGTTAATGGACGATTGGGAAATATATGATGGGGGTGCGGAATGTTTCAATTATGTGATTTGTAAATATTTTTTAACCAGATTTTAAATTTTTACACTTTTACATTCACAAATCATTGAAAACACCAACGTAGAAAAATGAAATTTTGCTTCCATCTATCAGTTTCTTACAAACATTGCCAGACGTTTCCATTTTTTCTATTTAGGCCACAGTGCCAAGCTAAAGTGGTGAAATGTGAGGAGATTTGGAAAGTGCCAACAATTATTTAAAATGCAATTATGATTTTCGATTGAAGGCTGGGGCTTAGGAAACTTTCATTTCTAATTTCTTTTCTGAAGGATTAATATAATATAGCATTATTTGGTTTGATACTCAGTAAAAAATTATAGATTTCGTAATTCAACAATCTGATGGTATCTGTCAAATACAGGGAAACTCCTAATCCTGTTAGAAACCGGGATATCTAATGAAACAATGAAGATTACAAAAGATTACAGATCAAATTTTTCTGGATAACGAATGAAGAAAAAGGAAGTTTTTTGAAAGAGTCACACATTAAAACTTTTGTTGTAATATGAAAAACTGCTGCGTAAAGACCAAATCAATATTTTATGGTGTCGACACAATGATTTAATACGATTTTTTAACATTAAAATTTGATTAGATTAGATTAAATATTCGTTTCAGATATCAAATGGAAATATAAATTTTTTGAAATTATTTTTTGTAAGTGTAGTAACACTTAATAAAATGCACGCTACACCTTAATTTTAATAACTCATTTTTTCATCTTAAAATGAACTAAATTTCTCACAATCGCATTTTATACTCGACTGTACCATATTAAAAATGGGTGAATACTGTCGAAGTTTTCGCTAATCTTCCATAAAACGATGCCACCATTCACTCTTGGGCCAACAAATATATCTCAAAGACCACAGGCAGAATTGAAAATTTTGAATAAGCACACATATTATATGTAGATGCCCCACATAATGAACATTTTAGTCTTCCCACCCACACGATTCCAATTTTAGTATTTAAAGCATTAATAAACTCAAAAACTCAACCGAAATTGTTTAGGTATGCTATTTTGAATGGGAACTAAAGTCAACAATATACATGTCTTGTGGGACTTTAAATATAATAATCAGACCAGTATCTAATATACGGTTTCACCCGAACTTAATTTTCTATCAGCAATCATCTTTCCAACTTAGAAAGTCAAAAGAAAAAAGACGCCGCAAAATAATTTGATAAGTAATTTTTGATAGAAACAACAATGAACAATTCTCAATTGAAGCGTCACACCTTCCAAAATCAAAGATCATTCTGCAAAAAATAACCCTCATAGTTCGGAAGAGCTTTGTCACTGGTAGAAAATATCTGTAGGTCACTGAGACTGCCGACTATGCCGCGGGTGGTGAATTATGCTTGCACCGTTGCCAGGTGAAAAAACAGATACATCAATAAACAGCTGTCAACTCAATTCTATTAGCGAAACGTCATCACTTATTTGTCTATTGAGTAAAAATTGTCGTGATTGCGTGGAAAATTGTATATTTTCAATCATAATTTTCTGTACAAATACACAATAATATGGAGTAAATAGTGTTAATTGTGTTGTAAAGTTGCAGGAAAATATAATAGTATATATTATTATATTACAACAAGTGAACGTTAATCGCGAAGCTACTAACGAAGTACGTGTGTGTGTTTCGGTGCTTCTGCTGCGGTGGAATCCGTTGCTTAGAAGAAAAAATTTATACAAATTTAATTGCAAATTTTACTAATAATGACGTTGCCCGGTAATGGAATCTTCGTGGTGCGGGAGCAAATGTCCACGCTAATGACGGCAATGCGCCGTGGCTCGCGTTGGAACTCTACCGCCTACGTGGTAAGTAGGTTTGTTTTGTATTTGTATGTAGCGCTGTTTGTGTGCAACATATGGGCATTTACAATTGTAATGGAATGTAATGTACAACAATTGCAACTTTATGTAGGACGAAGAAAAGGATGGTTTAATGAAATTGTTCGTTAATCTTAAGGAGATATTGAAAGGTGTTGAAGACTTAAGATTGATAGATCCCAATATATTTCTGGCGCCATTTTTGGAAGTGATACGAACAGATGAGACTACGGGTGCGGTCACCAGCTTAGCGCTGGAAGCGATTAATGAATTTCTTTCATCAGGATTAATTGGTAATTATACAAATACTATTTACAAATTTTTATAACGAATTATTATATCTACTAAATTGCAAACAGATCCCACCTCAACCAATCTCGCTGTTACAGTGGAGAATATAGTCGATGCAGTTACACATGCCCGCTTCATGGGCACCGACCAGTCATCAGATGGCGTTACACTCTTCTGCGTTGTTGAAGTTTTACACACACTTATGCGTTCGCCCGAGGGTTCCGTGCTCAGCAATGAAGCCGTGTGTGAGGTTATGCTGAGTTGTTTTAAAATATGTTTTGAACCGCGCCTAAATGAACTGCTGCGTCGTTATGCTAAAAAGGCTTTGAAAGATATGGTGTGGTTGCTCTTCATGCGTTTGCCACAATTCTCTGAAGATCGTAATGCTGCAAATATTTTGCGCAAATTCCAAATGATCGCCACCACTATGGACCAGAACAAAAATAAACAACGTAAGAAAGTAACGAAAGTCGCTCAGACTATAGCGAAATCTGAAATAGAGCGTAAACTTTCGGCAACGGCTGCGATTGATCCGCAGAGTCCACATTTGCATGTACCACACGCCAAAGGTTTACCTTTAGCAACTACGCCAGCTACTCCAGCGGGCAATATACTTGATATGCAGGGAAAAATTACACAGACACCAACAACAGCTCCAGTTAGCACGGATGTTGATGGCACTACGGAACCCACAATAAATATAGAACATTGCGATGACCAATCTGATGGTGTAGAGAGTGATACGCAAGCGCAGCCCTTGATTGGTGCTGAGCAGCAAAATAGCGAAGCTAGCGCAAGCTTAGCAATACCCACAACAGATGGCGAAGAAGCCGCTTTGCAGTCGAATGGTGTTGGCAGCAGTGAATATATTAATTCTGTAGGCGTACGCTTTACACAACAAAACTCCATTGATGGCTCAGAAGGTTCAGCATCTTTGCAGCCTTATGGTCTACCATGCATTCAAGAGCTTTTCCGCTTCCTTATACTACTGTGCAATCCTTTAGATAAACAAAATACGGACACCATGATACATATGGGTCTGAGTCTGCTTACAGTAGCTTTTAAAGTGGGCGCTGATAATATTGGCAAATACGATACATTGTTGGAACTGGTGAAGGATGATTTGTGCAGGAATTTGTTTGCAGTGAGTATATCAAGAACAGATATTTTAAGTATTTATAATAAAAAATGTCGTTTATCATTTCAGTTAATGAACTCGGAGCGCTTAACTATCTTCGCTGCTGACTTGCAGCTCTGCTTTCTGGTTTTTGAATCGCTTCGTGGCCATCTGAAATTCCAAATGGAGGCATACCTCAAAAAGCTGTCTGAGATTATTGCCAGCGATAGCCCCAAAACTCCTTATGAAATGCGCGAGCTTGCGCTGGACAATCTGCTACAATTGTGGCGTATACCAGGTTTCGTCTCAGAGCTGTATATTAATTACGATTGCGACCTCTACTGCACTGACCTCTTTGAAGGTCTTGTTAATTTGCTCTCCAAATATACACTCTCCGCCACAAATGCTGTTTATAGCACACACATAATTTCATTAGACACGCTTACCTCCGTTATTGAGAATATCGAACAAAATTGCATAGCTTCAAAGAATGTTAGCAATGAAGATGGCACCACTGGCGTGGGTGTCACTTCCTCTAGTCGCCATTCGCGTCATAATTCCGAGTTGGAGGGTATAATTATCGATGGCAATAATGATGATAACAAATCGGTTGTAGAAAATATTTCAAAATTCATAAATAGCTCCTCACGTTTACGGCTGGGCGCTGGTGGTGTACCCAATGTGGGTCTCACACGTGAATACCTCACCAATGTGAAGGAGAAGAAACGTGTCTTAACACAAGGCACCGAATTATTCAATCAACGTCCCGATAAGGGCATACAGTATTTGCAGGAACATGGCATACTCAGCGCCCAACTCGATCCCATGGAGGTTGCTTTGTTTTTACGTGAAAATCCTGGCTTGGATAAAAAAATGATTGGCGAATACATATCAAAGAAGAAGAATGTGGATTCGAAAATTTTAATGAATTTCGTAGATTCGTTCGATTTTGCAGGCTTGCGCGTCGATCAAGCCCTACGTTTATATTTGGAAACCTTCCGTTTGCCAGGTGAAGCACCGCTCATATTTCTGGTGCTAGAACATTTCGCCGATCATTGGCATGTATGTGATATGAATAATTGAAAGTAAATAAGTGAAAAAATAGAAATAAAAATATTTTATTTCATTGCAGAAACAAAATAACGAGCCGTTCGCCAACACAGATGCCGCTTTCAGTTTAGCTTATGCCATTATAATGTTAAATATGGACCAGCATAACTCAAATGCTAAGCGTTTGAATGTGCCTATGACACAAGAGGACTTTTTGAAGAACTTACGCGGTTTGAATGGTGGCATAGACTTTGATCAGGAGATGCTTTCAACCGTTTTCAATGCTATTAAGTGAGTGTCTTTTTTTTTTAGTTTGGTTCGCTTGCCAAATTTTTCATTATCTATTTCCGTAATATAGGAATGAGGAAATTGTTATGCCTGCTGAACAGACAGGTCTGGTACGCGAGAATTACTTATGGAAAGTATTGTTGCGTCGCGGTGTTGGCCCAGATGGTGCTTTCAAATATGTGCAGGATGCAGCTTACGATCTGGAGGTCTTCAATTTGCTTTGGGGTGCTTCTTTGAGCGCATTAAGCTTTATGTTTGATAAGAGCTCGGAGAATGGTTATCAGCGTATATTGGCTGGTGAATAAACTTATTTTTTTGTTTTCGGTTTTTGGGAAGAAAATATTTTTAATGGTTATAATTACGAATTTATTTTTTTTAATAATTTATTTATTGCTTTTATTTCTTACAATTTATAGTTATCATACTATTTTTTTAATTTTTTTTTATTTATATTTTCTTTTTAAATTTTTTTCTTTTAATGTTTCAATTATTTTTTATAATTTTTTTTTTTAAATTGGTTTTTTTTTATTATTTTTTTTCTTTGTTTTAATTTTTTTTAAGTTTTTAAATTTTTTTTTTATTATTTTTTTATGTTTTTTAATTTTTTTAATTTTTTTAATTATTTTCTTTTTCGTTTTATTTTTATTTTCATATTTCTATCTTTTTTATTTTTATATTATTTTTTCATAATTTTTTTATAATTTTTTTTCTTTATTGGTAAATGAATTTATTTTTGGTAAAATCGTTTCAATTTCTTTTGTTTAAATTAATTTTTATAAGCTCGAACAAAAATTAAATCTATGCAGTCGAACAAAAAACTTTAATTTTTATATCTTGTTTTTCATTTTTCAGTTATGTATATATTTTCTTTTTTTTTTGGTATTTCTTAAATATTGGAGCTGCTTTTTAAATTTTATTTTGTATATTTCTAACCATATTTTGCAAAATGCGTAAATCCTTTTATAAAAAGTTTTATTTAAGAGATGAATATTGCAATTTAGTTTTAGTTTTATTTTTTTTTATTTATCAGAATGAGTCACAAGTAAAAATTTTGTTTTTAATATGCAATATAATTACGAATTTATTTTTTTAATAATTTATTTATTGCTTTTATTTCTTACAATTTATAGTTATCATACTATTCTTTTAATTTTTTTTTATTTATATTTTCTTTTTAATTTTTTTTTTATTTCAATTATTTTCTTTTTTATAATTTTTTTTAATTATTTTTTTTTTATATGTTTTTTAATCTTTTATTTATATATTTTTATTTCTATCTTGTTTTAATTTTTTTAATTATTTTCTTTTTCATTTTTATTTTTATTTTCATATTTCTATCTTTTTTATTTTTTTTTATTATTTTTCATAATTTTTTTTTCTATATTGGTAAATGAATTTATTTTTGGTAAAATCGTTTCAATTTCTTTTGTTTAAATTAATTTATTTAATTAATTTGTGAAAAAATTTTAATGGTTATAATTACGAATTAATTTTTTTTAATAATTTATTTATTGCTTTTATTTTTTACAATTTATAGTTATCATACTTTTTTTTAAATTTTTTTATTTCAATTATTTTCTTTTTTATAATTTTTTTTAAGTGTTTTTTTATATGTTTTTTAATCTTTTATTTATATTTTTTTATTTCTATCTTTTTTATTTTTTTTATTTCTATATTTTTTTAATTTTTTTATTTCTATCTTTTTTAATTTTTTTTAATTATTTTTTTCATTTTTATTTTTATTTTCTTATTTCTATCTTTTTTTATTTTTTTTATTATTTTTTCATAATTTTTTTATTATTTTTTATTTTTCTATATTGGTAAATGAATTTTTTTTTGGTAAAATCGTTTTTTTTTATGAAGAACTATACTTCTTTTTTTCTTTTCAATTTCTTTTGTTTGAATTAATTTTTATAAGCTCGAACAAAAATTAAATCTATGCAGTCGAACAAAAAACTTTAATTTTTATATTTTGTTTTTCATTTTTCAGTTATGTAAATATTTCCTTTTTTTTTGCTATTTCTAAAATATTGGAGCTGCTTTTTAAATTTTATTTTTTATATTTCTGACCATATTTTGCAAAATGCGTAAATCCTTTTATAAAAAGTTTTATTTAAGAGATGAATATTGCAATTTAGTTTTAGTTTTATTTTTTTTATTTATCAGTATGAGTCACAAGTAAAAATTTTGTTTTTAATATTCACATATGTTTTCGTTTTTAGTATTCACATACATAACACAGATATTATTTATTATAATTATTTGGATGCTCATTTATTCTTAGCTCTTTCTTTGCTAGTATTCGATTTTGTTTTATTTTGTTTATTGTTTAATTTTTTTTTATATATAATTTTTTTTTTATTTTTTTTTTATATATAATTTTTTTTTTTATTTTTTTGTTTTTTACTTTTTCATATATTTTAATTTATTTTTTATATCTTGATTTCTTTTATTTTGTTTATTTGATTTTACAGCTTATTTTTATATTTATTTTTCATTCATTTTTGGCTTATATTATTTTTTTGCTTTATTTTAATTTAATTTATTTATCTTAATTTTATTTATTTGTCTCATTTTATTTATTAAATTAATTTTATTTATTTTGTTTGTTTCAATTCAATTGTTTAATTTAATTTTTATTTATTTCATTTTATTTTACTTTAATTTTTCATTTTACTTTTTTTAGTTTTAGTTTAAGTTTATTTTTTATTTGAAATTAATTTTTTATTTTAAATTTATTTTTACATTTATTTATTCTATTTTGTTATATTTTATCTCATTAACTTTTATTTTAATATAATTTATTTATTTTAATTTATTTTATTTTTGTTTTTATTTAATTTAGGATATTTTTTAATTTTTTTTTATTTTTTTTTATTTTTTTTAATTTTTTTTTATTTTTTTTTATTTTTTGTATTTATTCTATTTGGTCGTATTTTATCTTATTAATTTTTATTTTAATATAATTTATTTGTTTTGTTTTGTTTTATTTTATTTCATTTATTTTATTTTCTTTAGTTTATCTTTATTTATATTATTTTATTTTTGTTTCTTTTATATTTTTATTATTTTTATTTATTTTATTTTATCGTATATTATTAATTTAATTTTTTTTTATCGTATATTATTAATTTAATTTTTTTTGTACTATTAAATATGTTTTATTCTAATAAATTTTTAATTATATAACTTAATTTCCTTTTATTCATTTAAAAGTTTTTTGTTTCATTTAATTTAATTTATTTTATATATATCTATTTCATATATTTTTTTTTTATTATTTTTATTTATTTTATTTTTTCGTATATTATTAATTTATATTAATATTTTACTTTTTTACATTTTTAATTTTATTATTTTATTTTATTTTATTACATTTTAATCAAAAAATGCATATATATTTATATTTTACTCTGTTCAATGATATAACCTCACATTTCCCCCGCCAGGTTTCACAAAATGCGCCGGTATTGCAGCTCACTACAATTTGCATGCCAATTTTGATGCCCTCATTCTTACGCTCTGCAAATTCACTACACTTTCGAACCTCTCCCAACCGGAGGCACCCACCGTCTCCAACAACGAACTCACACAATCGGTTAATTTCGGTTTCAATGGCAAAGCTCAAGCCGCAATGCGTACAGTCTTTGCGCTGGTACATGATTATGGTGATTGCTTGCGCGAAGGTTGGAAGCACATCCTGGAATTATTCCTACAATTGTTCCGTTTGAAATTGCTACCAAAATCTCTAATCGAGGTGGAAGATTTCTGCGAGGAGAACGGCAAGACGCAACTGAAATTAGAGAAGCCAAGTCAAAAGCAAGAAGCTAGTCTCTTCTCTAGTCTCTACTCATATCTCTCTTCGGAGGGTCAACGCGAGCCAACTTACGATGAGCAAGAATTCATAAAGATGGGCAAAAAGTGCATAAAAGAATGCCAGCTAGATCAGATGATACAAGAATCGAAGTTTGTGCAGCTGGAATCGCTGCAAGAGTTGCTCAGAAATCTTTTAGCACTCATTAAACCACCCACAGCACACAAGCTGGACGAGAGTGCTGCACCGTACGCCGAAGACGTTGTTGTCTTCTGGATGGAGTTGCTCGTGAAGATTGTCATACAAAATCGCGATCGCATGGTGGGCTTGTGGCCGGATGTACGTGATCGCATCTATCTGCTGCTAATCGGTGCCACCACCTTCGACTATGAATATTTGCTCAATCGCAGCATAGTGGCTGTGCTGAAGTTGGCCATTTACTTGATGCGCAACGAAGAACTCTGCCCAATTGTGCTGCAGTCACTTAAAATGCTGCTCACACTGAAGTCACCTGTAATCTTACGCATTTCGCGACAGATTTCTACAGGCGTTTATGAGTTGCTCAAGACTTCGGCGCAAAATATACACTCCGAACAAGATTGGCAGATAATATTTACCATACTAGAATGTGTAGGCGCTGGCGCAGTGCCGCCTGAATTTGTTGACACCAATTTGCCACAGCTGCCGGCTGAGTTGGCTGGTGGTGTTGTGGGAGTTGCGGCGAGCTTGGATGGAGCTTTGAGCAGCGAGGAGGATTCTGGTTTACCAGATCGTGGCTATTTATCCGATACAGACGCGAGTGGCAAGCAACAACAGCAGCAGCAGCCACAGCAAACGCAAGAACAACAGCAACAACAATCACAGCGAACAAATTCCACCACTAATAGTTCATTTCCTTCGAGTCCAACGGCGGAGAATTGGATTTTGGTGAACAAAGATAGCGATTTGTCAACGCAATCGCGGTAAGTCTTTGACATTTAACCGTAAACTGCGCATGTGATTTAGTAATTACTAATTATTATCTTTGTTTGCATTTTCACAGCCCACAATCCCCACCGACTGCAATAGCTGCCAGCTTATCAGCACCCGCAACCGCTGCCTCGCCGCTCATCTATAACTGTAAGCTGGGTGAGCACTCGCCCATTGCGCTCTTCAAATGCTGGGACTCGCTTGCATTCATCGTGCGCAATGTCGCACACATCACACCCTACAACTTCGAGTCGTGTGTGTGTTGCATACGCACTTTCGTTGAATGCTGCCGTGATGGTGGCATTGCACAGCGTCGAAAACTCGAAGCAGAGCTGTCTGCCAGGACGGCCAATGCAAACACTGCTGCCGCGCAGCGTCGTAAGGTTTCGGTTAAGCGAAATGAACGTGAGGCGCAACGTAAGGCAAATGCTGGTGGCGATTATTATGGTCAAGATCAACGTGGTGGCGATCCTAAAGAGGAGGATTTGCGACAACGCTATGAAACGCTCTCAATACAATTGATTGACCTCATGTATACGCTGTATACGCGTACAGCGCAAATATTTCGCTGGTGGGCCGAGGAGGAGTGTGCCGTGCCGCAGTGTTCCGCCTTGTGGGCGCAAGGTTGGTGTCCACTTCTGCAGGGTATTGGACGTCTTGCCATGGATCGTCGCCGTGAAGTGCGCACTTATGCTATATCCTGCTTGCAGCAACGCGCATTGCTTGTGCACGATTTGCAGACATTGTCGGGCGTTGAATGGGCATCGTGTTTCAAGCAGGTTTTATTCCCGCTGCTCAACGAATTATTGCCGGAGAGTGCTTCGGTGGCGCATTTAGAGATTGTATTGTTGGAGGAGTCGCGTATACGTACGGCTACTATTATGTCGAAGGTCTTCTTACATCATCTGACACCTTTAATTGAATTGGGCACGGCTTTCAATGAGCTCTGGGTGGATATACTGGATTATATTGAGAAGTTTATGAAGGTCGGCTCAGACATGCTCTCGGAGCAGATGCAGGAAATATTGAAGAATATGTTGTTGGTAATGCATTCGGTGCGAGTGTTCCATAATGATGATGGCACGTTGCAGTTGGCGTTGTGGGATTTGACTTGGAAGCGTATTGGCGAATTTTTGCCAATCATCAAGGAGGAGCTGTTCCATGATGAAGGTAAGTTCTTTAATAAAATCTTCATAAAATCATATTCAGTCTGCTTTGTTTTATATTCTTCTTTCATCAACAAAAAAAAAGAAGAAGAGTTTCTTTACCAAAATGCCAATCAAATCTCTTTACTGAATGCTGATTTAGCAAGTAATTGGCAAAATTTCTCTAGCGCAAAGCAAATAGCGCTTTCACAAGAAATGGAAATTCCCATCCAGCCGAATATTAAGACTGGCACCGTTGCTGAGCAAAGAAAATTCAGAAAATTTTTAAGACTCAAGCGACAGCAAGCATTTCAAGATAATTAAAAGCCGTTTTTATTCTAAATTCATTTGATGTAATTTGAAAAATAGCAAATAGTGAAGACTCTTTGTCTTAAGAAATGATTTTACATACTTTTAAAATTTTTTTTTTTCTATTTCAACCTGGTACTTGTAAATAATTTTAAATTTTAACATACTATTGCGCTGAAATAATCCTAATGAAAACATTTTTTTCTACCAAAAGAGAGAATCAATAATTTTAATTCCAAGTATAATATATATACCAAAAGAGAGAATCAATAATTTTAATTCCAAGTATAATATATATACTTGTACGATTAAATTAACTTTGTGATTTTTACGTCGAAAATCCCATTTCAACATTATTCAGATATTATAAGACCCTTTCGTGAAAACGCACGTTGCGTTTTGTGAAAATTTCTCGCAATCAAGTCGGAGTGCCAGAAGCGTGAGTTTAAATAACTAAAATTTTTCATAACAATTGAATAAATATTAAAAAAAAAAATGGAAAATCGAAATAAATTTGGTTCCCTTTCAAATGCAAAATAATTCTAAAATTAAACGTTCGTATGGTGCAATTAATCATTGAGGTTATGCTCCATATTCGAAATTTTTCAAATTATGTTGTTTAATTAGAAGTTTTGGTATCGCTGTTTTTTTGCGTTTTCAAAGATTTTTTTTTTTGATATGGAATTTATATGTTGGTAGTTTCAAATTAATTCGTTTTATTTATACATTTTTTAACTGAATTGATTTTAGTTTAAGTTTTATTTGCCTTAATTTATTTAATTTCGTTAATTCTAATTTATTTTCATTTAATTAAATTTATTTTAAATTTATTTGTTTTAATTTTTTTTTTACATATTTTTAATTTTAAATATTGTTTTTATTTATATATTATTATTATATTTTACTTTATTTTAATTTAATTTATTTTATTTTGTCTAATTTTATTTTTCATTTCTCTTATTCTGTTTTATTTTATTTATTTTGGCCATTTTTTATTATATTTACTTGTCATATATTTAATTCTAATTTTATTTAATTTACTTTTATTTTGTTTTATAAAATTTTATATATGTTTTCATTTTAATTTTATTGTTAATTTGTTATTTTATTAATTTAGTGTTTTTTATTTTAATTTTGTTTTACTTAATTAATATTAATTCAATGTAGTTTTGACAATTAATAAATTTATTGTAATTTTAACTTTTTTGTTTTACTTCATATAGTTTTCTTTTCATTTAATTTAAATGAGTTTGTTTGATTTTATTTTTATATTTAAATTTTTTTCTTTTCTTGTGATATTTGACACTTTAATTATTTTTAATTTTATTGTTTTTTTTTATTTCATTTTATTGTTCTTTTTAATTTTAATTCATTGAACTTAGCTTAAATATATTTTATATATTTCATTTCATTTATTTTATCTATGTACCTATTTAATTTAATTTGATTTCGATTTAATATTTTTTTGTCTAATTTAATTTTATTAAAATACTTGTTATTTATTTTGTTTAATGCCAATTTTTATATATTTCTTATACTTTAATTTATTTTATTTCGTTTAATTTGATATTTTTTTAATTTAATTTAATTATTTAATTTTAGTTATTTCTCTTTTGTTTTCTTATATATTTCATTCAATTTTTTTTTCTGTGTTTCTATTTAATTTAATTTTATTTCGATTTAATATTTTTGTTTATTGTCTAATTTATTTTATAATTTTTTCAAATTTAATTTTAATAAATTATTTATTTTTTATTTGGTTTTACTTTAATTTTATATATTTTTGTTATATTTTAGTTTTAGTTTAATTTCTTTTCTTCCATAATTTATATTATTTTATATAATATATTTATATTATAATATTTTTTGTTTCGGTTTTCATTTATTATATATTTCAATTTATTTATTTTAACTTTATTTATATTTAACTTAAATTTATTACTATTTAATTTTATTTGATTTCTATCTATTATTTTTTTCTTCTAATATTATTTTATTAAATTATACATTTTTTTTTTAATTTTATACATTTTTCTTATATTTTAATTCTAGTTTAATTTAATTTTATTTGACTTAATTATACATTCTTTATTTAATTAATTTTTTTTTTAAATTTGTTTTATTTCCTTTCCCAATATTTTATATTGTTTTTCTTATTTTTATATTTATTATAATTTCCTGTTAGTTTATTTTATTTTATTTAGTTATTTATTGTATTTAGTTTTAATTAATTTTCTTTTGTGTAATTTTATTGTAACATTGTTTTTTATTTTAACTCTATTTTTTCAAATTAATTAATTGATTAAATTTAATTTAAGTGTATACTATTTATTTTATATATTATTTTAATTAAATTTTTTTATTGTTGGTTTGATTTGAATTAATTTATTTTATTATTTATTTTTTTCATTTAATTTTATTTTTTCATTTTAATTAATTTTTAATTTTTTTGTTATATTTAATTTAATTTCATTTATATATATTTTTAAATTTAAATTAATTTTTTGTTCAGTTAAATTTATTTAATATTACTAAATTTATTTTATCTTATTTAATTTGCTCTAATTTCCTTTTCATTTATCTTAAATTTATTTGTGATTTATTTAGCTTATTTAATTTTTTTTCTATTAAATTAGGAAATTTCCATCGGTTATTAATTTATTTGCTATTTTAATTGCATCTTAATTTCAAAGAGAAAGTGATTTTAATAATATCGTTCAATTCAATTTTATTGTTGTAATTCGTTTTATTACGACTTTTGTCATAGACATTTCAATATACACTCATTTTATTATGATTTTTTTTTTAACTGCCTTACAGATAAGCGCGCTCAAGTAATGTCGGTGACCAATGCCGCATCCCCGCCACCACCGCCGGCGGCAGCAGCTGCAGCAGCAGCAGCAGAAAGTCCAACATCGGCGAACAGCAATGCAGCAATTAAAACAACAGCAGATACCCAGCAGCCTGTCTTGTTGCCACCCACGCCATTGATGCTGCCAGGAGATATCCAAACGTACAGTGCGACAACTTTTGCTGGAGAAACAGCAGCAGCAACAGCAGCGCACACGCAACGACCACACTCAGCAGAGTTGGTAAGCGAATAAAATGACATTTATTATAATTTTAATGAGTTAGTAATAAAAATATGCGAAACATTTACAGTTGACCAGTACACAGCGACGTATCGGCGAGTCCACATCGCCACGTCATTCATTGGCCGCATCGCCAATCACCACTAATCCACTGTTGTTAGTGAGTGATGCGCCTATTTTAGTGCGTCCAGTGCCCAGTAGTGCTGCGAAAACGGTGGTGGAGACTTCTACTCAGCCCCTGGTGGTGCCAACAGTTGCCGCACCAGCTATTTTACCTGATTTAGTGCATGACACTACACAAGTTGGCGCTCATTTGCCGGTTGCCGTTGAAAAGCAAACGGACAGCGCGTCCATAACGGTGCAACAACCGTTGGTCGTCAACAACACCGTGCAGAGTAATATTTACAGTAGTTATTCATATGCTATTGAGCTGCCCGAGACGCCGCCAGTTGCTGCTATTACTCACGCAGAACACCAACAACATGAACAACAGCAGCAGCAACAACAACAGCAACAATTGCATCAGCAACATACAGATTACGCTGCTGCTCAGACACTTGTCTCACAACAGTACCAATTCCAAGAACAATTATTCCAACAACTGCAACAGCAACAACAACAACAACACACTTTATACAATCAACATTCGCTTGAGGTCCAACGGTCCGTCACTATGCCACACACAGCGGACGGACAGCAGTTGGGACAACAACAGTCCGTTGTAGACCACAAGCCGGTCGATAATGTGCCAATACCTAGCAACCAACAACAGCAACAATCCTACTACACCAGTGCACCTTATGTTGCAATGCAAAATTTGAAATCGCAACAACAACAACAACAGCAACTTCAACTACAAACAAATCCTGCCATTGTATCGAGCTTCGCCACGCAACCAATGCAATATCATCCCACACTACAGCAGCAACAGCAGCTGCAACAACAAAGTGGCGAAATGGATATCTATCAAGAATATCTTAAAAATCCCTATAATCTCTCAGCGCCCAGTGGTCGTGCGGAGCTTTCAACGCCACCCACAGCGTTGACAAATGTTTTTGCTGCATCACCAGCGAGTTACTTTAATGCGAGCGTAGATCCCAGCTCAATACCGCCCGGTTCGGAGATGCTCTACGGTCAGCCATAGAGTGGGTAGCTGAAGAAAATTGTAGTTAATTACATATAACGAATTATAAATACAAATATACATACGTACATACAAATGACTAAGTATGCCTACAAGTGAAGTTTGCTGCAAGCAACACGTTAAAATGAAAACTTTTGGAATTATAATTTTTAATTAAAAAACAAAAACAAATAAAAAGTTTATGTTTACTTCCACCCTTTATGATTTAAGCGTATTAACGCATTTACGCAAAGGAAATTCCATAAGAATTTTAAGTAAGTGCAATATACAAGAAATTTGGAAAGGTATTGTGAGCATATAAAATTATTATTAATAAAAAAGTAAGTTCGCGAAAATGAGGCAAATTGCAAAGTGAAAAAATGTAAACGAAACGCGATTTGCAGCGATTTGCCATTATTGATTTGTCAAAACATGTTTTATTGTATTTTTTACACATCCAAATTTATATATATATAAAATTTTAAATATTTACACATACATCTCTATCAATTAATTTATATTTTTTTTATTATTTACATTCCGCAATTGTTGGTTTTAAAAACAAACACATTTTTCTATAAAATTTTGCGTTCCGTTTTTGACTTTTTCTTCTTCTTCTTATTTTTAAATAGTTGATTGTTTAGTGAGAAATGGCAACAGCCGCAAGCTTTCTTTATCTATTATAAAATATAAACGTATATATATATAAATTCATAATTTAATAAATAATATAAAAATGCATATGTACATACATATATACGTATAGAAAGAAAGCAAGGGAAACGTGTGCATAAATATAATATCTAACATAAATAATTGTAATGATAATTTATTATTATTATTATTATTATTATTATAATTATTGTGTCTGTGTGTAAATCTAATGTAAATACATACGTAAATGATGAATATATACATACATAAATAAATAATTAAAAAAAAAGAATAAAGCAATTGATTTTTGGATTTTCTCACTTTGCAATACCAGGCAATGCTGGTTGTTGTTGTCGTTGTTGTTGTTGTAGCAACTTGTTAACTCCGCTCAGGTGCCGTGGCTGGCGACAACTGTCGGAATTTGTGGTGTGTATGATAGAATTGTCTTGCTACTAAAACCGGCGAAACCTGCCAACATAGGAGAATCATACCAGCAAAATGAAGATGAAGGAGCAACAAAACATTGCTCTGAGGACTGTAAGACGGCTTTTAAGCATTGCAAATGCAACCCGCACTGGATGTTCGTTGCGATTTTCAAGCCAATGATTTTCCATGAAGCCTCACAAGCAGTTTGGAGGGCAACCAAGTATTATTTTCAATTCAATCAAAAACAGCAGTTGACACATTGCCGAAGGAAGCAATCAGTAACCTGCAGCCAAAACTCACATTCTTTGGGATCCAAAGCACAGGATCATCGAAGGTAATGAAATTTCTAACGAATTGTCTATAGAGGACATCATCCAGAACAAGACTTTATTGACTTATCAGTCCCATCGAGTGAATTGAGGAATGCACAGAAAACGCTTTTGTATCGTTAGGTTGATAAGTTTTGGGAATGAAGCTTGTTTTAGTGATTACAGAAGCAAAAACTGGGCCCTTCAAAGTAATAACTAACCAAAAAAAAAGAGATGAAATGATTACTGGTACTTTCACCCAATGGAAAAGAGGGAACGGATATATGTATGTAAATATGTCTTCATTCAATATGATCAACTGACGTCTAACAGTAATAAAATAGAACAGTCCAGGGAAATTTTACGGATTTTGTATATATCCCACCTACTTCTCCGTCGGATAACGCTGTCATCAGGGTACGTAAAGCCCTCCGAGTGTATTTTTGACATGAAATAAAAGCTCCTTATAAAAAACCCACTCGGAGGCGCGGATTCAAATCTTGCTGTCTTACTAACATCCAAAAAGTTAAAGAAAATTAATTTAACTACAAAATTAAGTTAAATTTCCTGATTGCGGTCGCCCCTCGGCAGGGAATGTCAATCCTTCCGAGTGAATTTCTGACATGAAATATAGGCTCCTCATAAAGAAAACCATCAGGCGTTCGAAGGCGTCTTATTATAAACTCTAAGGGACCTACTTTGTTGAAAAAAACGGTTACAAAACACCAATTATATATATACATGTATGTACATATATAATATATCTCATCTTTGAAGCAAGAATCGCCATTTTTGTGTAACATTTTTAACATTTTTAACGCCTTGTGCATTTGATTCATTACCATAAATGACGGTCTTTTAACTAATAAAAGAAATATTTGGCTTGACAGTTAACTGCTCTGTAATTTTGAAACCACTAAATGGGTAACCCTATATTTACATTTACATATGTTTCACGTTCTACTCACAACCCTCACTATGTAGACATGTAACATTTAAATACAAGTAGTTGCTTTAGTTCCCTACAGGTAACCCATTGACTGTTTTTTTATCGCATGCGATGAAAATTTCAAACTGACATACTAAAGATTTCTACATTTTTATATTAACTAAAATTGGCTAACAAATGTCAACATCATATGGATAAGTGTGGTTGCTTAGGGATAAATATATATGTATGTATATCTATGTTAAAAGATAACAGCCCTGTTCGGTGAGAAATGTCGCTGGGAATTAGTGAGTAATGAAATTAAGAGAACTGTTTTTAAGTATTTTAATAAATTGGGTTGGGTAGCTCCAAAAGAAATCGATGATTTTTTTTAAAAGAAAGTAAATACATTTCTTTTTAAATTTTATAATGAATTTTGTTGTAGGACCTTTACACGCTCATAGAATTTCTGACCTTTATCTGCAAAAAACTGAACCAAGTGCGATTTTATAGCAACGTCGTCTTTTTCGAAAGTTTCCCCCGTTTAATGAGCTCTGCAAAGATCGAAACAAATGGTTGTCTGACGGTGCATCAACAGTTCCCAGCCAAGCTCGCTCAGTTTTTGACCAAAGGTGTGTGCGGTCTAGCATTGTCTTGGCGGAATATGTCACCTATATGATTGACTAATTCTGGCCACTCCTCGTTAATGGTTGTATTTAATTTGTACAGTTGTACACAGTGGACGTCTGAATTATTCGTTTGATTCTTTGGAAGTAGCTGAAAATATGCCACACCCACCCGAACCCGCCAAACTGACAGCATACTATTCTTTTGGTGAATATCAGCCTTTGAAGTGGTTTGTGGCGCTTCATCATACTTGAACCGTAATCGTGTTCGTTTGACGTTATTGTAAAAAAACATTTTTTAACTCCAGTTGTGATTTGCTTCAAAAACGGCTTAAATTCATAGACAAAAAACTAAATGTTAAGGAGTGCATAAGTTCGTGCCCGATTTCAAGTGCAAACTAAAATTGAAATTTTTTGAAGAAAGCGCTTGTATTAATCAATTATGTATTCGCCATCATGTTCGGCAATCCACTCCCAACGTTCAACCAATTTACGGATGCCTGATTCATAGAAATCGCGCGGTTTCTCGTTGAAAAAGGTGTCAAGGTGGTTTTTGACGTCTTCCACATTTTTAAATTTTTTTCCATTCAAATTGTTCTGCAGCGATCGAAACAAATGATAATCAGAAGGTGCAATGTCGGGTGAATATGGGGGATGCGGCATGATTTCCCAATTCATCTCCTTCAGTTTGGCCAGGGTCGGTTTTGCAACATGTGGCCTGGCGTTGTCATGATGGAAAAGAACTCCTTTGCGATTGGCCAAAATCGGACGTTTTTCATCAATTGCTTTCTTCAATTCGACCAATTGCTGACAATACTTGTTGGCAGTGATCGTTTCTCCAGCTGGCAAGAGCTCAAAATAGATCACGCCTCGGATATCCCACCAAATGCACAGCAGTACCTTCATCGGATGCAATCCACCTTTCGACATCGGTTCCGCCCCTTCGTGTGCCTGTTTCCATGTTCTTTTGCGTTGAACATTGTTGTACAGGATCCATTTTTCATCACCAGTCACGAGCCGATCCAAAAAAGGTTCGTTTTTGATCCGTCGAAGCAAAGAAATTGCTGTTGACATACGGTCCACTTTGTTTTTTTCACTCAACTGATGTGGCACCCATGTATCGAGCTTCAAAGTGTACCCAACCTTTTTTAAACGACGAAACGCAGTTGAATTGTTGACGTTCAATTCACTGGCAACCTAAAGTCCTTAAAACATCGTCATCAAGCTCAGAAGGCCGTCCACTGCGAGGTTGATCTTCGAGGTTAAAATATCCAGAACGAAATTTCGCGAACCATTTCTTTACTGTGCGAAGTGCTGGAGCACAGTCCAAATAAACTTCGCAAATATCTTTAGTTGCAGCGCCTACTGTTTTTCCTTTGCGGAATTCGTATAACATAATATGACGCATATGATCTTTTTCGCTGTCCATCTTCCATGCGTCTTTTCACTAAGCAACTCAAATCAAAATGAAGTTATTTTATGCTTGATTTATAGTTCGGACCGTCACCTTTCCAACGATATATAATAAGTATATATTTCTTTCACAAGCGCCACTCTCAAACGATTCGAACGGCATCCAGCGGTATCGGGCACGAACTTATGCACTCATCCATACAATACATATTATTTCATATTTTGATTAAATTAAACTGAAAATAAAGGTGTTTAAAACAATTTTAATACTTTGTTGGCTCACCTCATGCTTCTATAACTGCCTTTAGACGACGTGGGCTAGATCTAATCAAATTTTCTATTTCTTTTGGCGCAATTTCAGACTATGCCTTTTTTCAGATAATCCTCCAAGGTTAAATTGCTAGTTGAAGCCGCCAAAACAATTTTTCGTGTCAATAACTCCCAAATATGCTCATTGGGATTCAAGTCTGATGATTGCGGCGGACTATAAAGCTGACGAGTAGAATAATACGATAGTCATTACATCCCCAAGCCCGTTGTATGGTTAGGTTCGTTGTCGTGTTAATATCTATCTACGAACTTCCGAGACCTAAGGAACCCACGGAAGACTGCCTATGTTGATCCAAAATACTTTTGTAAACATATGTGTTAATTATTCCAACGATAAACGTTAAATGTCCTACGCTAGTTGTTCCAATCGCTTCCCTCACCGTGCTTAAGGGTTTGTATTCACTTTTGGATTTGATCAGCTGCCATTGCTTTAAGTAAAAATTTTACGCAGCCAAAGCCAGAATACGTTAAATTTCGATTCGCACGCAAACAGGAGTTTTCTCCAAAAGAATTCATCCATATCCTTGTGTTAGATTTTAAAGGCTTTTTACGTGGAACTCCGCTTCGATAACTATCTTTTCGTTAAGTTCTTGCTAAAGTTTTCGGGTGTATATTTTTGCCCCATATTTTTTGGCGATGCTGCCGGTTATCTTTGGAGCAATTATTTTAGAATTTTTTGGCCTATTTCCAACAGATTTGTAGGTTTTTTACTTTCGAACAATATTTTGCTATATTTCCCTCTGTCTGTTTTACTTTACCCATTTTCTTTTTTTTTAACTTGGCATGCACTTTTGGAGAAGAAGTCGCATCTAATACCGGGTAAATGTGTATAAGTTGCTAAATCATTGAATATAACGGTACTTTAATTCTAAAGAACTTGAAGAGCATATGCGATGTGTATTTTTCTTTAATTGTATTTCAACTTTTGTCCCGCGTGATTTTATGTTTTTAATGAATTTACCGTTATCTACGCGACTTTGAATATTTTTTTTTATTTTTTTTTTTTTTTGGATTGTATTGTTGATTAATTATCTACTTTGAAAAAACTGCATTCTTACATTTACTCTATATTGGTTAATTTTAATAAAAAGTGGAATTTTTTAGGTGTATTTAAACTTTTGTCTCTGACTGTAATCTAATAATGAAGGCATAGAATTCCTAGCTACCCCTTACTCAATGTAGGATGTGTGGTGGGCGGGCGATGATTTCACTCCACTGCATTTTCGTTTAATGCGTACCTTAACTGTTGAGTTGAATCGTTGACATTTGGGCACTTATTTTGTTAGTGTATAAGTCACTTTAAAGTATTAATATTATTTTCATTTTAAAATAATTTTAATTTGTTGACGAAAATGCAGCCATATGATCACAACTCAGCAGTTTTCAATACCTGCGAGTTTTTAATGGCTGACATTTTCCCAGCACGAATTTGTAACTTTCTCTCCATATTAAAAGTCAAAATTGCGCTCTCTCGTTATTAGTCAGTAAAATTCAGTAACAATTGTTACTGCCCCATCAGTTCACCGAACAGAACTAATCTCTCACATATGCTACCTACCATCGTGAGTGACAATTGCTTTTTAATTTCGCCAAACATTTGACAGAAGAACTATCGGATTGACATACAAAGAATGTTGAACGGTTATTAAATTTATACATATGTACATATATACATGCAGCAGTGAATATGTGTAAGGATATAAATATCTTTATTTCGAAAAAAACTTGTTTTTGTTGATGCACAAAGGTGCCGTGCGGGGGATGAGAAATAATAACTAAATACTTGACATTTTTTGTCAAAAACAGCTGATGCAACTGTCATCTCACAATCGTGAAGCAAATAAAGAGAGAGAGTAAAGTTGCAATATTTTTGTTGGAAAATATGCATTTTTAGGCTGCGTTTTACGTAACATTTGGAAAACGTAAGCAAATGAGCGTTTCGCCTGCCATAAGTTGGATGGATGGTTAGAGTGCAAGGCTTAAGTCCTCAGACAAACGTGTATGTATGTTTATAAATGGCTCCAAAATGAAAGCTGGAGCTAGTAGTGCTAGTAGTTTACTGCGTCCAACCAGAGATAAGAAGGTTTTAAGCTGCCAAGTCCCCGCAGTATCTCTCAAGCCAAAATATTTGATATAAAAAATGGCGGCCGAATTACTGCAGTAAGCTGACCAGCACCAAAAGAAAATTCAATTTTACGTTGCTATCAAGGTGGCCGTAAAGGTCAAAGCCATACGAAGCCAGTAACACTTGTACTACTACTTATGTATATGTGTAGTCGGCATCGCAGGGGATGATATAGCACACGGTTTGGCTAAAGTTGTAGTGCTTTTAAAACGGCGCATAGAGATGTGTCTACAGACTTACCACATTTTCTCAGGGAAGTTAAACACGGAAATGGTAGTAAATGTACAAGAGAATGTAGAATTTGTGAAAATTATGACGAGGAGCTTGCCAAGTACTTAGAAGCGACAAAGAGGCTACACTGCAGGCTGCTAGTAGGGCTGCTAACGAAGAATTGCTTGCTGAAGTTGCATACCGTCTGGTTGAAGACAGGAAATGCAGGGAATCTAACTAGGAAATAGAGTATCGACACTCCCTCTGAGGGGAAGGAGTATATTAAATTTGTTGAGGATAATCTAATGAATCTCAGTTTGCTAAGAGAACAGCAGCGAACTTTAAATTGAATACGCAGTTAAAGTGTAGGAGAACAGAGCTTTGGTTATAGCTTTTGGTGTAGTTCTTCTGGTAACGCTATGCACGTGAGCTTCCCTCAAGGATTAACGTGTCTAACCCAATAAGTGGCCAGTGTTTAATGTCACTGTCACTGTCCAACCTCGGCATCTGCGCCACACAACCCTTCTTCGACTGCTATCGTCAGTGAAAATTGAAAATCTCATTTAATAAGGTGGAGACAGGAGCCTCATAGCGGTATCACAATGAGCCTATTGCCCTAAGTGCGCTGATAATGACGAGCAGAAACTCAACTCAACTCCCAATCCAATGTAATCTTCCATAATTTTGGATTATTTTGAAATAAACTGTACTGCAACTAATACGAGTATGACCCTCATTTAGAGGATATCTGATAGTGACATCCTAACTTCTCATAACATCCAAACTGTGCTCTGTCTTTCCTTGCCCCCTTCTCCTGAATAGATGTTATTTGCGCTTTTTGGAGTGAGTGAAGTACCATATAAGCTCTTCAGCGTAATGCTGGAGAAGGTAATGAGAGCTACAGAGATAAATAGACAATTAACAATCTTCTATAAGACTGGGCCGTAAGTACTGCTTTTTCCGGGTTGGTCAAAGAAGTGACGCGATTGAATAAGATACTGAACGAGAACAAGACAAAATATCTTCTGTCGCCAAATTAACCGTTAGCGCACACGCGAGTTGGCTCCCTTGTCATTGTTAATGGTCATAAGCTCAGCCGGGAAATCCAACTACATAATCATAATCATATCCGGCTTGTTGTACAGTGCAGAAGAGTGGACGTTGTTGACATCCGCTGAGTCGACTTTGGGAGTCTCCGAAAGAAATTTTTTGCGGAAGACTTATGTCCGACTGTGGTTAGGCGACTGTCTAGGCAAACGTCAACCACTCGGAGTGTGCTTCGGACATGAAATAAAAAGGCTCCTCATAAAAAACCATCAAGCGTTCGGAGGCCGCTTAGTAAAAACTGTAGGTCCCTCAATGTGTTAGACGCGAAGACCACAAATTGGAGGAGGAGCGCGTCCGAAAATCGTTTCAACGGTTACAAAGCATGAGAAGTATTTCAACCTCACTTCCTAAACACTGCTTTTTTTGTTCCACAATAGCGCAATAACGGCCATCGCTCTCACCGGCAGGAATTGTATGCCAAATACAAAAGAAGCCTCAGTTGAATTCCCTTAATGACTTGACAATTTTATTCACATTTGGAGTTGGTTTTATTCATAACGTGTAGGAATAAAAAAACACTAGTCAACGGATAACAAAACCTGACAAGTCCTTAAGGTATAAACTTACAAGAAAACATTTGTACATGCTTTGTATTCCCCAATGGGTTGGTGCCATCAAATGCGTAAGAAAGCTTCGCCGAACTGTATTTAAGAGCGTCAACTTGGAGAATTTAACAGTTTCTTACCATCGTAAAGGTGCAACCTTACGGGCAGTACAAGAAATGCTTTTAATTTTCAAACTACGCGCACTTCTGCTCAGCTACGCCTGCCTGAATTCACTACTGCAGCCGGTTCAACTATGGAGCGTGGAATATAATTTGAATTTACTATGCAAAATGGGTAAGATGGTACGTACGCAAGAGCTGATTTGGTACGTTAGCGAGCGTCTGGACACAGCGGATAGTGCGGGCATCGAAGAATTTATCAGAGCGCTGCACGACTGCCTCGGAATCACACAGACCGTATTGAGTAATCGTACCGATTGGCGTTTCATACAAACGGAGAATAGGAAAAATTCGCTGAGTGTCATCTTTTGTACAGCACCGGATGATCCCATTATCTATGTGTACGATCGTACACAACTGGGACGACATTTCTATTTCGGTTGGTTGATTTATATGAACACCGTGTCGGATTTTGTTGTAGTGGATCAGCTGCTGAGCGCTTTGAGTGAGCATAGCTTTCATAATACCATGTTGTACTACTACAGCACAAACGAAACGAATGAGGTATTCGCCTCTACTCTGTTCCCGGAGTATCACCACGTGAATCGGTCCGATTTTTTGGTGTATCTAGCAACGATGTTCGGCAAACTAGTAGCTGGTGGCATGGACTTGCAAGGCTATAAATTTTATACACCACTACAGCAGGATTTGCCGCACGTCTTCAGTTATATGCCACGAGATTCACCAATCAGCTGGCGTGGCTCTGCTTATAATCTCTTGAAGTTGTTTCTGAATTATGGTAATGCGACGTTGGCGCGCTACGAAATGCCGAAAGATCGTTTAGGTGGTGATGTGATCGATATGAAGGCGGCACTTGAGCTGATACGGCGCAAGAAGATCGCTGTTATGGCACACGCTTACGCGCTGTTTAAGGAAGATGACGAGCAGAGTAAGAGCTATCCGCTGATGGTGGTGCGTTGGTGTCTTATGGTGCCGATATGGAATAGTGTCACGACTATGTTTTATCCCTTGAAGCCATTCGATGATTTCATTTGGTTCTGTATGCTCTGCGTCTTTGTCGCTTTAGTGTTTATCCGTTGTCTCTGGTGTTGTTGGCAGGGCACACACCAACTGGCGGCACGTTTGAGTGACAACATTTTACAGAGCTTCTGTCTGAGTATTGGCATGGCTACATCGCACTTTCTGGGTGCGCCAAGTGTCTTTGATTTCCTCATATTCACCACAATTTTCTTCTACGGCTTTTTCCTCACCGCCAACTATACGTCGCTATTGGGCAGCATCTTCACGGTCACACTCTTTCACGCACAAATCAACACTATGCAGGATCTTATCGAGACGAATATTTCGGTAATGATTATCGATTATGAATTGGAGTTTCTACGCTCCACTGGAGATGATTTACCTGTGAATTTCACACGACTTATTTTGCCAGTGGACGCCGCCACCTTTACGCAACATCAAGTGCAATTCAACTCGTCTTTTGCCTACTTCGTCACGGAGGAGAAGTGGCGCTTTCTCGACTTACAGCAGAAATATCTCAAACAGCGACTCTTCAAATTTACCGACATATGCTTCGGCTCCTATCACTTAGCCTATCCATTGCAGCCGGATTCTTTCCTTTATCGTAATCTGGAATATTATATTTATCGCATGCACTCATCGGGCATGTTGAGTCACTACGAGAGCACAGCTTTTGATTATGCTGTAAGTGCGGGGCTTATGAAGCGCTTGGCCGACAGCTCGGAGTACACTTCGGCTGGCATGCAACATCTGTTCGTTGTATTTCTCATGTTGCTCGTTATGTGCGGTCTTGGTGTTGTCGTTTTTATGGGAGAGCTAATGAAATATAAATCGAGTAGGCATCGCACTGTCAGCGCTCGGATGTAGAGTTTACGAGCTTGATTAATTACTCACAGCGTGTCTAGACTTTTGGAAATTTTTCAATGAAATAAAAAATCTTTAGCTAAGAAATTATGCCTTTTATATCATCCAAGATGCTTCAATGGAGTTGAGAAAAGTATGAAATGGGAGAGTACGGGCTTGAAGCTCTCAGTTGACTACTCAGTATTTGTTGAGTTAACGTCCAAGAAATAGTACGGGTTATCCGGGAAGGCCTCATATCTGCGAAATCTTCCTCAATAGAGAGTTTAATTGGGAGCTCTATTTAAAATTCGGTTAGGGAGATCCACTAATGAAGAAGGATATTTGCTTCGTGGTATGAGTTGAATTGTTCGGCTTCACTCTATTTTCTAGCCGAGTAAGTAATACGCCACCAACCAATCTTTCAGTGGTCACTACTCTGTATGAGTGAGTGATCAGCATGAATGAAAGTCTTCAAGAAATTTCTTGTCGTGGACAAGCTCATGTCCCCTTTTCAAAAGGACTCCCATTTATATTATAACTCTTACTCATGATGTATTTTAATTCGGCTAAGTTGGGCGGGATTAGGTTAGGATAGGTTACACTGGTCGGCTGATCCCCCTTGCATAGGCACGTTGGTCCTTTGTGGCACCAGATGCTAGTTCGTTGTATTGCGACCTAAGGCAGCCATCGTATAGGGCATCAACGTCTTTCTTGAAATTCAAGAGAGGCTCAATAATAATTCAATTGGAAAATTTTCTAGTCCATTAAATTGCCAGTGAAGATCAGCAAAGAAACTGGGAAAGTATTCTAACGTCTCATTCATGACTTCCTTCCAGCACTTCCTATATGCGTCACGCTAGTAATGCCCATTTTGCTTGAGTTGCATTGCAAGCGGATGCGTGACCCATAGTACGGCAGAGGTTTAGATAGGCCTCGAGTCCTACCAAGGTGGTTACTATGTCCAGTCCACACTACCAATTCGTGTAAACATTATGTATTATGGGCGCTGATCAACGCTTTGATTTGATCGTTATACCTCGGGCGCTTGTCTATTGCTTCCTTGCTTCTAAGCACATTTTCTAATGCAAAACGATATCAGCACTGGCTGTCGACCTATAGGTATTTTTTTTTATATTTTATGTATAGTTTTCCCCATTGTCAGCTATCTCTGCAGCTTTCCCTCTAGCGAAGACTTCCGCCCGGTATTGCACTAGTCTGGATGGCTGAGCTCAGCGCAATATCCTCCGGCGCTGATTTCATTAGCCAATTTTAATCCATTGGTGTAGACAAGACTAAAAGCTATTAAGTTTAAGTGCCTGCTTAACACAGCCGAAGCAAAACCTCTTTCCCGCCTAAGCGAAAGAAGGTGAGACAGTCCTTCCAATATTGGTCTAACTGAAACCAGTCGGTGATACGATAAGAAACGAAAACTTTTAGTTTGCTATGGACAAAAAAAAAATCTATTTGCCTTTAAGACAGTAGATCTTTTCTTCAGGTGTATGCGCTCTTGTTTGAAGATCGCGTTTTTGTTAATTTAAGTGTCTTGTAATGAGGAGTTCCCAGCAGTAAAAACAGAAGTTTTCATGCGCTTCATTGAGTTGGCCAAGTGAATATGCGAAGAGTCACGAGTTCGAACATTCAGAATTAAAGAAAAATATTTTTTTTTAATTACGTTCGCTTCTTGGCAACAAAAGGCCTTTCGAAGATCATTTCGGCGGCGCAAACAAATCAAGGCATAGTACACAATTTGGATGAGAAGTTCGTTTTGAAAATCGTTTAGGCGTATTCAAAACGAAATTAGGATCGGTTACGTCGCATCCTTAAGCCACCACCATGATACAAAGCTACCGAGCTCTGTCCTAGGCGTCTAAAACTATGATTTATCTTTTCAATTTTTTCCTTTTCTCTACTCTCTTCAATATTTGACTATCATGACTGTTAGCGGAAGCAATGATTCACCCAGTGCTGTATTGGAAAAAGAAGAAGATTGTTTTCTTTCAGTTTTATTCAACCAAAAAAAACTGCTCCGACTTGGAGACTGAAGTGGAGTCCACAACAAGTAGCCAAATGACAAATTTACGGAGTCAATGTAACGCATTAGTTGAGAACCTCACTTCAGTCTCCAAACCTGAGCAGTCTCACTCATGCCTTCTTCCAATTCAGGCTCCAAATCTTATGCGGCATCTAGAAATTTTTTACCTAGTAGCCAAGATCCCTTTGCGGAGGAGCGACTGTCTCGACGTGCTACTCATGACGAAAAAAGGCAATCAAAACATTCAAATTTCATTTATTGTGAGAATACATTTTTTTATGCTCTTACTGTGTACTTGAAAATTATATGAGATCAAAGCTGCATCTCTCCATTCTTGGACACTCGATATGCGGGAGAGAGAAGCAAGCTTTGCCTGCAGTTCAAATGCTTTAAAACAATTTAAGAGGCTTTAAAATAAAAGTTACTTCTGCCAACGTTTTTCTCTCTCCCTCTCTCTCACTCTCTCTCACTCTCTCTTCCGTCTCCCTCTTCATCCTCTCATTCAGCAAGTTATTCATATGAGAAACGATTGTAGTCCACTTCTTTAACACCATAATACTTTTTGATATAATATTCCACAGTGAAGACGAGCGAACTCACCAACAGACCCGAAGCCAAGACAATCCAAGCAATGGTGAAGAATCTCAAATTCAACGGCTCTACCGGATAAGTGTCGGTCAGAATTTGTGCATATTTTACGCGCACAGCCTCGTTAAATGCGCGTTCCTCCCACTGACTCCAAAGACCCGACTCTTTGGAAATTAAAATGAATAAATTGAGTGTATCGAACCAAACGGCATCGCGTTGCATTGGTATCGCTTTGAAGACGGTGCCGAAACAAATTTTCGAGAGATGAAAGTACGGTTGGATGAGTGTGCGTTGTTGACGATTCAAAAAGTTCCACTGATCTTCGGTTACCACATAGGCGAAATTCCGATTCATTTTGTCGAGGATATCTTGAAATTCCTGTCATGGTATCTCGCGCAGCAGACGCGACAAAGCGAGTATATTCTCAACGCCGCTATGCTTAATCTCCGCAAAGTCACTCAGAGTGATGAGCACTCTTATATTAGCATTCAGCAGATCATCGACTGTGTTGATGGGCGGCACGAATACCGGTTTCATATTGTACGCCGTCAAGTAGGGCGCATGATAGGCGGCCAAAATGAAACCGAACACGAAGAGTAGCATATAGAAGAAGAGTACGCGTACGTGTGCATTCTTCAGCTGTACATTCATATTCGAACTGAACATTATGATGGCACTGCTGTGCAAAATATTACGTGTAAAGGAACGCGTCGGCTTCTTCTCATTCGTAGGATACTCCACGTACTTCATCAAAAAGGCAATATAGAAGATGCCAAAGAGTATACACATATAAATGTAGCGTCCGAAGGGCCACACGATATACCAGTATTTGGGTAACTCATCCTCCAGCGGCACCATCACACAATTCTTCACCCAATACAACGGATAACTGAAGTGTACATTGAGCGTCACGTGATTCACCAACGTCGCGCCATTCATCGCCAAATTATACTCGCCATTGTGTATGCGCTCATAAATTTCCGAGTAGTTTTCACTTAAATCGCGATTACACTCCAAAATCATATGATGACGATTGGCGAAATTCCATATGGTCTGTGCGTACGGTCCGAAGAGCGTGGCATCGCTTATGTTCTGACCGTTGCGTACATACGCACGCGGCACATCATCATAGAAGGGTGTACGCAGCACTGTTCTAGCCTCTAGAGGCATTTCTACGCACTTCAACCTCAGCAGCAGCAGCAGCAGTAGCAGCGGCGTGAAAATAGTCAGTTGCACTGTTTAAGGGCTTCAGCGTGTAGGCGCCTTATATAGGCGTTCGCGTGAGAGGTGTTCCCTTGTGGCTTAACGCAAATGAAGGATATTTTTATAAAAACTGCAAATTATTGCGGTTTTTACATATGGCTTTGAGTGTGTGTGTGTGTATGAGTGCATGGTTTTTCACCGTGTTTACACCTTGCATGTGTCAACCGCTGCTGAAGTTGACCGATTGAAATCGATTCGGTAATTAAGATCTGCTATCGATTAGGCCTCGCAGCGGCCGCGGTCGCTTGACCACAAAAAAGGTCATTAGAAGTGTGCAAAAAAAAAAATTTATATTTTAGAGTGCATTGAAGCGAAATTTATGTGTGAACATTCCTTCGCTCTCACACCTCTCCCCACAGAGTAGTTGCCTGAAGTACACTATTACGTATAAAATTGCCTGAGTAAAATAAAACTTGCAGATTTTTGGTTGCTCTGTGATTAATTATCGAGCTTCTAAACTCAAAGAGTTCTTCAGTGCGTTTAGCGGCTGGCTGAGTGAGTAATTTAAAGATGATCAAAGAGGTCGTCTAACTGAAAGTTAGAACTGTTTGGAAGATCAGGTTTAAGGTTCATAAACAGAGGTTTTTTTGTTTTCGGAGGGGGGAATCTTCGGAAGATACCGCCACTTTTCCGGGCGGCATGCACGATTCGTACCGTACGCTAAAGGTACACCTCATTCGGGACCACGCACAGTATTAGTATTATCTAACCATACTGGACTTGCGAAACAATACGCCTACGTAACTAAAACCCTTAAATCCAGCTGCTGTAGCTTGTATTTGGCCCTGCGGGACCACCGTTAAGCACTACTTCGCAGGGCCAAGCTGGGCTATAATGCCTCTTCACACACTTTCTGTAAAGTTACTCACCTGGTCTTTCATTTCTCTGTTGCCGTTCTTTTATTCTGAGTTCTTGCAGCGCTATCGCGGCCCATTCTTTCATTTTAGCCCATACCAACCTCGATTGCAACATATGACTCACAATGTTATCGGGCTTCATCCTTTCGTTTATCAACTGCTCTATAGTGGATCTTTCGACTTCATATCTCAAGCAGGAGAAGAAGATATGCTCCACATTTTCTGCGGCACTGTTGCAGAAGGAACATCCAGTCCCGTCATCGTGGCCTGTAAAGATATTCTCTGAAACAGCCATGGCCTGACAAGAATTGTGTCAGGTAGAAGTCTGTCTCTCCGTGTTCTCTTTCAATCCATGCTGGTAGGTTCTTAATGAGCCTATGGGTCCACCTTCCTTTTTCTGCCGTGTCCCATTTCTTTTGCCACTAGGCCAGGCTCGTCTGTCTCTCTCTCTTACGCTCGTCGGCTGATAGGCGTCTACTTTCGGCTTTGGCTTTTGATATACTCTGCCGAGCTCCGAAACCATTATATCTGGTGGCATAATGCCGGATATGAAGCTGGCCGCTTCATGCGACACCGTCCTAAATGCACAGGCAACTCTAATGGCGCTTAGCCTGAAAACTGCATTTGCCTTGTTGGCATATGTTTTTTGACGCAGAGCCTTGCTCCATATAGGAGCTGCATACATCAGCTAACTTTAGGTAGTAGAGTTCTTCTACTATGACTAGGACCACCTATGTTGGCCATGATTCTCGCCAGGGCCGCAGTCACTAAGGCCGCCTTACTACAGGCTTTTTCAATGTGTGCCTTAAAGTTGAGCCTTGCATCGATCATTACTCCAAGGTACCTCAGTGAGTTTTGCGTTGTAACGCTATGGCCATCGACGTCCAGGGTGAAATGCCTTGTGCGTGAACCCATTGCATGCAGAATTTATGTTGAAAACCTTGTAGCCAAGTTTAGATGAGAATTCCAGCTGGCACAATAAAAAGACCTCAACTTTCTAGAATTTTAAGGCGCTCACGATGTAGCATCATCTTTTAGTCTAAGCTTGGGTAAAGGCAGCTTTAGCTAAAGCAGCAGCAGTCTGTATCCTCAACTACAACTCACTCATTTATTCTTCTTCTTAATAGTCAACACTAGGACGTCAGTCGCATGCCATTAGCGGCCAATCGGTAGTACTAGGTGAAGTGAGGTCTCTCTGAATGTTAGTGTGTTCCTTTCTACCGTAGTGGCGGTCTAACTCTTTCTGGGCTGCCATCAACGAATATTTCATTGGTAGCTTATCCTCGTTGAAGCGATTATCGCGATCCAAATGTGGGTCTCGTTGCCAAATGGAAAACGGTTTTAAGAGAGGAGCCTTTTATTTCATACATGAAGTACACTCGGAGGGTTTGACACCACAATTTTTTTTTTATAATTTTGGATGTTTTCTAGAGTTCGGCCGTCTATTAATTCATTGAACAATGTCAGATCCTCATCGCAAGGGATCTTCGTCTCGAAAACTACTAGTGCTTACTCCCCAGATATCGTTCCCGTTCACGCTCTATACCATACTAAATTTCAGCACAGGGATTATGGGGGCCTTTCAGTTTTATGACTGCCAACAGTGGCATCAGGCCGAGGCTCACGTCCACCGGACCGGACCGGAGATATTTCATTTTGTGCTTGTTTACAAAAAGACCTGAAGTGAATCGCTTATAGAAAACAGAACTTACGGCTCGGCTGTTGAGGCGGTTACGACCTTATAAGAGACATTGTGGATAATTGTTGCAGGGTCTCACTTTTTGTGAATCGGTTAGAGTACACCAAGGCTCCAATAGAAGCGCATACTTTCGCCCAACTATATTTTGTAGAACTCCTTTTCAGCTCTTCCACACTCTATTGGAATATCTCAGCTGATAAGCCATTGGCTCCCGTGGCTATGGCGTTCTTCAAGCGGGTGATTATTATTCGAATCTCTCTTATGTAATGTATGTTCCTTAGTGGGCGGAGAAAAACTTCAAAATCTTTTCGTTATTCGTTTTTACTGCTATATTCAGTAGTCTAAAAAAGTGTTCCCTAAATACTATATAGTTAGCATACTGGAATCCCCATGAGATGTGTTGCGGAACTTCCCTACTTCCCTTCTGGCGAAACGTTCATCCCCCAAGGTAAGTGCCGGGCACGAGTCTTCTCCCACCAAGAATCCCATACCGAATTCACGCTCGCTTATATCGCCGATGTAGTATGTGTCCCAATGACCTACTCATTGCCATCCATCGCAGATTTTGGATGTCGGCTTTTAGTCTTAGGTTGAGGGGCATTTCGGGGCATTCAAATTGTGGTCCTTAGAGCGTTCGCAGTGGTCGCTACCAAAAGTGGGGCTCTCATTCGAGGCATTGTTAGCTCGCTACATGAATAGCTTCAGTTTTCGGGCATATATAAGTATATATATAGCGAGGCGCTTGCTTTAAGACCGACAGTCGTCGCAGCTGCACACTTAACCAGAATTTGTTGGAGAGGCTGCACTAAAGCTTTCTCTCTTTAAGACTCGGCATAAATCTTCATTGGTTATCGGATCTCACACAATGGTTGCTCACGTTTACTGGTTGCACGACGGGCGCAGAATAAGACTCAAGAGAATACTTGTAACCATAACCACATATCCAGAAGGTTGTGCTCCTGATCCTATGCCAAATGCCCAGTGACCTAATTCCACAACGTGATTTTATTCTACAAATAACATTTAGTTCAAAATTAAAAATATATTACACACATTTCCAAAAAAAGAAGAAATATTTGAGTACTTAAGCTAGTCGTGAGCTCCCTCACTCTCATTGGCTAACAGTTTTCTTTACACTCGTGCTTCGCTCATCACTGCCTGTTCTTTGTTCGCTCACTCGCCCCCTTCTCATTCCCGCAGCTCTGTGGTATAAAAGCTCCGACAGGAAAACCAGCAAACTCAGCATATGCATTGCTATAAGCATGAAGAAGACAACCATCAAATGCTGCATGCCGGCGGATGTATACTCTGAGTTGTAAGTCAAACGTTTGACGAGACCCGCTTGTACGGCATAATCGAACGCAGTGCGCTCATAATGAGCCAGCAAACCCGAAGAATGCATACGAAAGATATAATATTCCAAACTGCGATAGAAGAACGAATCGCGTCGCATGGGAAAGGCAACAAAGAATGAGCCGAAACAAATCTTACTGAACTTGTAAATGCCTTGCTTCAGATACTGTTGCTGCAAGTCGAGAAAGTGCCACTTATCTTCGGTCACAAAGTAGGCGTAATTTGTATTGAAACTATATTGCAGTGCTATAAAGGTGGCAGCGTCCACCGGTTGAATGAGACGTGAGAAATTCGCGGGTAGCACGATGTCACTCGCGTGAAGAAACTCCAACTCGTAATCGATAATCAAGACCGAAAGATTTGCAGCCACCAAATCGTCCATGGTGTTGAATTGTGCACGAAATGAGGTAACCGCCAAAATGCTGCCCAACAGCGACGTGTAGTTGGCGGTGAGAAAGAAGCCGTAGAAGAAAAATGTGGTGAAAATCAAAAACTCCAATGCAGATGGCGCGCTGAACGAGTGCGGTATATTTATACCTGTGCACAAGCACAAGCTACGCAGAACACTGTCACTTAAACGCATCACCAGCTCATTTGTGCCCTGCAAGCAGCACCACAACCACTGTTGCAACAACAAAGCGCCAAAAACAAAAATAATGCCGAACCAAGTCATGCGATCGAACGGCTCGAGCAGATAAAACATTGTGCTGACACTATTCCAAATGGGCACCATGAGACACCAACGCACCACACCTACCGGATAGCTCAAACTGATACTCTCGTCGTCATAGAACAGCGCGTAAGCATGTGCGAGAAATGAGATCTCTTTGCGACGTAACAAATCAAAAGCGGCTTTCATATCGATCACATTGCCACCCAAACGATCTTGCGGCATTGGGTAACTCACCAGCGTCGCATTGATGTAGTCTATATAGAGGCTGAGCAAGTTGAATGTGGTGCCCTGCATGCATTTGGTGTCATTACATGTGTCTCGTGCACGAAAAACGCCTGGTAGATCTTGACGCAGCGGTGTGCGTAGCTTATAACCTCTCACATTCAAACCGCCCGCGATGTATTGTGTAAATTCTGCTTCCAGCTCGGCCGAGTAGTTAACACGATTCAGTATGGTAAACACAGGAAATATTGTATAACCGTACACTTCATTGCCATTATCGGCGCTGACGTAGTAGAGTAACGGTTTGTGGAATCCACGAAGTGCGAGCTCGTACAAGAATTGTCGGATCACATCGAAATCGCTTACCACATTCAACATAATGATTAAATTGAAAGTTAAGTGACGATCGCGTAAAGAGTGCGCCTGTACGTTCATAATCGGATCGCTGGGGCCGGTTGTAAAGACCACCGACACAATATGTGTCTTCATTGTCGTTTCGATGAAATGTATATCAGTGCGATTTGTCAGCACGGTTTGTGTGAGACCGAGTTCGCCATTGAGCGTCCTCATAAATTCAGTAACATCTGATATTTGCTCCGTATTGCACTGTTCGCTGACGAACCAAGCCATCTCTTGTGGTTGTATGTACGGCATCATTGCCAGCAGGTATTTGCGTACGTAAGCGCGATCCCAGGTGTGCGCGTACGGTGCGAGAACGAGTAACGTCGCTAAAAGAAATGTGCCCGTGATGACTTGAGGCGCTGTGAACATGACGCGCGTTGTGTTGAATTGTTGAACTTGGACTATGTGGTGGTGAGTAGATGCTTTGGATTTGCGCGTGCAGAAATGAGTTTCTGAGCTGGCAGTAATTGAGCACACGTGCCACGTCGGCGACCCAACGCAATTATACACACCAGCAATTAATGTAAACTGACGCGGCCACGAGCGTATGATTTAGTTCAACTTACAACATTGACGCCATTCACGTGTTGGCTCGCAATTAATCTGATTTACATAGTTCGTAAAATATTTACTTACAAAGCGTTTGACAAATATCATTGTTGTTATTAAAAATGCGCGATGTATTTACAACAACAACAGCTGCCAGCTGTCAGCTGTCTGTCTTTGAGCGCGCTCGCATCACTTAACATTCGCACTCTCTCTCTCGCACTCCCTATTTGTCGTACAAGTACCGACCCCGATTGCCGTCCTTCAAGTAATACTCGAAGACGAAGATGCAACAGCTCAACGTGAGGCCCACTGCCAAAACGATCCATGCTATCGTGAAGAAAGCCAAATTTAACGGTCTCAACGGATATGCATCCTTTAGTATTTGTGCATCTTTGGTGCGCAGCGCTTCGTTGAAAGCGCGCTCTTCCCATTGAATCCAAAAGCCAGTTTCGTGCACGATTAAAATGAATAAATTGAGCGCGTCAAACCATGCGGCGCCGCATCGGACGGGTATCGCCTTGAAGACGGTGCCGAAGCAAATATTGGAGAGATGAAAATAGGGTTGTACGAGCACACGCTGTTGCCGATTCAAAAACTTCCACTGATACTCGGTTATGACGTAGGCGTAGTTGCGATTTAAATTATCGAAAATATTTTCAAATTTCTGCTTCGGTATCTCTTGCAGCAGTGGCGACAAGCCCAGCATATTCTCCACACTGTTATGCTTGATTTCCATAAAATCATTGAGTGTGATAAAAACCTTAATATTTGCCGCCAATAAATCTTCGACTGTATTTACCGGCGGCAGGGCGCATGATACGCGGCCAAAATGAAACCGAGCACAAAGAGAAGCGTATAAAAGATGAGTACGCGTACGTGTGCATTCTTCAGCTGTACATTCATATTCGAACTGAACATTATGATGGCGCTGCTGTGCAAAATATTACGTGTAATGGAACGCGTCGGCTTCGTTTCGTTTGTCCGATATTCGATATATCTCATCAGTATGGCCACATAAAATATACCAAAGAGTATACACATATAAATGTAGCGTCCGAAGGGCCACACGATATACCAGTACTTGGGCAATTCGGCGCCCATTGGCACCATCACGCAATTCTTCACCTCGTAGAGTGGATAACTGAATTGTATATCGGCTGAAGCGTGCCGCACTATCGTGCCGCCATTCATCGATAAATTACACTCACCACTGTAGATGCGTTCGTAGATGGCGCGATTGCCGACGCTTATGTTACGATCGAATGTCAATTGCATTTGATGAGTGTACGCAAAGTTCCATATTGTCTGCGCGTATGGACCGAAAAGTGTTTCTTCGCTCATTTTGCTGTCGTCGCGCACGAAGGTGCGTGGCAAGTCATCGTAAAAGGGCGTGTGCAGTACCGTAAAATTTTCGATGGACATATTTTTGTGAGTTTACTTTTGTTTAATGTTCATTTGGACAGCTTGCTTGTTCCGCTGTTTGCTGTCTACTACATATTCTTCATCCAAAAAAACGTTGACCAGTTTGCCGCGTCACTTTATATAGCGCTGAAGGCCTCCTACGCGTTGGCGGCGCGTCATTTGTCTGTGCATTTTTGCAAGCGGTTAAGTTAAATCATCAGCTTTTGTGTTCATTTTACATATGTAAATGTTATTTATTTACAATTTACTTACATACTCGTACATACATCCCGCCACACATTGTTTACACTTTGCTCGTGAAAACTTGTAGAGGTTGACTGATTCCTATCGATGCGGTAATTAAGATCGCCAATCGATTTGACCTGTCGTGGTGTGAGCAAACAAATGAGCAAGTGCTAGGTAATTAGGGGTGTGCACTCGTAGATACGCGTACGTATGAATGTTATTAGATAGCATTCGGTATCAAAACTGTTATTCGACTGTATATTGAGGGTGATTCTCTTACGTCCTCGTCGCGCGCCCTGGAAACCTAAGCAAATTTTGTGCGTGATGCAGTAAGTAATCCATGTGAGGCCTTAAGAGCTTTGGTGGAACCGCTACGAAATATTCGGTTGTTGCTGTAACCGCAAAAATATTCGCCAATATACTTTTGGGGAATGTTACGGGAGTGACAGTTCTTGGCTGGTTAAAAATCCGGGTCGTTGAGGTATAATGATCCGACTGTCGCGGGAACTATTGGATTTTAGTCGCCTCTTACGACAGGCGTGCCTTATCGCGGGTAAATTCTTGAGCCCCTAACTCGCAGGAGGCTATTAGGTTCAAGGCTTCACTGGGGATTAATTCCAGCGTCTGTTCCTCGTCGGTCTGGAAGCAAGCGGCTGCCATACAAATGTGTGATTAAATTTAAGCTTACTCGCCGGGGTTGTACGTTCAGCTTGGTATCCGCCCTGTAGAAATCAGGTCCAATGCAAAAGTTACCAATGTCTCGGTTGAGAGATACCACTTTTGATGACAGCCACAGCAAGTGTCTTAAGTACTACAATTTAAGGGTATGCATCTGTAATCAGCGGGATCTTAATTGGAAACGGATTGCTGTTAAGTTGGTTGATGTACTTGTAAAAATTAGAACTGATATTAGCGCCATCCAGATATTGTGCTCTTTACTATGCGATCTTATAAAGATTGGATTTTTGGTTGGTTGGTTTGGTCGTTGAATTCCGCCCCCAATATGTGTGCTGCCTCCTGCTTGGCTACCTTGTAATGCCAAAGAAGATATCTTTGGCGCAACTGTTGGGGAATTCAGCATTGAAACATCTCCAAAAGTGCAGAGATTCGATCGACTTCATTGTGGACCGAGACAACCGTATCTGTATCATCAAATTCTGGTACAACAAAACCAAAGACTTCACATCGACTCGGGTCACTATCTTGGCTCGGCGAAGATACGTACCAGCTTCTGCGTAGCAAAGACCCCCTTTCAATAGAAACAAGGAAAGTTGGCTGTCGGAAAGCTCTAATCACAGCAGACAGCCGACTAGTTTTCTACTGTTGCGTTGAGAAATGTGGTGGTGATGTCGAGAGAAAAAATACTTCCTATTTTGCCATCTGGATACGAATGCAGACAAAAACACAAAGTACCTGAAATGCGTAAGTACGAAGCACTTGAGAAGCTGACCGACAGTGGTTATGCTCAAAAATTCTATGAAAAGGAGCCACGACTTTTCAAAGGCTTCAAGTTCGGAACTAACTCATGGAGGAACCAAGTAGGTAACTTGATGAACGATGTTCAGAGAAAATTGAGTTGAGGGAGGTAAAACGTTATCATGCCTGCCATCTGTCCGACCAAGTAACCATGTTCGAGTAACGATTGTCTGCTTGGAGAATAACAAGGCCTCGGGAGCACATGGCTTATCGGTTGACCCATACCATAAACATCCTTAGAACGCATCTTGGCTTGCACGTCACTGTTGGCAGTCATAAAACTTTGAAGCCGTAGATCATTTTGTCTATATATATATATGACAGAGCAGCAAGACAACGATGCCAGTTCTTCAACGCAATAGCTGCTACTTTGAACCGAGTACGCAATTGAACCGTAAAGTCCTCTCTCGCCGAATGAAGACCAACTCTACAAATCGCTCATAATTTTCATTATATAATATGGTTCCAAATCGTGGACGATATCGACTTCGAATGAGTCGGTAGTTGGAATTTGCGAGAGAAAGGTTTGCAGAAGACTTTTGGACCTATCTGTATGGTCGACAGCAGACGATTAAATAATCTTACGAAATATTTCTCGACACTGACATGGTTCAGTGTATTAAGAGACAGCGGCTACCTTGTCTAGCTCAAGTCGTCCGATTGGATAAAAATACTAGAGTTCTGAACGCACTTGATGCTGGTGGTTGCCGAGTAGGATGAATACCTTCACATTGTTGGCGAGATCAGTGCGAGAAAACCTTGCTTTACTTGGCGACGATCTGTAAAGAAAAGAAACAGCTGGCGCACAGCTAGAAAATAGTCAAAACTTATAACAGTTAACCCGCTTTTAGAATTCTTCACACCTTCGATTAGTCTTGTTGCAGCGTCAGAGGCTGGAAAAAAGGTTTTAAATAAGCGATTAAATAAATATTACGCATGATGAAAGGAGGAAACCCTGGACTACCTACCCAACTTACCCAACCTTTCAACTATTCAAGCGTCGTATCCTCCATGATCGTTTAAACTCCAATTTAACGGGATTTGGGCGAGCATGGATGGAAGAAAATAAGAGAATTCATTAAAACGAGCGAATTGCTCGATATCAAATAGTTTGGTTAAGCCAAGAAGCACAAAGGACCTACTCAATGGCTTGTCTGGCGACAGCTCCTTTACCTACCCTTTTTCCAACCAAGCTCGCTATGTTAATAGAAGTCTAAATGGGCTGCATATAGAAAATGGGTGCGCAATCTTCGGAAGGGAAGAATGAACTATGCCATTTTTCTAGAACTATTGTTTGGATTTTAACAGCTGTTACTTCCAAAATTTGGTCGGTAATTCGAGCAAGTAAGAATCGGTTTCACACCACGTTTACGCTCCTCAGAGACCTCGTACAGTACTCACCGAAGACGCCATTGCTGCTGTGGTGCCGATTAGCGAAAGAGATCTCAATGAGTTCATCTGCCATTGCGCACAACAGCAATTAATGGAAGATTTTGTGAAAGTATCTTGGTTGGTGGACTTACAAAATTCTATTAGTGCAGGCCGTACGGCAATCAAGCGCGTTGCACATACTTACAATTGTCTCCAAACGAGTTGGCCATCGATATCGATTTTCATAAGAAAATTTTTTTTAGTGATGAAGCTCACATTTGGTGGATTAGTAAAAAAATTTCGCACTTGCTGAGACGACATTACATTCCCATTAAATCAATTTATACTGTACAAATCTTTTGGTGAGCTCATTACCTCGCACCGTGGCCCTCAAAGATCGCGCGATTTAACACCGCTGGACTATTTTTTATGGGGTCATGAGAGGTCGCTTGTCTATGCCGGTAAGCTCGAGGCGCCTTGGAAGTGAATATTCGATGCCTTATTAGTGACGAATGACTCCAGATGTTGCAAAGAGTGGCCGAAAATTGGGCCTCTCCGCTGGAATTTATTCGAATCGAGTCCCGACGGTAAAGCTAAATTCTTGGCCATAAAATAAAATTATAAGCGTTTATACATGCATATGTACTCTTTTGTCGGAATACAATTAGTTGAAGAGCACTTTGGCATTTCAAAAATGTTGCCCCACAATAGTGTTACATTTTCAGCGAGAAAAGAAAAACTACAAAATATTTTTTTTTAAATATCGAAAATAATATCCATCGTTCCTGGAGGAAGAAATGAAAAACTTTTATTTTTATTTTTTTTTTTTTGTTTTTGATAAATATATGTAAATGGCTCACGTATAAATCCATTAATGCGAACTATTTATTTAAACCAATTTATTTTATTTTTCTTCAATTTTCCTATTTTTTATAGTTCGTATTTTGTATTTTCACTGAAAAGAAATTTTTAATTATTTTTTTGTGTTAGAAAAATTAAAGCAAAAAAATTTGCTTTCTCCGTGACAATGCTTTGGCATTTCTGGTAAGCATTGCCGTGACCAGGATTCGAACCTGGGTTACTACGGCCACAACGTAGGGTCCTAACCACTAGACGATCACGGCTATTGAAAGCTTGTCGCCACGCCAGCGAAATCTCGAACACAAACACGTACAAGCAAACAAATCAACAACAAAGTTATGTACACACAGAATGTGTATAAAACAACAACAACAACATTCAGTTTATGTACATATGTACATAAATAAATAAGAGTAGGGGCATTTTGCGTTAGCGAGCGATAAGCATTTGATTTGGTTAAAGCAAAGACCACATGAATACATACATATACATAATATATATTTACATACATATAGACAAATTGAAGTGCTGAGCTATAAGAAGAAATCAAAAGCAAAGCAAAAAGCAAGAAAATAAATGTATGTGCAATATATAAATAAATGAATGTATGCTGGTCAAGTGTGTTTATATGTGATACAAACATACATACATGGAAGGTAGGTATGTACAAGTATATTTTTCTATTTGCCGATTATCGACTGGTGTTACAAATATCGCACAATAAACAAAAATAAACAAATTAGAAAAAAAAACAATAACAAAATAAAAAAAAAATTAATAATAAAAGAATAAAAAAATTAATAAAAAAAAATTAATAAAAAAATTAATAAAAAAAAAATTAATAAAAAAATATAAAAATATAATTAAAAATTAATAAAAAAATTAAAAAAATAACTATAAAAAATATTTGTTTTTTAATTAAATTTAACATTTTTTTACAATAACAATATTTTAATTTAAAAAATAAATACTGAATTTATTTTCAATAAAAATAAACAAATTAGAAAAAAAAAAATAATAACAAAATTAAAAAAAATTAATAAAAAAAATTAAAAAAAATATACATAAAAAAATAAATAAAATTATTAATAAAAAAATATCAAAAAATAATTATAAATAAAAAAAAAAAAATTAAAAAAATAACTATAGAAAAATATATTTTTTTTAAATTAAATTTAACATTTTTTTACAATAACAATATTTTAATTTAAAAAATGAATACTGTATTTATTTTCAATAAAAATAAACAAATTAGAAAAAAAATAATTACAATAATAAAAAACAAAAAAAAAAATTAATAAAAAAACTAATAAAAAAATTAATAAAAAAATAAATAAAATAAATAATAAAAAAAAATATTATATAAAAAATTAATTAAGCAATCAATAAAAAATTTAAAAAAATAACTATAAAAAAATATATATTTTTAAAATTAAATTTAACATTTTTTTACAATATCAATATTTTAATTTAAAAAATAAATACTGAATTTATTTTCAATAAAAATAAACAAATTAGAAAAAAAATTATAACAAAATTAAAAAAAATTAATAAAAAAAAAATATGCATAAAAAAATAAATAAAATTATTAATAAAAAAATATCAAAAAATAATTATAAATAAAAAAAAATTAAAAAAATAACTATAGAAAAATATATTTTTTTAAACTAAATTTAACATTTTTTTTACAATGACAACATTTTAATTTAAAAAATAAATACTAAATTTATTTTAAATGAAAATAAACAAATTAGAAAAAAAATAATAACAAAATTAAAAAAAAAAAATTAATAAAAAAACTAATAAAAAATTAATAAAAAAAATAAATAAAATAAATAATAAAAAAAAAATATAAAAAATTAATTAAGCAATTAATAAAAAAAATTTAAAAAAATAACTATAAAAAATATTTTTTTTAAATTAAATTTAACATTTTTTCACAAAAACAATATTTTATTTTAAAAAATGAATACTGAATTTATTTTAAATAAAAATAAACAAATTAGAAAAAAAATAATAACAAAATTAAAAAAAAAAATAAATAAAAAAACTAATAAAAAAATTAATAAAAAAATAAATAAAATAAATAATAAAAAAATATAAAAAATTGGGTCACGGCTGAAAGAGAGGAAGTGACTTTAGTGCAGCCACTCTGACATATTCGGTTTAAGAGTTCGCTGAAGTCCTGCTGCTGCGTCTGTTCGCCAGAGGTGCGACTGCGAGTTGGCGTCTGTCTTGAATCAAGCAGCTCGCTTTATAAATGTTTGCAATGCCTCTGCGGAATAAGGGGTTCAAGAATTGACTTAAGAGGAGACTAAAATCCAAAAGTTGCCGTGACAGTCGGGGCTTTATACCGGAACGACCAAGTACTATCATTTCCGCAACATTCCTCAAAAACTATTTTGGGGAAAATTTGTTATGCCGACAACAAGAACAACAACAACATAAATGTGTTCAAAATTTAAACCTACTCTCCTAACGAGATTGACCCCAATTTTAATGACGACCACTGTAAACATGCACCTGGAGTGACCGCTCTCATGGTTGGAAAGACACCATTGTTAAAGTCCTCGTAAGACTAAGGACTTACATTGCCGTCGCTTAAGAAGCACTATAGATAGGACAAGAATTAATGAACGTCTCGCCACAATCCGCATCAAAACGTTGCTGCTTTAGGCCAACCCTCCGACGGAAGAGAAGACGTTGGGACCAATGAAACCTTTTTTGAGTGGCCGGACTCGACATTTACTGCTATTCTCTGACAGTACTCATCAACTGTTTGATATAAGGGACCTGTGGTATGGCAGTACTCTATCTAAAAGAGGATTGCCGTACCGGTGAGGAAAAATACTGATTGCGTCACAACATTGCGGTTGTCCACAAATCGTGTGGGTTAGGAAAGATTTAGAGAGTTAAAAAGGTAACCAAGATGTATTTGCAGGAAGGAGATTATAAAATCCAGAAGCGTTTTACTGAATTACGATTATAATATGTTAACTCAACCTATTAGAGTATATTCCAGACTGCCAGACTGCCATTAAATCATGGACTGTGTGCCTGCTCTTAGGGGCATTCCAGAGACTGCGTAGTCGACGAACTAGCGAGAAAAGGAACAGTCCTAACTACGGCAGACTCTGCAAACAGCTCGTCAAAATATCTGCAAAGACTAGCGCTCACCAGAAGGGTCAAAAGCAGATGATAGAGCGAAGTCTCGTGCAATGTGACAAGGCAAATCTGGCTATTAAACGGGATAACCATAATCATAACAACTGATGTAATAACCGGACACTGTTTAATGTGGGCTGCTTCTCAAAGAACTTTTGTCGCTGCTACAGAGACATAGATGAGGAGGAATCCGTAGAACACTACATCTGCCGCCGCCCAGCTCTCAGTGCGGTACGCTATAGTTTTCTCGGAAATTTCTTCTTCGATTGCCTTGAAGAGCTTGCACCAGGGTTCCGTGATCAAGCAACCTGTTAAACTAACTAACTACCGAAGTACCAGTTACATATCTTTACCATTTTAATCTGCGCATCGCTCTGCTATGTTTCTGATTGAAAAGCGTCAACTGCAAATACTCGTAGACGTGAAGTTAACGCATCGATGGCTAATGACCGCTTCGAGAGGAAGGAAGTTGCCAAAAACAGCTTCACCTCGTCAGGTAATTACAAACGTTGTTCTAACAGTGAAAACTACCTCTTCTACTCAAATACTACCAGCTCAGTCTAGACGACACTCGTTCGGCCTCCACCTCTCTTTGTTTGCTCGTAGCAAACACTTTAATGTCCGCTATCATTCACGCGTTCACAAGTAAGACAGTTTAGAGAAATTTTCATATTTCCTTCAAATAAATTCACAGATGGTCTACAAGTGTCGCTATGTTATAAAGCTGAAAGTAGAATTAAGAGCTCGCACATAATATGAAAGTAATTTGTTTTGAGCAGTTGCAACGGGTTTGTGATCCGAGAGTCATTTTATTCAAAGGAGCGATACAAAAACAAAATAGAAAATTTGCCTAATAAATTTAATTGCAATTGACTAACTTAATTTGTTTAATACGTTCATTATATTAACACGAGCCGACAACGACTGTGGCAGGTGAGGTAGGGTTGGCTGAGCTCAGCGACAGCCACGGCAGTTTAGTATAAAAAACGCGCTCAACCGCGTGGAGGCCATTCGTCGTGAGTGCCGCAGGATGTGGACATTGACATTGTTATTCGCCAGCACATTGCCGTTGCACGCCAACAGCGCCTACGACAATGTCAGCTTATCTGCTGCCACCACCTTCGATGCGGTGCTCCAGCGCACACTGCGAGACCATCGCATTGCGAATGTGGCGATTTTTGCCAGCGATAATGGCGACAACTATACGGGTTTCACAGCGCTAATGGCAAGCTTGGATCGCCATCTTTTGGCGCCGCGTTATATCTTCACCGCTGCGGATAACTCCATGCCGCCACGCAACACTTTACGCCATCACATAGACAATGACGCATTGAGTGTGGTGCTGTGTGCGGCGTCAACCGACCGCATTTGGCACGTGGTGGATCAACGTTTGCGTAAATTGCGTCAAATCAAAATGATTGTGGTGCCGACGTCGCGTGCGTGCACAGTGCAGCTGACGGCAGTATTTGCGAAACTCTGGCAACTGCAGTTCTTGCATGTCGTGTTGCTGTGTAACAGCACTATTTACCGTTACACGCCATTTCCACATTTGCGTGTCAACCAAGTGGCCAATCGCAGCGCCGATCTTTTCCCACCAGCGTCGACCGATCTGCAAGGTTACACGATATCAACGCCTGCCGAGAACGATTTGCCACGCATATTCTTTGTGCGCCCCCAGCCGGGGAAGCAATATAACATACGTGGGTTTGCCTTTCACATATTCACGAATTTCTTGCGTCGCCTGAATATGACGCTGCGCATCAGTAACCCCCAGCAGGTGCATGATATAACGAGCAGCGTGGATACGAGCAAGATAGTGCATCAAATCGCCAGTCAGGAGCTGGAGATCTCTATGCATCCGTATACGAGTATTGGTGAGCAGCAGGGCATTATGAGTTATCCGATCTTCAAGTTGGAGTGTTGCTTAATAGTGCCGGTACAGAATGAAATACCCCGTTGTTTCTATCCGATACGTCCGCTCAAGTTGGGCAGTTGGCTGGTTATATTCGGCGCCGTGGTCTACATCTCAGTGGCGCTTGCGTGGACGAGTCCATGTGTACGCGAGGATGCGCCCTTTCTCACAAAGCTGTCGCGCACATTTCTCGAGAGCATCGCCCAAGTGGTCTTTCTACCATCCACCTATCAGAGTCATCAGCCTTCGTTGCGCTATCTGCTCGTATATTTGCAGTTGGCGCTCTTCGGCTTTCTACTCACCAGCTGGTATAATAACCTGCTGGGCAGCTTCTTCACAACCATACTAGTGGGTGAGCAGCTGGACACTTTCGAATCCCTGATTGCTGCACAGTTGCCGATACTCACGAAATTTCATGAGATCGATATGGTTTTAGAGCAAGTGCCGCCAGAGTTGGTGACCAAAGTGCGAAAATTAATCGTTGGATCTAACTCGAGTGTGCAGATGGCTCATCTGCGGAAGTTCAACAACTCCTATGCCTATCCGGTTACTGAGGAGCGTTGGTCGTTTCTTTCTCTGCAAGAGCAATACTCGAATAAACCCATCAATCGCTTTTCGAAAATCTGCCTGGGCAGTCCATGTATAGGTTTCCCAATGCGTTTGGATTCACATTTGGAACCGCACTTGACGCATTTCATATTGGATGTGCAGATGGCGGGCTTGGACTTCTATTGGTTGACATCTGACTTTAAGGATGCGCTGAAAGCGGGTTATGTAAAATTGGTGAATAATGTGTTGCCCTTCAAGGCTTTGGACTTGTATACGCTCTACGTTGCCTGGTGTCTGTTGATAGCTGGCCTGTGCTTGTCCACGTTTGTTTTTGTGATAGAAATACGTGGATCTTGCGCAAGACGAAAGAACCGATACTCAGAAAGCTCTGCGCCTTAAAAGAGAAGGAAACAAAAAGCCTCGGAACTCTTCAAAGCAGAAGGAGGTACGCCACTTTAGCTAGCCATAAGTATTAGGGTTTAAATCTTATCTTATCTTAACTACTCTAGTTCCGTTCGATCTTATTTCTTGAGCGGTTTTCCAATAAATTTGAAATAAAAGAAGACAACTTTGAAAAGTGTTAAAGATTTCTTTATCAACAAAGTAACTCGAAATGGCGAGCCCTTCGAGTTCGCTTGAGTGAGCTTGCGAAAAGAAGATGTAAAGCAGAGGTAAGAAGAGAATGAGGGGAGTGAAATAAACTCCCTCAAAAGTAATAGCCCTTTACGGAAGCTAAAAATCGGCCTGTTAGGCGAGCAATAGATGTCACACTTTAAAAGTCTAAGTATTTGAGGGAAATTAGTGTTGAGGGATATCTAAAAGCAGTTTCTGTGGACTTTAAGTAGAGTTGAACGCCACTCAAAAGAACACAACAGTGTGCAAAAGACGAGAGACTGACTATCGTTTTGAGAGATTAACCCACATCGCTCCTGGATTTCCAAGTTTGAACAATTGATGGCGTCGACAATCCAATCACTGGCTCACTGCGTTGCAGTCTATAAGTTTCCGGTTTTCCGCCCGACAAGAGATTTCTGCTAAAGGCCGTAAGTTTGTTGCCTTCACCTGGTCGGACTAATAATCGAATCAAAACGGATTTGGTAGTGAATGAGAACAAGATGAAAAACCTCTTCTAATGAAATAAATCGTTTGGGCTCTGGCGTCGCTGTTGGTAAGTACAAACCCTAAGTCGAATCTGCTATAAATACGCGACTATTTCGGAAACTAACGAGCACTCACAGTGCTGTGGTACCCTACGCCGAGGTCAACGCCTTCGCAGCGGCAAAGAAACACCTCCAGATTTCATGTGGCCTTCTTCAAAATGCACTAAATACATATACTCGTAGTAAGGTGTAAGTGGTGTAAGGATAGCGAGTTGAAAATCAACCCAGCTAAAACCGAAATGGTATTCTTTACCAGGAAGTGCAAAGGCTTTTCGTTTGAACCTCTCCAAATAAAGTGCTAAGGTTAAATGCCTCGGAATAATCTTAGGTTACATACTTAATTGGAGCGAAAATATGGTAGAAAGAGGAAACAATGCTATTGGCAAAGGAAGTTGTTCAAGACCATAAATAATCTACTAGATATATACAGCGGTAATCAAAGAGATCCTTTCCTATGGCGTCACCGTTTGGAGGCCGACGCTTGAGATAATCATTTTTAAGAGGGTTGAGCCTAACGGCATGCAGCTGTCACTACTACGATAGGCCTTCCATGGGCATCCAGGACTCTTCTAAAATTCCTTCTCACAGACCTTTAAGCGAACTTCAAACGAGCTCCAACTCAGTAAGAAGAACGTTTATCATTTTCTCTACAAAATCAGAAAGACGTGGGCTACACAGTCACTAAATTCGGCTTTGATAATCTCTTTTCCATAAATATACCTAAAAGAAGGGTAAAATTTAAGTATTCTAGAACAAGAAACAATAGCCATCTTAGCAGAAGGGGCTACACCTAAGAACAGAATACAGCAACGAGGTCGACAGTAGTATAGTTCGGATAAGTAGGCGACAGCGGCTGGGCTGACTAGGTTATGTCGTCCAGATGGATGGATGAAAACACTTTATTTAGTAGAGATCAAGGAAGAGGTAGAGCTCCACTTCCTTGGAAAGATCAGATGAATAGAGATATTTCTTCGCATGATATGTTTAATTGGGTACGAATAGGGGACATAAAAATGGTCGAGGATGTTGTTGTCGATTAGGATATAATTGTTTTTTAAGCGAAGAACGCATTAATTAAGAGGAAGAAGAAGGAAGTTTTGGACGTCTAAGAACATTTCTAATCCTTACGTCTAGGGCTCAAAATAAATTCCCTTTCCTCCAATGTACAAAAATTAACGTCGACGTCTCGACCCTGAGGGTTTCAGCGTTCAAATCAATTTTTGGTCACAAACGGACCTCTATAAGCCCAATTCCAACAGCAACTTTCGCTTGAGTCTCACCAAAAATCGATTCTTCAATTCACAGACAAATATAATGAATGCCAATATTAGACCCAAAACCCACACACACCAAATCGGACGTAGAAAACTCATAGACAACGGACGTGGGTCTTCGTGTATCAACATGATTTTCACCAATCTCAAACTTAAAGCATCCGTGAAGGCTGATTTCTGCCAATACGTTAGGAGTCCCGACTGCGTTGCATGCATTATGAAGAACTTGAGAGGGATCTGCAGATGTGAATCGTGGGACATGGGAAATACGTGATGAAATGGACCCATACAAATTTCGGATAGACGAAAGAGTGGTTTTTGCAGAAATTGCTGTTGCATATTGAGAAACTCCCAACGATCCGTTTGTATGCTGTAACCATAACTTGTGTTCATTGTCTCGCGATGTTGATCCATGAATTGCTTATCGACAATATCGACTTGTGCGAGAAAACGTTGTGGATACTGCTCGGGCATGGTTTCGAGACGTTTATATTCATAGTCGAACACTTTAATGCGCAATTGAGCACGCACCACATCGTCGACGGTGTGGAGTTGCGCCGAGGGCAATGAGGTAATCAAATAGCTGGCGATTTTTGTTGTGTACCAATTTGAAGTGATAAATCCTAGTACGAAGAGGTAAAAGAATAAGAAGGACAGGCGTAGATTGTGCGTATTGAAGAATGTAGTCGGCGCTATGCTGAGCATAGAACAGAGCGCCTGAAGCAAAGCTGTGCTATATTCTCGCGGACGTTGTGGTGTGCACAGCCAGAGTGCGATCGATATGTAGATGAGTGCAAATAGTACAAGAAGCCAAGTTGAATTTTGAAAACTGTGTAACAAATAGAGGTGCTCCGGTGAGCTATTATAAAACGGCACCATAATACACCAGTCATTAATGCCAATCGGATAGCTGGTGCCGATATTATCGATTGCGAAGAGTGCCGTGAGCGAGTGTGGACTCAGTTCGATGGTACGATTTGCGACCAATTCAATGACCTCACCCATGACGGCGGGCTCATACGGCGAGTTCGCCATATCGAAATCTCCTATAGTCGCATTTATGGACTTCATAAAAGTAGTGAAGAGTTTACCCGATGTGCCGCTAAGTTGTAGGCGATTGTTGACATGACGATGATTAAAAACACGTGGTAAATCATAACGTATAACGGTGTTGAGGACATAGCCTTTGAGATCGTCATAGTAATCGATGAAGAAGTCCTTTACCTGCCAATTACCGGTCTTATTAATCACTTGCAACTCGGGATATGGATCAAGTATAAAGACATTATCTTGTGCAGTTAACAGTATAGTATTGAGAAACTCTTCAGCCCAAATCCACGCATATGTTTCGTTTATGAGCGTTGATATATCGCACTCTGCACTACCATTGTCCCAGTAAGCGTTCGCTTCTTCCGTGTTTGTTGTGAGTATGAATATAGTTTTCAGTACATGCAAGTGTTTCAGGCTCTCCGCTGCCAGCGACATCACTGTATCATTTGGACCGGTGGTGAAAACCATACTCAGCGCGGGCTTACTGAGCAGCATATTCATGCGATAATCGTTTGGATCCAAATGTTCGCCGCTAATCAAAATAATGCTCGGCACCAAGGGAAATGTCACGAAGTATTCGTTGAAAAAATTAGCGGCGCTCTCAGTTCGTTCGTAGTCCTCACTTATATAGAGTACAACGTTTTTGAAGAGATAAAATTCGTAAATGGCGTGCAGCACCTCGATGACAAAAGTAGTGTTTAGCTGATAAGCGTTCGCTGATTCAGGATCCATGTTTTCTTAAGTCGGTTGTAATCTACTAACTGAATTTGACCGTACTGCCGAGTTCAGTAAAACTTTTTAAAACAATTTGAGCTGCCTGGATGTTTAAATACTCAACGAATCTATGGTCTGCGGTTACTTTTAAATTGCCAGCGTTGCTTTTATGAACATATATTTTTTATGGCAATAAAGCTCGTCAGTTGAATAGCGGAAGTACAGATTTATGACTTAGTGGAGCTTTTAAAGACCATATAACTTTTAGAAAAAAAGGAAAACCAAAGCATGGAGGTAATTCCATGTAGGAAAATCATTGTTTTCAGTGCTGTCACACACGCGCGCTCATATCTATAAGACTGGAGCCTGGAGCACCATTGAAGATTTGACGTCTCAATCGGCTGAAGACCAACACTCCAAAAGGTGATGCCCAGCGTTCTATCCATCCGTGTGCAGCCTTTGCACTCGACTCAATCTATTTTATTAAGAAACCTTAAGTTATTATAGAAGCGCAAGAATGAAATACACAAGCGAGTACATAATCCACATATATACGAGTAAGTACTATTAGCAGACAATTGTTTACAAGCGTAAAAATATAATACACTAAAATAAAATAAAATAAAATAATATAAAATAAAATAAAATAAAATAAAATAAAATAAAATAAAATAAAATAAAATAAAATAAAATAAAATAAAATAAAATAAAATAAAATAAAATAAAATAAAATAAAATAAAATAAAATAAAATAAAATAAAATAAAATAAAATAAAATAAAATAAAATAAAATAAAATAAAATAAAATAAAATAAAATAAAATAAAATAAAATAAAATAAAATAAAATAAAATAAAATAAAATAAAATAAAATAAAATAAAATAAAATAAAATAAAATAAAATAAAATAAAATAAAATAAAATAAAATAAAATAAAATAAAATAAAATAAAATAAAATAAAATAAAATAAAATAAAATAAAATAAAATAAAATAAAATAAAATAAAATAAAATAAAATAAAATAAAATAAAATAAAATAAAATAAAATAAAATAAAATAAAATAAAATAAAATAAAATAAAATAAAATAAAATAAAATAAAATAAAATAAAATAAAATAAAATAAAATAAAATAAAATAAAATAAAATAAAATAAAATAAAATAAAATAAAATAAAATAAAATAAAATAAAATAAAATAAAATAAAATAAAATAAAATAAAATAAAATAAAATAAAATAAAATAAAATAAAATAANTAATATAAAACAAAATTGACAAATTAAAATAAAACAATAAAAAAAAAAAATTATATATAAAAAAATATGAAATTATATGAAATAAAATTACCAAAAAAAAAATTAAAAAAAATTTAATCAAATAGAGTAAAATAAAATAAAATAAAAATAAAATAATATAATATAATATAAAAAAATAAAAAGTAAAATAAAGTAGAGTAAAATAAAATACTATAAAAAAAATTAAATAGAATGAAAAAAAAAATAAAATGAACTAAAATAAAAATTAAATAATATATAAAATTAAATTAAATTAAAATGAGTAAAATATTATAAAATTAAAAAAAAAAAAAAATATACTAAAGTAAAATAAAGAATATAAAATTAAATAAAATGAAGTAAAAATAAACTAACAAAAATATATTAAAATATTATAAAACAAAATTAATTAAAATGAAATACAAACAAAAAATAAGCGAAATGAAATAAATTAAAATTAAATAAAGTAAACTAAAATACAATAATTGAAATAAAACACTCAATAAATAAAATAAAATAACTGAACATAAAAAATAAAATAAACAAAATAAAATAAATCAAATAAAAAAATATAAAATAGAATGAAATGAAATTAACAAATAATTAAAAAAATATACATTAATAAAATAAAACTTATAAAATTAAAAAAAAAATAAAATAAGGCAATATAATATCTGATAAAATAAAAATAAAATATAATAAAACAAAATTAACTAAAATTAAATACAAAAAAATTAAAAAAAAAAATACCAAATGAAATAAAATGAAATAAGGTAATATAAAATAAAATAAATTAAGTAAAAAAATAAATAAAATTAAAATAAAAAATTCAAATAAATAAAAAATTAATTTAAATTGGGTTAAAAAATATACAATAAAATGAAGTGAAATAATAAATATACAAAAATGAAAAATAAACTAAAAAAAATAAATTAAAATTAAATAAAATGAAATAGAAAAAGAAAATAATAAAACTAAATGAATTAAATAAAGTAAGGTAAAATAAAATGAAATAAAATAAAAGTAATTAAAATAAAATGTAAATTAAGAGAAACTAAAAGAATCAATAAAATTACAACAAAATGTCAGCTTTTTCATGTCTCATTCTCTGTTTCATTTTCCTGCGGACGCCTTAAATTTGCTTAAATTGATAAATGATTTTTCGTTATGGTTGATTTATTGTCAACCAACCAAGTGGATAATAAAATGCTTCAATGCTTTCACTCAATGGCTTGAGTAATGGCGAAAAAAATATTAATAGAATCAATGACAAACAGATTTTTTATTATTATAATTGAATACGGACAACATACAATATAATATAATATAAACAAGTGTTGTCGGAAAAATGTCAGCTGTTGGGTTTCCCAAGAATTATGCTGGTATAAGTAATGTAGGCACCAAATTTTCTTTAATCTCAATGTAATCCCAGATTTCTATGACTTTCTGTTTTTTGTAGTTTTCGATGTATAAATTGTTAATTTATGCATAAAAGAAAATCTTTTAAGATCTCGATGCTGAGGAAGATGGAAAATATATTAATATTTAATTATTTTTTAAAGAATTCGCAGCTAACGACGATTACGGCTTTATTTGTAAGAAGAGAGTTAAAGCAGTGCTTGATCGTCTAAAAGAATGCTCATGGTTCTGCCTATATGAATCAACTTAGACTTTTCTGGTCGAGTGCCTTTTAGTAATTTCAGCCTTCTTAAATCTGTGAGCACTTTTTAGCAACTTCTCTCCTGGCAAATCGTTCTAAGGATTTCCCGACAGACCTCCTTCTGCATAATCCCTGCATTACATTTTGTATACTTACTAACCAGATAATTTCATAGGAATTTATTGCTGAAATGCGCTATGCTTTCTACAGTGGCGGGTGGTTGGGTTTGCGGCTGTGGTGCGGAGGCTTTAAGTGACACAATTTTGTCATTCACAGTTATGTAGCGTGGGAAAGCCACAGATGTTCGGTATTCGCCATGTAAATAATAAATACCTTGAATGAATGGAGTAAAGAAACATTTTGAGTTTAAGTGTCTGTAGTATGTATTTACAACAAAAAAATTTAGGTAGACATAGAATATGAAGTGAATCGAAAATTAGTACAAACTTTGTGAGGCAATGTCAATTCACTGAAAAACAGAATACAAACAACATTTTTCGGACATACCCAGACCATGTGAGAATGCTGAATAGAGTGCAGAGCAACTGAGATCTGCTTTTTAAACTCTTTCAATTTTCTACTGCGGCGATAGCTGAGAATGGCTCCTTGCATTTTATATGTATGACCTCCAGTGCTGTGCTATTTTGGTTGTATGCCTAGGAAAATAGTAAATATCTAAGACTTAATTAAATGAGCTCTTAGTTCTTATCCTGTCATGTTTTGGGCGAAATTCGCTTCATTAGCTCACAGGTGAGTGCCAGTTTCCATCGGTTTTGAGTTATTTTTACAAATTGTACGTGCAGCTTTCTGGTATTAAACACTGTTGACCATAAAGTCAGTAATGCAGCCAGAATTTTAGCTTAGGGAATATCTTAGCAGACATCTGCCGGAAGTTGAACCAACTGCAATGGGAAAGAAGTACTCGATTGAAAAGAACTCTATACATCATCCTGTTTAATGATTTTAGGGCAGAAAGTTATGCACACAGGTCCTAATCGCCATTCGCAGAGAGTCCTTCAACACCTCTTCCCTTGAATGGCGTGCTCGCAATCCAATAACCATCAATCCATTCATAGCAGAGGAAGTGTTTGAGCTGCCTCGCGAGACCCAAGTAATATTGGCAAAATTAAGTTCTGAATACTGTGGAAGACTCAACTCCTATTTATCCAGACTCAAGCCCGCGATACTTAGCATATATCTGACATGCGATGAGTCTTCGCATGATACCTACCACCTCTTTGCATGCCCACGAAAACCAACGCATCCAACACCCGTCTCTCCCTGTTCCGAAGTCGTCGAAAGAGTTCGTTTTCTGGATATCCTATTAGATGACATAGGCTAACTTTGTCAGGAGCTCAGATCAGATTATGGAAATATCAAGTTGACTACCCCATGGGCTATTAAATATTGACTATGCTGAAATTTATCACGGACGATGATAAGGCCAGTAAGTAGTCGAGATGTTAGCGTGGGAACGATCCTATCAGACATTTCCCGTATGCCTATTTCGCAGAGTTGAACAAGTTGCTGAAACGATTTTTGGTCGAGCTACTCCTGGTGATTTTTTTCCACAAATGGAGGAGCCTACAGTTTATTCTAAGCCGGCTCCGAACGGTAGATTTCTATTATGAGCTTTGATTTTCATGTCAGAGGGCTTGAAACTCTCTGCGGTGGGCGGCCGCAATTAGAGAAAATTAATTTATATATATATATATATATATATATATACTTCTTCTTCTTCTTTTCTTTGTTTGAAAGATGCTAGTTGAGTGCAGTAGGCGTATAAAAAGAGAGAGAGAACGTAGAGATAGGTAAATAGATATATAGAGAGACAGAGAAAGGGGAGAGAAAAGCGAGAAAGGTAGGGGTAGAGATAGAGAGATAGTTATATATAGAGAGAGAAAGAGAAAAGCGAGAAAAAGAGATAGGTAGATATAGACAGAGAGACAGAGAGAGACAGAGATAGGTAGAGATAGAGATGGGAGAGAGAGATAGGTAGAGAAAGAGAGATAGAAATAGAGAATTTGTGATAAAGACAAAGGGAGATAGAAATAGATATAGAATGAGATAGAGAGAGAAAGAGA